GTATTATTAAAGAAAGAGGGTAAATCACCTGAGTCCCCGTCGGCCTATAGGCCAATTGTTTTATTAAATGAAGCAGGCAAGTTATTCGAGCGAGTGCTAGCATCCCGCATAGTAAAACACCTTACAACGGACGGGCCGGATTTGGCCGATACCCAATTCGGTTTCCGGCGCGCCCGGTCTACCATCGACGCCGTTGCAAGGCTAAGAGACGTTTGCGAGGAGACACTCGCGCAAGGAGGGGTGGTGCTGGCGGTGTCACTAGACATAGCAAACGCTTTTAACACAATTCCCTGGAATACCATTATAGACGGCTTAATCTTCCATGACGTGCCAGTATACCTCCGGCGCATGATAAGATCATACCTTTCGGCCCGTACCGTCATCTACCCGGGTCGGGGAGGTTGGAAGGAACACAGGGTTGAGTGTGGTGTTCCACAAGGGTCTGTTCTAGGCCCACTCCTATGGAATATCGGATATAACTGCGTCCTTCGTGGCTCACATCTGCAAGGCGTCAGCCTAATATGTTATGCCGACGACACACTTATCACTGCAAAAGGTCGTACATACAGAGAAGCTTGCATCCTCGCAACGGCGGGGGTGGCACAGGTTGTGGCGCAAATAAGGCGCATTGGCCTCCAAGTCGCCCTCGAGAAATCTGGGGCGGTCTGTTTCCACGGTCCAAGACGAGCTCCTCCTGACGGTACACAATTGGTCGTATGTGGTGTGCCCATAAGAGTAAGCCCCACTTTAAAGTATCTCGGGCTTGTCCTCGATTCTCGATGGACTTTTAAGGATCACTTCTCGGCACTTGCCCCGAAGCTCGCTACCACGGCTATGGCACTCTGCCGGTTAATGCCAAATCTTGGTGGGCCGAGTGCGGGGTGTCGCCGGTTATTTGCAGGTGTGGTCCGGGCGAAGGTCCTCTACGGATGCCCCATTTGGGCCGATTGTCTATTCCCTCAAAACAGGGCGATTCTAAGACAGTCGCAACGGGCGATGGCCATAAGGGTGGCAAGGGCGTACCGCACCGTCTCTTGCGAGGCAGCGTGTGTTATTGCAGGAACTGCCCCCTGGCACCTCGAAGCGGCTGCCCTAGCCAAGATCTATTGGCATAGGGCAGATAGTAGAAGTAGGGGTTTCGACCCCCTTCCTGAGCACATAAACAGCTGGAGACGGGAAGCCCAAGTGACCGTCCTTCAGAAATGGATGGATGAGTTACAAGATCACAGGGCAGGAGTCTGGACAATTACATCTATACGTCCAGTGCTCAACTTGTGGGTAAATAGAAGATGGGGGCACTCTCGTACCGACTCGTTCAGGTCCTCACAGGCCATGGATGTTTCGGTGGATACCTTCACAGGGTTGCCAGGAGGGAGGCATCCCCCATTTGTCACGAGTGTGGTTTCGCAGACGACACAGCGCAACACACTTTAGAGGTTTGTCCGGCGTGGAGCTCTGAACGTAGCCTATTAACCGCCACCTTCGGATTGGACCTGTCGCTTCCAGTCATAGTTAAAGCTATGATGGAGGCTGACAGTGACGGCCCATGGAACACTTTCAAAGCGTTCTGTGAAGCCGTCATTACACTTAAAGAGAATGCGGAGAGGGTTCGGGAGTGTAGCCCAGACGCCGACCCTCAACGCAAAAAAAGGCCTGGAAGGAGACGTCGCGATTACGCACGTACTCCATTGGGACCTTAGGACAGGATTGGGCAACGCAGAATATGTGCTCACACAGCAGACGCTCATGACGGAGGCACGGATTAAGGGAAACTGTTACCGCGCCTACCGTCCATAGCGAACAGATGGGGCTGTTGGGTTTTAGTGGGTAGGTGTCCATTGCACCATACGGACTGACTCCCACACTCCCTGCGCCACTTTTAAATCGTTGCCCCGGCGCGGGGGTCAGTAAATTGATTTCCCAACAATAAAAAAAAAAAAAAAAAAAAGGTTACCAGCTCTTCCATAAAAAACTTATTTTTTTTTAATTATTATTATTTTTTCAACTGTTTTCAACACGCCTGAGTGCATAAGTATGTGTGAATGAATTAAATGCGTAAATATATATAAGGTCTCAGAAGCATCTTCAACACTGCGTAAGGTGTGTTCATAAGCTAGTCCTTTAATCGTATTTTTAGATTGTAGACGATGAGCGTTTATTAAGCAGTATATTTAATTTATTATAGATATAGCCTTAAACCAAAAAAGTTGACCTACTTGCATTGTAAAACAAATAACCACGAAACAGTTACAGAAATCTCAGTTCCAGCCTAAAAGACGTCACTGGGTTTTATTAATGTGCCTTGAACTTCATTAATAGTATTGAATCGAAGTTCATCATCCAATTCCAATATACCTTGGAATTGAATAACAAAATTAAATTGTCGTCTGACTACAAATCCTAGGTATCACATGACAGATAATCCGGTTGAGTCGTTATCGATGTTTAATTGGTTTGGAAAACGTTTTTATTCGATTCGTTTATATATTTTTTTTCACATTTCTGCTCTGTGCTCACGATGTCTTTCATTAAAATAATGCAAATAAACTACATACAATTAATGCACTTTAATGAGAACCTTATCCTGAGCTAAACATATATAAATTAAAGTATTACTTTATATATTTAGATATACAACACAATAAATATACATCTAAATGTCATGAATAAGAAAAGTTATACCATTAACACCCTCGGCCAAGCGTTGCTCTGGCTAAGATTTTTGTTATATTACATAGTAGTAAACTATTCAAGGGAAACGGTAGGAGAACTTATGTGAAAGGTAGATGACAGCTTATGTGAAACGTTGATAATTTTAACACAGCGCCATCTGTTAGAATTGTATCAAATAATAAACAAATATTTTGCAATAAATTAAAATTGCGACTATAATTTGAGATTTAAACTATCCTATCTCTCAAGTTGGATCGAATTGCACATGGTGTGCAAATTTGATTGATATCGGTTCGGTAGTTTAGGAGTCCATTGAGGACAAACATTGTGACACGAGATTTATATATAATAATATAAATGTTGGTGTGAATGTGCGTTCTATGTGTGTGTATGAGAAAATATTAAATAACGTTTTGAAAAGCCGGAACGGTTTGTTAATTATAAATCACGCGTTTTTATATAACGTATTACGTATGAACTTCGGAAGATATAGTACAAAAGTAGGAAGATGGGTCAGAGTTCAAAGATCCTCCCACGCTCTGATGTAATCCTGTTTGGTGATAATTACTGTAACAATGTGAATAAATTGGATCTAACGTTGACGTGACTTATGTTGATAAGATGGTCTGTAATCTGATAGTTGATAAAATATGTCCCGCCAAAATGTTTGAAGTATTTATACCTAAAACTAGCCGCCGCGAACTTTGTACGCCTTAGTATGAATGTTTTACTTAGCCTACCTTTTTAGTAGATAGCTACATACCAACATATGGAACATATTGCTATGCTATCCCATAGAGGCTGTTCGCTTTTCCGGAATAAAAACCTAAGTACTAATTAAAACTATTCATTTATATTTATCCATAAACAACCTTTCTCAGAGTTCAAGAAATAAAAAGTAATAAATCAGTGGCACTACAACTTTTTTAGGTCTGGGCCTCAGTTTTCTGTATATGTTTCATGATCATTTCATTGTTAATCTAATAGGCAAGTAGGTCAACAGCCTCCTGTGCCTGACTTACACCGTCAACTTTTAGGGTCTAAAGCTGTCTACACACCGCAGCCGGCGGCCTTAGTTTTAACGATGTTGCCGGCGGCTTGCGCCCGCGCGATCTTCCCCGCGGCACGCCCCTCTCCGCTCTTCACCACCGGTTGCCCACCGGCTTTTAAGAAATAGTGACGCGTCAGTGTTTTTATCGACTAAACATTATGGAATCCGTTAATGAAGTGGAGAGAAAAATAAAAAAATTAACAAGTCACTAGCAAGCACTTGGCAATCACTAATTGTGAACACTGCATGCCGCGACTGTATGTCGTGCCGCCGGGAAAATTGTCAGGCTCGCAACTTCTAAAGCCGCCGGGTTCACCCGCCGGCATTAGCCCGCCGGGTTCGTGCCGGCGGGCCGGCGGCTGCGGTGTGTAGACAGCTTTAGGCAAGCTGGTTTTCTCACGATGGTTTCCATCAGTCTTATCTATCTGTGACAAAAGTACTATACAAAATCTGTGTTTAATATCTTAAGCATCTGCAGTTACAGAGACAAGACTAATATACAATGTACTGTTGACTGAACGTCGATTTGATAACAATGAACTTTATATAAATGATATTTTAATACATTTCTCCTGAACCTCAAGCTTAGCGAGATGTGTAATTTCTTTACTTGGACTACAAAATCATTAGTTTAGAAGCGATATTTGAGTGATTCTAAGTTCATAATTTACCACGGTAGCTAAATTTATGTACAAGTTATGTGATATACATGTACGATGATTTCTGTTGTCATTCAGGTCAAAGTAATTAAATATTCCACGCCTCGCTATGCCCGTAATCGGTTTTCGCTAAATCGAGATTCTTACAAAATGTCGCTAAACGTTTCATCTACTTGTATAAGAAATAAAAATAATAAGTTTAAAACATTAAAATCTAGGTGCAATAATTAATTAAATTTAAACGTATATTTGCCGTAAACATGGCCGGAGGTTTTACGGTTTAATATCGTGAAATTAAATGAAATTGTAGCACAATTTAAATAGTAAGTAATTATGTTACGATTTATACAATAATTTCAAACACTTTCATCATTCAATATTATAACAAGTGATTCCTATTTCTAGAACGCAAACAATAAATTTTACATTCAAATATAATTACCATTACTAATAGCACAAATCTTTAAGGTTCCAATTAATATTACGACACGATATTACATAACAAAAAACAAATTCCGCAAAAATAAATAATCAAACGCCCGGAAGAACAATCCGACCTCATAAAGTGACCGCGTTTCTTTATTGTTGTTATAAATGTTAAGTACTAATGATTAAAAATGGTCGAAAACACGGAGAACGAATCAAATTGTGATATGTCCGGAACGTGGAGAACGATAGAATCCGATGAAGTTGTATTAAGAAGTGAAGAGGAGAAGAAAGCGAAACATCTATGGAAGAGGTCCAAGGAACAAAGAGACAGAGTCAGTTACCAAATGCAATGGGCTCAAGTGTTAGAAGAAATATCGTGGAAGTTGGCTTCTGTAAGTTTTTGTGTGAATTGTGTTGTAATTAACCTATATATTTGTTAGCGAACGCGAAATTTACGATGTTTGTTTTATGTATGTCACATGGACTGTTAAGAAAGTTAATTGCTTTGCTTAATATGTTAAACATCTCATAGATAAAGTGAAGTTACATAACTCCCGCCTTTAGGGGCAATAGGTCAAGAAATCAATATGTACAAAAAATACTCTTAGACCAATGAAATGTTAATGGGCTGAACATTTGTTAGAGGACGCAATTTTATTTATGGGGCCATGATAAAAAATCTGATAGACATAATTGTAGGCAAAGCAATTTGCTACAAAATATATAATTTTTTGTACGATAGATAGTTTAGGAGATATAGCCAAAAACATGTTTCCCCCCCTTTTTCCTCGATGGCGGCCGGGGGACAAGGCGCTAACCCCACAAACTTTTTTTTATGAGGTGAAAATGCACTTACGCAGGCCCGCATCAAGGATGTCGAGTTTGACGCGGGGACTGTACAGAGGGGTAGCGAGACCCCACCCACTAAAAACACCTCAGCCCTTCACACGCCCTTAATATGGGCCCTCGAGGTTCGCTAGGCATTCTACCCAAGGAACCCCCAAAAAAAAATCCCATAAATAAAATTGCGTCCTGTAACAAATGTTCAGTTTGGCCCTCAAATTGTAACATTTCAATGGACTATCTACTTTTATTTTCGACAGAGTGTCAGCAATATTTTTTCAATCGTGCAATTATTGATTCCACATGACAGTACATTCAAGAAATTCTTATCTTTAATTACTGTTTACTTAAGTCATACAGCCCACGGACAAATTGCCCGAAGGCTGGAACGTTGTTTTAAAAATTAGTCGTATGACCCTAAGTCAAATTGGTTCTAAAATACTTCAGTAGGCAGCTGGTTTCACATAGTGGTGGACCAGGCAAGAAAGTGCCTTATTTATTATTTTAGTAGCACACTGGCAGAATTTACAACGATTGCATTATTCATAATTTTCTACAAAAAGATTTAGGATTTATGTTTCTTGTTTTGTTTAAATTTTCTATTAATAACTGTCATATTGTACGTATTAAGTTATTGTAAGAATAAAATAATTAACGTATTAGATTTTAAAATCTGTCGGGTAGAATTACAAATTATTTCTAAAGGCACTTTAGATTCCCACAACGCATCAGTTTATTTTGCAATATGAACACGGTGTAAAGTAACCACAACTTAGCTGAAACCACTGGTCGGTAATAAAAACTGTTTACAGCTATTAAATGACCACTCGCAGCAGATTCCTACTGCCATGCTATTTATGTTATAGTCATAAAACTGGTGTCATATAAACAAGCTTCAAGGAACCTCAGAGAGTCGAGGGTTCGCGCGTTTTTTCGCAGTCAAAAACGTATATACATACGAGTCATAGTATCCTAGAATCCTTAGTCTATGTATATCTTTATAAATATATAATTCTTCTGCACGTCTGTATGTCACTGAACTCCTCTTAAACAGCTGGTCAGAGTTGAATCAAATTTTTTGTATGCGTTTGGGTGGCGCCCTGTATGGTTTAGATTTACAAATCAGCCCGGTAGATGGCGCTGCAGTCGGTACTTTCATACTTTGTTTAATATGCTAATCTCTTAAAATTTAATACTGGTCCGCTAGTTTAATATATTTATCAAAAATATATATAACAATATATAATCCAAGAACAATATGGTTTTATAATGATACCCTATTGTTGCGTATTTTAAATTAAACGCCATTTTTACCTCAACTTTACGTGAAATGCTTAAATTTATATAGTATTGGAGTAAACACTGCCTGCATTATAAATAAAATTCAAATTTAAATTGAATTCAAAATTTGACAATATTTTTTCCAATTATTTAATAAACCCTCTTGTTTTTAACCTTAAACTCATTTTAATAGATATTATTATTTTTTGTGCAAAAAGTGTAAATAAATATGTAGGTATATATTATAATCGTACAAAATTACAAATGAAACAAAATTTAATCCATAAAGTATTTAACTAAATTGCAGTTAGTATAATTCATTTATTTGAAATAATTTAGTAATAAATTAAATTAAGCAACAGCTATCAATAACGTTTGTATAATGTACCTCTCATCATAAGATGAAACCAGTTGAAATATTTGTATGTAAATCGTTTTACGGATCAGAAAGCTTTCTCAAACGTCTCTCTCAAATCTTATATTTCGTATTTCTCAGGAGTACCGTATTGTAATTGATTTACTTGCCTTATAATTTGCGCAAAGTGTATATAGGTTCCATATTACTGTAACGGGCGGGTTAACGGAGTGTCCCGGTTCAAATCAGTTACGCAACTGTTGTATATGTTTTTGCGTTGTTACGACATTGTTTAGTTCATAGTTCGCGCAATCACACAGATGTTAACTGTAAGTCATGAGAAATTTCAGTATATTGTGACGCTGTCTTGGCGTGCTATATTTATGCTTAAACAAGATTAGCTATAACGATTAGCAGTAAAGCGAGACAGCAATAATATGTCTGAGAAATATTGCAGTATTTTCGATTTCAAAGCTATCGTTCCGGCTATACGGCTGTGACACTAAAACTTCATCGGACATACAAAAAATATTTTTCAATATTTCCCGGCCATACTAAAAATATTGCCAATATTGCATAGTATAGCCGTAAATGCTGGCTAATGCTACCAGCCACACCCTTGGAGCTATACATTTTCGTGAAAAAATGGCCCGTCTAGGAGCCCCGTAATAATAAGTAACAGCAGTGTTCGCCTAGTGGCTTCAGCGTGCGACTCCCATCCCTGACGTCGTCGATCGCCGGCTGTGCACCAATGGACTTTCTTTCTATGTGCGCATTTAACATTCGCTCGAACGGTGACTGAAAACACCGCGAGGAACCTGGCTTGCCTTAGACCTAAAGAGACGACGGCGTGTGTCAGGCACAGGAGGCTGGTCAAATACTTGCCTATTAGATTAACAAATGCTCATGAATTTCAAATTTTTCAATTTTTACAATTGAAAAAAAAATCACCGATAAATACTTTATTTCTTAGTATCAAAGGCTATTTTGTATTTCCAAAATATTTGAAAAACAGCCGTGAATATTCGAATTCTGGTTATTTACGAACAAAAAACCTTTATTAATTACTAGTAATTTTGCCTCTTAGTTTTTATAAAAAAATATGTGTATAATTAATTATTATTTTTATAATCTAAATGATTTATTGTTTATACGTCAATGATTAAGATAGAAGGCTATTGTCATATTGTTTAATGAAGGAGTGCAAAGTTATGTGCAAATATATAGTAATACTGTATAGCACAAGATATAGTCTTCACCAGGGCAATGGAATCATTGGAATAATTTTTATTATCATTATTATTATTTATTTCTATAAAAGACATACCATAAACAATAAACATGTTTGTAAACAGCGTAGAAAGCTATACATAATTAGCTATGCTTGAATTATTTTTAATTTTTAATGTATAAAATTATCTATTTAATTAAATTGTATCAACATGCTATCAGATTTTTGTAATAGCGGATGTTATAATCCCTTGAGGGTAATTAAATCGGGAAGTGCACTTAAGATTTGTAGTGCGAAGTTCCCGGATGTGGGCGTCCTCGTTTGTCGCACGAATTTTTATCACGGTTTCATTTTGTAGTCTAATCCATATTCAAAGGCCTATCTATGGGTGGAAACGAGTCAACAATTATAAAAAAAATATTTATAAAAAAATATTGCAACTGATATCGTAGCATTCTATTGATGAATATTTGAAATCTATTTGTTTCTTGATACTAGGACTGAGGTCACAATGTTAAAATAAAAATTAATAAATCAGTGGCGTTACAGCCTTTTTAGGGCCTCAGATTTCTGTATCTGTTTCACGATCATTTGTTAATCTAAAAGGCAAGCAGGCCTTCTGTGCCTGACGCGCGCCGTCGACTTTTTGGGTCTAAGGTAAGCCGCTTTCCTCACGACGTTTTCCTTCACCGTTCGAGCGAATGTTAAATGCGCACATAGAAAGAAAGTCCATTTGTGCATAGCCGGGAATCGGACCTACGAAGTACGACCTCAGGGATGAGAGTCGCACGCTGAAGCCACTAGGCCAACACTGCTCACAAATGTTACCTTTTAATATTATTATTTGGAATTTAAACCTGGGTATAACAAAACAAACATATCCTTAACTGTTCTTAAAAATTGTATGAATGTCGTCTTTCTTCTTGCATACACGAACTTTTGTACGTCCATTAAGATTTGGCAACGCCCACGGAAGCATTGTGCAAGGTTACCATAAAAATATTTGACAGTGTTTCTGAGTATATTGTATATGTGATACTTTGTCTAAAATCAAATATTGTAATTAGGCCATTATGCGATGAACAATATCGAATGTATATCAGAAGAAACTTTTATACTAAAAATCAATTCGACACAAAGGGAACATGGCGCGGAAAGAAAAGTGCGTGCGTTGCGTGCCCAATGGCTTCATTTATATTTATGAGATCGTCAAACAGGTTGCTACAAAATTAAGAAAAAGTTTCACTTGATAAATGTGGCTTTACTTCCTTGGTTACGAATATCGATTCGACTTTTGAACTTTTTAAATAACCAATGTCCCTAGAAACTATAGAAGCCGTAGAAGCTATTTTGTATTGATTTATTTATTTATATGTGTGATGCTTTTATCTATGCTATGTATATGTCGCAGCCAACTAGCTTAATTAGCCGTTCAATTAACAGCCTAGCCTTTTAAATAAACAGCACCGATTAACAACATTTAATAAACTGCCCTGCGATTCTGTAACTCTGATAAACAATAAACTACAAGCTCCCACCTTTGCAGAATGCCAAATCATAAAATGACTGCTTCACGACTGAATACTGATTTGAGAGCGACCGCCGATGCGAAAACCGCTGTGTGAGTTCGAAAAGTGAGTTACAGAATCGCAAGGCTGGCCGGCTAATGCCTAAGCCATTCGTAGGATAGAGTGACCATGTGACAGAAATAAAATGGATGAAACATCTGACATAAAAAAATATTTATTTAAAAATTAAATTGCTTGAGTCAATCACAGCTTAATTCACATTATTATTGCCACTACACTCTTCCATTGTACTGGTTGTTTTTCTCAACTTTGGAAAACACCATCCAAGTTGTGGTTTGCCGACGCCATATTGACAGTTTATACTATACTTATAGTATCACTTACATCTCCAGCTTATTTTTTGCCATGAAAAACTTATTTATCATAATAGCGTTATTCTTTCCTGTAATTTCTAATATCTCTTATATGAGATATACATATGTATATAATATAGGTCCAATCGCGTTATAACATGATTACAATTCTTCTTAAAAATAAAATATTGTCTATAGGACTCGCTAAGATTCTTGTAAAAGGCTTAAAAAATTAAAACAATATTCTGAAAATAATATAATATTTTATTGCATACTCTTTCTTTATATTCATCCACGCTTTGATAAGAGTTATACTAAACACGTCAGGCAAAATAAAGCTATAAAATTCTCACATGAAAGTAATTGAGGATGTCCGTTATAAGGACATTGGACGGTCGGTTCAAGTTCACAAAACGTCTGAGGTCAGGGATTTTTTACACGAATTTTATTTAGCTCTTGAACTAAATTCAATAAATAGATATAGAAATGAACATAATAATAACCTCCTCATAGTTTCTATGGATTATAATCATTTACTTTATGAATGTATTTTTGATGAGGTTAAATCTAGAAAGGTTGCCAATTCTCCCCTTACCTAGGGTAGTTAGTAGTATGTGTTCTAAAGCTGGATCTGAAGAAGTACTAGTCGAGTACTCTCCAGGGGATCATCGATTGTCTATAGGGATATGTCTGTGACATAAGTACCGAAGTAATCTAGCACAGATTATCGACATAATTTGACATGCGACAATTTGTGTGATAAAGAATAGTAAGGGTCATTAGTTAAGAGAACGATGGAAAGACTCCAGGCACCAAATTATACCGCCCGATACATTATAAAATTATTTTACTTTTTTAAATTGTATTATGAGCATTAAAATGTGAAGTTAATAATATAAAATATTGCTATACGGTTCTCCAAATATATGGTATTTTATTAATCCGTGTAGTTTTATAAAAATTAATTTTATTTAATTAATCATAAAATCCAGTCCAATAACCCTATAAATTTCTCGCGCTGTAGTTATGTTATATTCTTAAGTATGATAATCTATTTTCCCACCGAGTTCAAAGCACGTGCTGCATTGCATGTGCTCCAAACAAAAACCGGCTACAGCTGTACCAAGATACAAAAAATAAACAATAACATTTGACAGTCGAGATCAATGCTTTTCGTTTTTCAATAGGCTATTCCTTGAAACATCCCTTTCATTATTATATGTAAAGAACTAACGGACATTCGCATTTCTGTCTTCAGATTCAAAAATATTACGCGCAAAGCAAAATCACTCAATGATGGCGAAAAGAGAATTCATAATGATTATTGTGTCGTATTTAAATTTGAATTTTGAACTGTCTATAGAAAGCATACACCCTCGCTGCCACAGAATATAAACTCACACCGAAAACAATTATAGACAAAGTTTAAAGAAACGTTGTTAGACCCTTAATTGATTTTTTATCCGGAAAATTAATTGGATATAGATGAAACATTATTCGATACAACTAATAATTTATACCAATTAATATCAAAGGCATCTATAATTTGTAATGGCCCCAGGCGGGCACGTTCTTTAAGGCTCTCCAAGGCTTGGTCTACACTCCAATAATAATTGTTCAGTAGTCGGCAGGTGTGCACTAACACTAGTGTACTACACACACAGGCAATTCTGTAACGAGCCGTACATAGCACGTTCTTTGAAACTTTAAGCTCCGAATATGTTGCTCTACTTAATATTCATTCTTTGTAAACTATTTCTCTGTTTAAGTTATAGTTAAAATTAAATTTGAGTCACTTCACATTATTATTGGTATCTGATTACATATTTAGTGTTTATTACCACAATTGACAGACTTATTAAACATTTGTTCTAAAATGATAAGATAAGTAAATTATGAAAAGCCAGTTAGTATCTAAAGATTTTGAAGTCTATCACCATCAGTCAGTCATGATGTTTTAGTATTATTTTTCAATAGATTACTTTACTAATAAGTTACAATTATTGATTTTGGTGGACCCTAGGACTTGGACTAACTGTTAAACACGCCAAGCGCCTCTTTAATGTTTGAAATAAATACGTGTTATGATATGATAATACGTGAATTATGATTGAATTTATCAGACAACATTTAAATGTAACTCAAGTAGAGCAACATGCCGACCTGTTTACAATACACGAGTGGAGGCAACCACTTTTTTTACAAACCCAACGTATTCCCTCGCCCCTTACATCCCGAACATCAGTTCCTTATTCTTACTAAAACACTCGCCATGTGCTCTTGCATCCTGTTCTGATTTTAAATAACGTTACGCATAGTGTAATGCAATGAATCACAGAGTGTAATGTATTAAATGTATGTGCAATAATGGATACATTAAATGTTGTTCTGAAAACAGGATACAAAATTGTTAAGGATTTTTCCGAACAACATATTCACGTGAGTTGAAGCCTTTATTTTTAAAAATGTATAAATTAGGTTCATTCATAAAAGTAGGTTGTTTGAGTTTCAAAAGCATTCAAAGCTTTAAAAGTTGAACTAAATTTATTTGCAAAATGGAAGTAATCTTCATAAAGAAATTAAACCTATACAATCTACCTCTACTATTATAGGAATTGTTTTTACTTTAGTAACAGAAGGTATCTATCTCTATCTTATATGACTTAGTAACGACGCGACGGTTAGCCTAGACTTGCCTTCAATTCAGCGAAACAATAAACAAATGAAGTTGGCGCTGAAATATATACGTCACAGAATCCTCAGTCAAGATTTCATCTACGATTTTTATTACCTTCGGAACTTACAGCCTACATACCTAAATCTGTTTTTAAGTATTGCATGTCTATAACGTATAAAACAGGTTAGCGGAATAATAACGGAAATTACAAGCAAACGTACTCGATTACATGTTACTAGAGCTAAACTTGACCGTATGCAATTTCTGCACATTTGTTCCGACTAAATTTAGGTGAAACTTAACACTTTCACAATAATTTATGCTATAACGGAAAGCATTTTTATCTTCAAAATTATTTATTTATTTAACCGTTTACTATAATAATAATAAATCCGGTTTATCTCCAATATTCAGTTTATTTTTTTAATAATATTTAATTGTTTCTTGTTATCCTTACTTTAGTACCACTGATAGGAACCCCTTCACGTATTCCTAACTTTCGTACTAAATTATCTGAAATTATCGTGATTCATATGCACTTTTTCATTTACATATGTATCCATGTGTACCTTTTTTTATTATTGTCCTGATCACTTTTTACATATGTTTTAGTTGCTTTGTTTTGTCTAAATTACTGTCTTATGTATTTTTGCATTTCTTGCGCTTACCTTATCTAATCTTTATTTCTCACAGTGGTTGGCCACCACGAAGAGTTCGCTCGAAAGCGACAAGGCCGCCAGTTGCGCTCCTTTTTATTTAATTATGTCAATTGTATTATATTTCTGTATATGCAAAGAAGTGTTAATATGTAAATAAAATAAATAAAAGCCTCCAGCTTTTTCCATATTTATCTATCCATGCTTTTCCTTCTCCATTCGCTTCCTGCTAACGCTTCTATTTCTTCTATCCACCATTTTTTATATGTACATCTTGCTATATTGGCCATTACCACTTCTTTTTTAGAGCAGAATGTAACCTTTATTAGTAATTATTAATCAATTATCATACGAGTATTCTTTGCGATTATCCGATTAGATCTGTCACGGATGTGCGAGTATCTTTAATATGTCAGTGTCAATAAATTTTTGGGGCTGTTGTTTAGAAATAATGAAACTGTATAGCTTTCTTAAGACTTGTTTTGAATAAAAGTGGTAAAAGTTCAGTTGCTCGGACGGCCTAAGAATGCAGAGTCAGGATTGTGAGTAATTTATACTAAAACAAATTTTGCCTTATCAACAGATGGAGACGTCAGGAGGGTCAGAGAGTTCTGGAGGAGAAGACTCAGAGGCTCGGCGGTCACGAAGAGGCCACGTTCTTGCGGAACTTCTACAGACTGAAAGAATCTACGTACAAGAAATGGGCTCAATTCTCACTGTAAGATTTTTTCCTGCTCTATTTCGTAATTTCGCTGATATGGTCCATTAAGCACCTCGATATCTCTTGTGCGTTACGCGCTCTGAAAATTAAATATGCCATTGTATTCACATAGTAGTGCCACGCTCAGTGGCCCGCTATGGACCATCTGACATCTCACCATTTATCTGATGTACAAGCCACGCACGCGACGACCGCTCAGGCGCAGCGGGCCCACTCAATGGAACGCCAACGCTTTACATTTAGCACATTCGCAAAGTACACCTCGATGCTAACTCTCCGTCGCGTGTGTATTTTTTGTTTAGTGCAATATGAAACATGGAAAATACGACCTCCACAAGTCTTCCGCCGATCTTAGCATTGGCACTTCCTACTCATGGTACTACAGAAAAAATGATAGCACCACAACGCGGAAGAAGAAACTTTCGAGAACCGCCTCTGAATCGACTCTTTTCAGTGACTATGCGAATCAAATATCGCTCTTCGATAAAACGAAAAATAAAAAGAAGAAAAACCCTAGTGTCGTACCAAATCGAATTACATGCCAGAAAAAGAACTTAAAGCCAGTGTACCTATTACCGTTTATTGGAAACTTTTATTACGGTGAAGTACTACCTGGTTATGAAGACACACCGAAAACAGAAGAGAAGATTGTTTACTTGCCGGATTCCGATGTTTTGACAGTATCTGAACGACATAACACTGAACTGGCGTCATTAGCAAGCAGTAACTCAACTCTAGTTTCTTTTGGGAACACCGTAAAAAATCCCATCTACGGCTTTAAAGAAACGGACGTCCACGTATCGACTACAGAGTATTTATCTGATTCGTCAATTACTAAAGACTCTCAATTACAAACTAACAGTTGTACAGAAATACGAGATACAATGGAAAGCAGCAAAGCGTCGAACGATGTTTTTATGAATATAATGAAGGATTATAAAAGAATAATGAAAGAATGGAATAGCACTATAATAGACCACTATTCCACGGGCTCCCATTCAAAACGTTCCACAATGTGTTCGAAAAGCAACACAGAGAGCTACGTACGAAGTTTGCATTCAACATTATCGTATCGAAAGAAAAGGCGCGAAAAATGGTCCATTAATCATAAACAAACATATAGTCATAAGTGCAAACGATATCAGAGTAAACATCGCAAAAAATCTCAAAGCCTGAACAAGAATCAGACGTTCAGTAATTGGTCGTCGACGTTACAGAATTTTAAAAACATCTTCCAAAAGCACGGTGAAAATATAACACATCGCGATTGTTTGGAAGCAATTTATGAAGATTACGATAGGCGTTTACAACAGTGGTGCGATGCCATCAGTGAATACCCGTCTTCGTTTGACTCGGTACATCATGTACTAAAATATCTTTTAGCTTAGCTCGCGCTTGAGTTTGCTGTAAAGACAAATGTGTCCAAGTAAAAAGTCTAAATTCCTGATTATCTTTACACAATAAGTTTAGCTTTTTAAGTGACAATGTGTTACAGTTCAAAGTTTCTTTATTAGGTTGGATGTATGTGCACCTTCTGTTAACCTCGTCACCTTCTCTAAATTAAATTTAACTAGGAAAGCAGCTCCGCTTGATTCACCCACATGCACACTAATTTTGAGACATCGGAACGAGAACTGAACTGTCTTCTATTGTCTGTTACAGGGATACAAAGATGAAATTGAAAAAGCGGAAAACCAACACGCCCTGCCACCAGGACTAGCAGGACAGGCAGATGTTCTGTTTGGAAACCTTCACGAACTCTTCACATTCCATCAAGAAATATTTCTTAAGGATTTAGAGAAATCAATCTCAGCGACAGAACTTGTTGCGCTCTGTTTTGTTGAAAAGGTAATTTCTAATTTTTAAGAATTCGTCTGTTGATAAAAATAAAAGCTGACTATTTTTGTTTATGCATTTTTTTGATAGAAAGGACAAACGGGTAGGAGGCTCATCTGATGTTAATAACGGAGGGCTCGCGTGTGCGTTGCCGGCATTTTAGTAATAAAATCTGGATCTTGATCATTATCATTAACCAATCACTTTTGTAGACCATATTACAGTCTATATGACACCAGACCACGGCATTAGACTTTCAAAAAATCTTTATTAGAGTTGATGCGATCTTCTGTTCTTTCTTCCTTATATTCATACTTACAATATTAAAAATTTCAGAGAGAAACATTCTTTCGCCTATACAGTTATTATTGCCAAAACATACCTCGTTCAGAAAGGCTTCGAGAGACACTGGTGGACACACATCTATTTCTTCAGGCTTGCCAACAACGTCTCGGTCACAAGCTGCCCCTAGCTGCTTATTTGCTCAAACCAGTGCAAAGGATTACTAAATATCAGCTTTTACTAAAGGTCAGTTATCATTATTCCTTTTATTGGTGTTAGGAATAAACGGAAACTGAGGTAATTTGGACGGGACATCTTGCTAAATAAAATTAATCTAAAAATACTTATTTTAGTCTCCGTATCGGGGTGCCAAGCTTTTAAAACATTTAACTTCGTCATGTTTACTACATAGAACAATCTATGATGATAATATTAATTGGAATGAGGCTTATTTTGGATACTTGTTTTGTCCAGTACTACGCATTAATACGTACGTACATTTTACAACATTTTGAATTTCTTAGTGTTATGGACAAAACATTTACTTACTCCGCTGGCGCAGCGACCTAAAGTGAGGCTTGGAAACTAAAGAAAGCCAGCTTTACCCACGAGCTACTCGCTAACGCATAGGTCCTTCTCTCCGGTGTCTTTACAGCGATATCTGGACTGAAAAACATTTATTAGTTACTTACTATCGACACTATCGGATGTTAAAGAGGACGGACGCTGATGTCTGAACATAGATATTCCAGTAATCTTAAAAAGACGACCTTAAATGTATTTTAGAAATTATTTGTCTGTAAACGTAACATAGTACAAAAGCAGTTCTCTCAAATTGAAGCCTCGGATGATACATTTAATATTAAATATGTAAAATATATTTAGATAATAAAGCAATAAAATGATTATCATTTTATTCCAGGATCTCCTCCGGTATAGCGATTGTGGGACAATGAGTGCTGGTCTCCAACAGGCATTGGACTGTATGTTGGTGGTCCTCAAATGCGTGAATGACTCCATGCACCAGATCGCTATAACTGGCGTACCGGTCAGTATATTTTAACATAAATTTTTAAAATTTAATGTACATCATGCATATTTAAAAAATCAAGCAGTATGTCCACTACACCGTGTCATGTCATGACCATGCTAGGACCGAGATAAAAAATATATTTTGTTTCGATGAGTTACGAGGTTTTTTATATAGAATTGTTATTATAGTCAGGCAACATTTAGAACGGTCACCAGTCCCCACCCTCTCACCGTTTTGCCGCCTGCACGGACCAGTGTTGCATTGTTCCATCTTCGGATCGTTTCATTAGCGTCAAAATCTCTACTTTGAATATGTTTTTGTCTAACACGATTTTAGTATGGCACTGTTACACTGCTACTATTAGCAGGGTCATTGTATGAGAGGGTGCTAGCGTGCTCATGGACCATGGTATGACATGGTTCTAGCACGGTCATGGTATGACACGTTGTAGGGGCGGAGTCCATTCTATTGTAGAGCCATTATTAATATAATATTTTTTATATCTTTACAGGTTGATCTCAATCAACAAGGCGAACTTCTACTACAAGGGTCCTTCCTCGTATCTTCTGAGACCAAACGCGATCTCCGACTGCGTATACGTCCGCGGCGCAGACATATTTTCCTTTACGAAAAAGCCATGCTCTTCTGCAAACCAGCCGCTAAGAACAGCCACAATAAGGCCACTTACCACTTCAAGCATGACTTGCAGGTGAGACTACATAAGAGGTTAATAGCTTTTACAAAACGTTGGGTACCATGGATACGATGTTAGGAAAATAATGGTAACCATGGTAACCATGCAAATTTTTATCCACGATTAACGATTAATTCATATATTTTTAAAAGTTGTTTGGATATTTGAAGTTTCTGGTTTAAGAAAAATATTTTGAGTTAGCCTAATTGGAGGTACTCTGATGAAATTGGATTTCATTGTTAGATAACATTATTATTATTGGAATCGGTTTTACAGAGTAACCTAGCTGGAAAAGTATGTTTTACCCAAAGACAAAGGGCGACATGAGTAATAAAAAAAAGTGTTTTCAGGAAGAACTTGCAACAGATCTCTGTCTTATATCCCCCGTATTCGAACCAAGAACTGTCGACGAGGAACCCTAACTATAAAAAACGCAAAAACTAGACTTTTTTTCAGCAAATCTGGAGTCACAACTATTTCCTTATTAATCTTTTTCAGATGTCCCAAATCGGTCTTACCGAGTCCGTAAAGGGTGATGTGCGTAAGTTCGAAGTATGGCGTCAAGGCAGGGCCGAAGTGCATACGATAAGTGCGCCCACAGCTGAAATCAAAAGAGCGTGGGTTGAGAGGATCAAAAGGGTTCTACTTGACCAGCTCAAGGAACTCAAGGGAGAACGGGTCAGACAATACGCACAGAATCATAGGTGAGTTTTGATATGATTTGAACACGTTATTGTTAAGCGAAGTCACAGTTCTTTTTACTAAAAGAAAGACACTTTAAAGCTGTCATTTACAATCTGTCATAACTTAAAGAAAATATATACAACATACAGTAAATAGAATAAAATTAAAGAAATCCTATTAATATGCGTTAGTTATCATTTTACATTCATCGACATCCACAATTAGACCACATCGGGGAGAGTTTATTTCCAGTTCTTGTCCGTTCTACGCCTGATTTGAGAACTGGCAGTAAATGTAAAATTAGAAGCATTTAATATGTATTTCTTTATTGACATTCATAAGTGTACATTGTGTTGCCTAAATGAATAAATGATATTGAAAAATCAAATTTGTCTATTTAATATGGAAGTCTCTCGTCACCACCATTGCCGGAAAGTACTCGAAGTTATGACAATAATGTCAGAAATACGCGTTTCTAACCATTGAAGTATAGCTTACGTACTTATAAAAAATATAACCGATGGCTCTACATTTTTGTTAATTTAATTTATTATTTTGGTAAATCGTATAGTACACAGTAATAGGTACAATAGAATCTCTTAAATTGTCTTAATTCTGAAAGTTTAAAAAAATTCCAGGACACTAATTCAAACCAGCTCCTGGGATCTGGGTCCCCAAAAGGAGCGACCACAGCCACCCTCGAATCCCTCTCGAACGGGTTCTTGTGATAATCACGATGAGCCCTGCTGGTCCACAGATCCGTCGGAGGACGAAGAAGACGAACCCGAGCACGCACCGGTACGTATACGCGCACGTGCGTACGTTAATTTCGTTTAACTTTGACCTCATTTTTCATTTAGAAATTGTATTTAAACGGATTTAACTACCTTCGTCTCTTTCTGTTTAATTGTGTTTACGCTGTGATTAAAAGAGAGAAAATGTTATTGTTAAAACGGTGAAATTTTCGGGAGTTTTTTAAGCTCTTGTATGAATGTTGTGTAATCATTTTTCTACAGAGCTTTATGTTTGTAACTTAAAACATAGGTTTCATTAATTCATTAATTTTGTTCAAAAATAGCATTGAATGTGTACGTCTTAAAACATTAAGGAAAATATAATAAAAAATAGCGTTCAAGCAGGCTATTATCAATTGTATTACAACTAATAAGGCAATATCTCTTGTATATTCTCGGCTAATTCCTAAACGGGTTATATATCCAATTACCAATCATATTCGCGAGTCGATTGTTTAAAATATTACGTGCCGTATCTTTTACGACTGGTTTGGATATAAAATCCGTTAACTAACTGTAGGATTAGAGGTCTGGGATGTAAACGGTAATAATGGTGACTAATTTTGGGTTTACAGTGTGAGTGAAGTGCTCAATAATGTAAGTGGAAAGTGATTTTATAGGAATGTGGGTTCTAGACCGGTGTCACCGGGTAGCGCATGACTAGGCTGCCATCCTGACGCACTTCGCTTCCCGGGAACTAACTAGGCCACGAATTAATAGAAAGTGTTTTATAGTATCTCAATATAGAGGTGATAGAGTAAAGAAACGGAACGGGGTTGTGCTTTTGTATCGTGAATATTCTGGAGAATTTTTATTGGAACGAAGTTCCTTACGGCAGGCTTGGAGGAGATAGGGATTTTGCTGCGCGACCGAACTGAAAAAAATGTGATAGTAAAACCGTAAGAAAAAGTCCGTGGTATAAAACCGTTAAATGCGACGTGCGCAGGCGCGACAGTCGTATACACAAGCGAGTATTGCGCAATATTTTTTAGTCTGAACGCTTCCCTCGTGTTATCTTTTTCTGAAGCGTTCAGACTTCAGCTTCCCTCGTGTTTGTATTTTTTTTCTCAAGTCTTTTAAGAGATTTGCAAATTGTGTCAATTCTACATTAGCCGAAGGAATTTCGTTCCTACCTGGTGTCCCACGACAAAACATCTTTTTATTTATTTATAATCTTGTCTTTAGAGAAGAATCTTTACAAAATTCATTAAGAACATCAACAGAGCATTATAGGCACTGGCGAATAGTTGAACTTTAGTCAGTTCACGCAAAGGACAATAAAGAAAGTCCGTTAACCTATTCATTAACTATGGTCGATATCGTATACGTGCCTTTTATAAACTCACTAACAAAGAGTGCTTCCCAAATATATCTTTATAAAATATTTAGTTCTTTACATCTTATTTGTCCAACATGACATGCAACGATTTATCTATGACCGTCACTCTTGCACTTTTGTGTACGTCTATACTTAGATTAATTAAAATTTATACATAAGTGTTTTATTAGGAATTTACAGAATATGTAAAAAATATAAAATAAATAACTTTAAATAGACATTTTGACTTGAAAACAGATTAATTACGTACTGTAATATCACAGCAGTAATCCAACTACTTTCAGTAGTCTGAATGCAGAAGATTATTTTCGACTATAGTATTTTATATTCCTTTAAAAACGATTGTTTTATATTAAATTTTTGGTACCAGGATAGGAAATATGTTAGAAAATAAACGTTTTTTAGAAACAAACTAAATCTTACGCTATTTAATTATTTTCAAATATGTATTATGTTAATTTAAATAATCATTAGTTTGTTATCTATGCTTCGACATTCGCCTAGAATATAAACTAGCAATTTCCGTTCCGTTTCTTTACCAAGCTCTAACAGACTCACAACCGCTGCCGCATTTTGTTTTGCCACAGTCATCGCTTATAGTTCGATCACGTTTGCACTGGTCACTCGGAATTAGCCTAGGGAGCAATGTATGTTGTGTTTTCAACAGGTGACGGAGGCCGTCGGTCTCAACGGTACCATACACAGAATGGTTCAGTTCTTTTCCGTATCGGGCTCCACACAAGCCAACTCCACGTTTTACGTGTCCCAGTACTAGCCCACTCCGGGCCTTGTATATAAGACTGATTTAGATAATTTTATTGCCAAAGACGACGTGTAGTCGCTGATTTAACTTGTGTAAGTGTTTTGTTTGTACTCATTGTCGTGTGCTTACGATACTGTGCGCTTCGCTTATCGATGTTGTATCATTTATTTACCAGCTATAGATTCATGAATTGGGACGTATTTACGTATATATACCTACGGTTAAACTATAGTCTCGCACGGCATATCTTTCATGGCACACACTGGTCTCTGTCAAGCTCAGGACTTCTTACTATACTCTTATGAATGTAGATCTATATCTTCATTATTAAATATATTATCTATACACATATTTGATGATGTCAAACATTAGGTTATAGCAATAAGTTACTATCTGTAGGTATTAAAAATATGTATGTATTTACGATTTTAATTATCATTTTGGTTAGGTGTCTATCAAATATCATTCGGATATATTTATAAGTATATATTGATATATTTAAGTCTATCTATAAATTACATTATCGACTTCAGGTTTTCCAAACTATGCGTACGTAACAACGTACACGTGCATGGCTTCGCGAAACAAACTAACGCGTTATATTAAAATTATTTCAACTGCATTCCACTATTAAAATCATGAATAACGCAGTTAAAATATTGTTAATATGAAAGTACTAACAACGTGCATGAAAACATTTAACACGCGAGGTGATAATAGTTTTGGTCACGCATGATGTGGTTATTGGAAGATTAAGGTGCATGAGTGTGTTATAGATGAACGGTAACACATTGACAATGCCACACCTATATGGACATTAAAATTACATAGAAACTCGCCTAGATTAGCCACGACATACATTTGTCTCGTGACAAGTTTCACTACCTTTAGCTAGAATAAAAATGAATGTGGTAAATACCACACGATAATTATTATACATTTCTGTAATTGAATACTTGAAATAAACAACCGCTCTTCCAACGACTATTAAATAAGTCATAGTCGTAGAATTGTGACGTATCTGACAAATAGTAAACTTTACAGGGCAGCCATTTCAAAATAATATAATCATGTTAGTTTTTGTCACAACTATTTTAATTCATATTCTGTTATTATGAAAATTGGCATACAAGCAAACAAACGGATTTGTTTTGAAACAAAATAAAAATAATAACATTAAATTACACAGTTTTCTAGAAAAATCACATGTTTCTGTCAAATTCGTCACTTTACCGACTGATTAATTTGAAATTTAAAACACATGGGTTTTTTTTAATGTAGCCGTAATATTTAGTCAATGTACCAAGTATCCAAATATGATAAAAAGTGGCTACGATCATGACTATTTGTACCCAGAACAATCTTGTACACTAGACACTTTAACTCTAAAGGTTTGTTTTTGTACAATTGGTACAATGTTAACGTGGGATTTGGTGAATAGGCGGTGGGTTGCGCGCTCATGGCCCTGTCGGACTACACCGCGGTGGGCGCCAGTGAGGTATCTCTTCGGGAAGGGCAACACGCAGAGCTACTAAAGGTGGGCTGCGCGGGATGGTGGTACGTGCGACTTGCAGGTAACTATATTACTAGGTGATGGGAAAAGGCTGATAAGCCAGGTGTGGAAATCTGTGTGCCTTCTGCTCCATCGGATCAATAAACATTAATTATATATTTATATATATGATTCTACTGAATACCTCTTAAAGTCTTAATCGACTGGACCGATTGAATTAATTTTTTTGTATGCGTTTGGGTGGCGCCCTGGATGGTTTACATTCACAAATCAGCCCGGAAGATGGCGCTGCAGTCGGTAACTAGGTTATTTATCTATACAGCAAATAAACAGCTGGTATATATATATATCTTCTGTGCATGTGTTCGAATTTAAACTCCTAAACGGCTGGACAGATTTTGATGAAATTTAAGTGTGTTCAAGTAGTCGAGAATTATTTACATTATTAGATATTTTTTTGTACGTCGTGTACGGACGTCTTCGTCATCTGTCATCCGCTAGTTATATATATTTTATTTTATTATATATTAATACAATTATGTTGAATAGATTGGTTTCGGTTTGAAAGCAATAGCAGACTTTATTTTACTTTATAGTATTTACTACTGACCTTGCCGTTTTTTATTAAATATAGTAATTAATTTATGTGTATCTTTATTTATGTGTATATAGATACTATGTAACAATTATTTGCAGGTGGTCAAGGTGAAGGCTGGGCGCCGGCGGCTTATCTTGACCAGCGTAAGACTTCGCGCTCGTCGAGTCGATCTCACGACCGACTGCACGACCACTAAACTCGAATGGCGTTGACTCGCAAATCAGTTTGAGCCTTTGACCAATAGCTTTAGCCCAATTTCAAGGCTTCTTGGCTAAGACATATGGCTATTGATGATTATTCTTGTCAACAGCCATGAAGGTCTTACGCGTTTTCTGTTATATTTGGGCATAGAATGCATTTCAAAATTTTGTAAATAATTGTTTCTAGAAGTTTTAGCGTTTTTGTACCTTAGGGCTCATACAGACGAACGGCACGCGCCAACGGCAATCGTTAGCGCGTCGACGGCAGGCGTCAACGTTTCGGCGGCAGCCGTCGATGGGTTTTACGCTTGCAGTTGCGGCGTGCCACGACCGCCATTTTGTCAGTCGACTAGTCCAAGGCAAATAGTCCAAGAGTCCGAATCACGGTATCTCGACGAGATATTGAAGCTTTCAAAATGGTTGTTAGCTCATCAAAAGGAGCAGTTGACATTCGAAAATAATTGAAAAATTTATTTTCGTTTCTTCGCAAACTTGGATAGAGTGTAAAAAAGTTTCCATCTTGTTCTCTGTACATCAATATTTCTTCAACCCATAATGAACGTGTCTGTCTTCTTCGCTTTTGTCGGCGACGACGGCGAAGTAGAAGCAATAACAGTGTTTCTTCATCGGAAGCCATTTTGCAACTGGCTCCCAGTCTATATTAATGCTTGCAGTTGGCGCGTGCCGTTCGTCTGAATAAGCCCTTAGTAAGCCTTTTTGACTTTGTGCACTGTGTTCTGCTCACCTTTATGTAGTTTTAATACTGTGACATTTGTAGCTCTATCAAAGAACTTGTTAGAAAATAACCCGAATGTAGTAAAGTCAAAATCTGACATTTCAATAATCCAAGTAAACGAAGTGCGCTTACCCGCTTGTGTGTTAAATAATAATGTTATAAAAGCTTTATTGTATCCCCTTACTTATAAACATATCCCATCTTAATATTACTAATAATGATTTAGGACTTAGGTAATGTAAATTTTACAGCTATTTTTATAAGTAAGGGGAAGTGTTAGATGTGTATGAGTATCCAAAGTGTAGTGGCGTAGAAAATTGTTAAGCGGCATGAGATTAAGGTTGCTATATATGAAAACTCAAATAAGAGATAATTGCATCGACCATTAGAAAGAGATAATGAGTGACTTCGTAGAGCGTTGTCTCTGCTACACAATAACATTCACGATCCCTTAAATATCAATACATTTGTATGCATTGGAAATTCTACCGTATCACTTTGTAATGTGATATAGATAGCGCTTTAAAAAGTAATAGAATAATTTCAATACGAAAGTGTCTTTTTTGTCATGAGACCTAGACAAATCTTTTTAAAGATCGGTATGCATCCATAGTTTTTTAAAAGGTTTCGCAATATTGGTATCAAATTCTTTGTTTTTTTTATAACACAAAGACTTAATAGATCTTTAAATATCTGTATCGATATTTCAATGTTCGGGAAGTTTAACATTGTATTTGGGACCTAAAATTTCATATACGTTTTCTTTTATATTTTCTACCATTTTACGTTTAATCTAAACCAAATAAACCCTATCTCTGACTCCAACACTTGTAAATATTTAGTTTTAGTTATTTATTTGAAATGAGTTAGTCTCAAACGTCCATGACAAATCTGTATTAGTATTACCCTTTCATTTCACGATGCAACAACCAAAATATATCCCATAGCAGATTAAGCATAATTTAACAGTTTGAGACAATAATAATATCGTGAAATGTTTCTTAAGGTTGTAAGATAAAGATTGTAGCTATCAAAGTATCATATCCATGTAATCATATCATTGTCGCTTTGCGTTTGTTATTTGAAAACGGCATATAACGAAAACCCCGTATCTTCTGAAATCAGCATAACCAGTAGAGTCCATTGGCTAACCCTAACTATCGCTAACATTCATTGACAAGCTGACTCTTCCATCTGTCAAATTAACTCTTAGTACTCTACGATTCTATACCATCTGTCAATTGACATTCGGATTTTGCCAAATGTCGTGCTTAAAACTGTCTGTGAATATTTACGAGAAAGTAATTAAAAATAGACATAAATTTGTAGCGACCCACCATCTTCGGCTACAAATTACTGGGATACTCGTCATACCCTGAAACGCGCTACTTAAGTTATGAAGAGCGTTAAAGACAACTCGACCTAAGCGGTTAGCCACTGGGGCCAGTCAGTGGTTCAACTGGTAAACGTTAGTTTCTTTTAGGGATGTGACATTCTGCATTTAAAAAAAAAAATCGATTTTTTATTAATGGATTATTTTTTTACATTGAATAATCGATTAATAAATAATCGATTTTTCTTTAAAAAAATAATCGATTTTTTCCTAATTTTTGAATTAATTTCAAAATAAACACCCTAAATATTTTATTTTTCATGGTTTTTTAAATTAAAAATAAACAATAGAAATTATAAACACAAAATAACGTTTAAGAATAATCAAAATCAAAATAAACTTAATCTCGTTTTGATAGATTTTGATAAATGCTGAGTGTATTCCTTTTCAGTAGCACATTGCAGTATTTTTGTTGTCTTTTTAATTGTATGTAGTCTTGTGCTGCTGAATAAATTTATTTTACTTTTAAATTATAGTGTTCCATTCAAACTTGAGTTTTTGTAAAATTAACTGCTTTTATCATCCTTTTGATGTTTAAAAAAAACATCAATGTATCGAGTATATCAATACATCTTCAAAGAATCGGATTCAATGTATCGCATTGTAAACATCGTTGTGTATCAAATATCCCTAATAGTTCGAGGTCCGGGTTATAAAAGACCAGACATAATGTCGAGAGGTGGCAGATAAAAAATCGATTATGATTGATTTTCAATTATAAAAATAATCGATTATTAATCGATTATTTTAAATATGTATAAAAATCGCGTAAAAAATCGATTTTTTTAATCATGGATTATTTTTTCACATCCCTAGTTTCTTTACATCTTAAGTGGTACCTTCCTCACTTAACAAATTTATTCATACATTTGGTCATTATATATCGCATAGCCGTTTTGATAGATCATGTTTAAGGTATATTTCATAGTAAACAGTGTACGGGATTTTGTTATATGCTGTATTTTCAAAGTATTTGTGAGTGAGGTGGTGCCTATTTGCTTTTTGGTGTTATAAATACCTAGGTGTCTACTAGTCTACGTTTTTATATCTGTGTTGTTGGTATGTATTTGAGATGTCATTATTATTTGTCAAATGCATTTTGTTACGAATCATGCAAAATAAATATTACAAGGATTTTACCATTTTATTTGTTTTATTTTAATCTGTTTGCTCAGTTTCATAATCCACGTTTTATTTCCTTGGAAAATTATTTGAAGTTCTTTGCTTTATATCATCAATACATCGATTTTGTAAAGTTTGTATAATGTAGTTTGTACATGTGTAATTCCATATATTGAAAGTGCAAATAAAATAAGTACGGCTGTGAACCCCAGGGACAAGTTATAGATTACTCATATTTAGAATATCCTTCAGACAGTGGCGGATTTACCAGCAGGCTGAGTAGGCTGGAGCCTAGGGCGGCAAATTTTAAGGGGCGGCAAATTTAGTTCATAAATTTTTTATTTCGGTTTACAAATTAAAAAAAAAAAATATTATACACACACATAATACGAATTTCGAAAATTGGAGAGAAATTAAAATATTTAACAAAAATCGAAATATTCTCATATACAGTGCTAATTAATAAATATTTCAACATCTCTGCATGAACAATTCCTAAACGCTTTACTAATTATACATTAATGATTATGAACTTTTAGAATATCGCGATTCGATATTATAATCGAAATTTAGTAATTTTTACATATATTCTTCACTGATAACTGCTATAATTTTTTCTCCGTGTACCTAATAATTATGAGATCTGCTTACCCAATTCAATCGATATAATATCGATGGTCTAATAAAAATACTGACTAAAATTGACTAATTTTTATTAAATAAAAAACTAGTTCAATATCTTATAGAGATCATATTAATCAAATAACTGATAGTTGAACGACTGTGACTTGACAATAAAAAAATTCCCTCCACAAAATATGAAGTGAGACAATTTGCTCATTAGAAAATTGATACATTTTATCAGTTAATTATTTTATTTGCAGTAAGAAAAAGTTTGGAAAATCCAAATGAGCAGGCCTTAAGCGCTCATGTCGTACACGAATTATTTAAATTAAATGTTTACATCAGTAGATTTGATAACTTTTTCGCAAAGCCAACTTTTTCAGAAAATGCCAATCGGAATGAATTAATTATAATAAGATAAAACAACACTCAGCTGCAATTTTTTATTCAACGGCTTCTCTCCAGTTAAAGAAGTAGGGGAAGATCGTTACCCTTCGTACGCGGGGCACATTCATACAGTCGAAATAAAACTTGATCGAAACAAAGTACAGTCTTGTTTTTGTATGTGTGCATGAGTCGAGGTACGAACTATACATCAACGAAGTTTCGCGAAATTCGCACCGATGAGAGTGAAGTTACAGGCATGGACGTGTTTTCGCGCTCGGTAAGTAATTTTTTGATCAATGTTTTTGTCTCTTGTTACCGTAGATAAAATAAGTTTTCGTGTAGAGTATTCTATCAGTAACTAGCTAAATATACTTAGATACGTCTCCAATACTTAATTTATGACTTTTTCCTATTAATATTAAAATAAGTTATATTTTGTTGTTATTCAGTTAGTGGGGTACTTTCGGACAGCACTAGATGGGGCACATTTGAACGAATTGTACAACTAAATTTGTATGAAAATATTTTGTCGACACGAACTGTCATTTTCATACAAATTAAGTTTTCCACTTGCTACATACAAATAATAATAAGGCATCTTGACTTAACCCTCTGGTAGGTAGGAAAGATTGTGTTAGTGTGCTAATTGCTAATATTTGCATTAACTTTGTCCTGTGTTGCTATCATTGCTATCGTCGATGTATATTAATACCTATTTTTATTATCTTTATTAAGGTTGATTTTGATGCCTGTGAACCAGATGCTTTGAATAATTTACCAATCCATCAAATAGTAGTTCCTTCGAAGTCAGTTTTGACACCAGAAGCGTTTCGACTCTATCCGCATGTTGTAAGAAGTAATAAAACAAACAAAATGACGACGACGGCCAGGAAAACCACGAATTTATACTGCCACACCCGAAAATAAGAAGTGCTAATCCGCACCAAAGATTAAAAATGTGATTCTAAATTTAAGATACCTAACTAATTAAATTTTGGTTTTCTTAAGAAAAGCTATGTAATTTTTGTTCACTATAATTAAAGTATTTTATTTTTGTTTAATAGAAGTTAAATCTTTATTTTTGTGTTTAATTTCATTGCTAATAAATGAATTTTGATTTATATGTGTTGTTTTAATCGCACGTACGGAACTACCCCACAGCGTACGAAGGTACCCTCAACACTGTACGAAGGTGCCCCGTTGATGGGGTAGATTCGTACGTTTTCCAGATTTAGTTTAAATCATAATTATGGTTGAACAATCAGATGAAATCATTTGTCATTTACTTATATGAATCTCAGATAGTTAGACTATAAATTTAAGCTTGCAGATGATCGATTCATGGAAAAATAAAATAATAAAAAAATTAAATGTGAAAACCGTACGAAGGGTCCCGACCTTCCCCTATATTAAAAAAAATTGAAGTGAAAAAATTATTTTTTCGAAAGTTATCGTGTTTACTGTGAACACGATCATCCAAAATCCATACGATATGGCATTAAAATTACTTCCTTTTAAATAAAAAATAATTAATCATAACCGAAAAAATAATTTTTATAAGCTCAGCGATCATTTTTCTTGCCGATAAGTTGCTTTTTAAATAATATTCATGTACATCATATTTGTTAGGTACGGTTTAATGTGAGAAAACATCGGATTTAGATTTTTAGGCAAAAGTAGAGCATACCTACTACGCACTTCGCACTTAAGGCATGCAATTGCGTAGTCGTTTTGCATTTGTATTGTACGGCCAGAACAAACGACATGACGATTCGGTAAGAGTGTCTGGCTGAATGGATAGCACAAGTGCAGCGCGATAGGGTTACTACGTGAGCCGAAGCGGGCTCCTGATGTATAAAAAAGTTATAAAGTTGGAATTTTATTGATAGAAAATTGATATGATTGTGGACTAAGATATCAAAATTTAGAGGCGGCAAAAATTGAATAGCCTACGGGCGGCAAATCTATAAATCCGCCACTGCCTTCAGAACTTTTTGAAATACCTGTTCTATTTGTAGTTATATACTTTCTCTGCAAGTCTAAAATGTCTTAAGTAAATTATTGAATATATATTCCTATAATTCTTATTTGTCCTGAAAATTTATATCAAAGTATAAAACAACAATATTTAATGGTTTTTGCTACTACATACCTACTATGTAATAGTCCTGAGTTAGCTATTCAACAAAATGAAATAAACTTTGTTAATAAGAAAAGACAAACATAATACCAGGTAGCATCCATCTAGAATGCACTTTAACACTTGTCTTCCGAGACTTGCAATAAAAATGCTTTAAGTTTCTTTCACTAATGTTACATAAGTATAATATAAATGCTATTAAATCGCAGTTTAGTTCTTATCTATTATGAAAATGTAAGCAAAAATTGCTTTATAAAAAGTTTCAAAACTTTTATGTAGGGCAACAACTATCATAAATTGGTTTTATTAGACATGCAGAGAACCACACGGATATACAATATGATAAATAAACTAAAGAAAAAAAGCCAACTTTTTCAGAAAATGCCAATTGGAATGAATTAATTATAATAAGATAAAACAACACTCAGCTGCAATTTTTTATTCAACGGCTTCTCTCCAGTTAAACAAGTATATTAAAAAAAAATTGAAGTGAAAAAATTATTTTTTCGAAAGTTATCGTGTTTACTGTGAACACGATCATCCAAAATCCATACGATATGGCATTAAAATTACTTCCTTTTAAATAAAAAATAATTAATCATAACCGAAAAAATAATTTTTATAAGCTCAGCGATCATTTTTCTTGCCGATAAGTTGCTTTTTAAATAATATTCATGTACATCATATTTGTTAGGTACGGTTTAATGTGAGAAAACATCGGATTTAGATTTTTAGGCAAAAGTAGAGCATACCTACTACGCACTTCGCACTTAAGGCATGCAATTGCGTAGTCGTATTTGTATTGTACGGCCAGAACAAACGACATGACGATTCGGTAAGAGTGTCTGGCTGAATGGATAGCACAAGTGCAGCGCGATAGGGTTACTACGTGAGCCGAAGCGGGCTCCTGATGTATAAAAAAAGTTATAAAGTTGGAATTTTATTGATAGAAAATTGATATGATTGTGGACTAAGATATCAAAATTTAGAGGCAGCAAAAATTGAATAGCCTACGGGCGGCAAATCTATAAATCCGCCACTGCCTTCAGAACTTTTTGAAATACCTGTTCTATTTGTAGTTATATACTTTCTCTGCAAGTCTAAAATGTCATAAGTAAATTATTGAATATACCTATATATATAATTAATATAATTCTTATTTGTCCTGAAAATTTATATCAAAGTATAAAACAACAATATTTAATGGTTTTTGCTACTACATACCTACTATGTAATAGTCCTGAGTTAGCTATTCAACAAAATGAAATAAACTTTGTTAATAAGAAAATACAAAATAATGCCAGGTAGAATCCATCTAGAACGGACTTTAACACTTGTTTTCCGAGGCTTACAATAAAAATGCTTTAAGTTTCTTTCAATAATGCTAAGTATAAAATAAATGCTATTAAATCGCAGTTTAGTGCTTATCTATTATGAAAATGTAAGCAAAAATTGCTTTATAAAAAATTTCAAAACTTATATGTAGGGCAACAACTATCATAAATTGGTTTTATTAGACATGCAGAGAACCACACTGATATACAATATGATAAATAAACTAAAGAAAAAAAGTACTTATTGCAATTATATGGTAATAAATTTAAAACACTTTAAATAATTATTATTGTAGAAGGTTATTGTAATAGGAACTTTGAAAAATATATATGATTATTAATTCTTGACCTTACCTGAGCTTCGGAATGTCTTTAAACCAATATGGAAAAAATAGACACAACTACATTTAAAGATTTCATATGATGTAATATTTAGCATACAATAAATTATTAACTAATACTGCTGTTTTATTAAGAACCTATATGTCTGGTAATTAATATAATTTGGTAAGTTTGGTTTTTAATATAATTTGAAATTTACCTGCCAAAACATAATATCTACAAGGATTTTAAAATAAAAAGTATATTTCCAATATCCACTGTATTTGTACAAGAAAAAAATCTCTAAAATAGATTTAACTATGATCACGAAAAACAGTAAATACTTAAACAGTCACCAAATGAATTATTATTAGTAAACAGTTTGTACAAATCATTTCACTTATTAATACAATTATAATGATGATCTTGCTCTGCTAAAGATACGGGTCTTAAAGATGTTATCAATTTTGCTGAACACATCTTCAGCAGACTTAGATGCATCCACTCTATGATGTAGGCCTTGCCTCATGTAGTAGTCTACTAAAGGAACTGTTTGTTGATGATATGTTGCTAACCGTTTCTTAAGAGCATCTACATTGTCATCAGACCTCTTAACTAAGGGTTCCCCAGTTATATCATCAGTCATTGACTTTTTGGGAGGGTGGAACTCCTCATGGTAACTCCGACCGCTAGATGGGTGAATCAATCTGCCAGTAATTCTACGCACTAATAAACTATCCTCTATTCCAAATTCAATGACTGCATCTAATGCGGACTTCCTCTTAGCTAGCAGGCCATCAAGCTGAAAGGATAATAATAATTTTTTACTATATACTTAAGGAATATAAAAGTATTACTAAATACACAAGTCATCTATTGAATTTTGCCTACAATTAAATAATTTTGCAAAAAAATATCTTACCTTTTCAGCCTGTGGAACACTTCTGGGGAAACCATCAAGCAAAAATCCATTCTTACACTCAGGTTGGTCCAAGTTTTTATCAATCATGTCCACCACCATATCATCTGATACTAGTTTTCCTTCATCCATTACTTTCTTAAGGCGACGCCCCAGCTCCGAGCCAGAGCCAACCTCTGCTCTGAGCATATCTCCCGTAGACAGATGGCATACGCAATATTTTTCTTTCAAGCGAGGAGCCTAAATTTAAAATTAAAAAAATCGTGATTCACCTTAATTCTTTTATCAATAAAGTTACATAATCATGTTGTGGAAATTAAACAAAAACAAAGACAAGATAAGAGGTTGGTAAATTTGAGTGAATAAAACTATTAATATGTATTTTAAATATAGTACATAAACGTCTTGTATTTTCTACTCACTTGGGTGCCTTTGCCTGATCCTGGCGGTCCCAATAATACTGCTCTAATACCAGTAGGGTCTTCATCTGGCTTAGGTCTTACAGCAGCGGCCGTCGGTGCCATAGTATCTGGAATAATTAATTTTTCTAGTAAGCACGTCTAGTAAAAGCACTTCTCATTTCGCTACATGCATAATATTCTAATTAAGCCTGGTTGGCTGTTAGGCCTTCGCAGACAACACATCTAATGTAGTAGTGAATAAAGAATAGACACTCGTTAGATGTTGAAATGTCTATAATGTTGACCCTACTAGTACCTACCTGTTCAATTGAATCTAAGCCGATTGCAGTCAATCTCGTGGTCAATTTAAATAATTGCCGTGATCTACAATAGTAAGCTTGTTGAATGCTGCTGGCTGCTTGTGCTCGACTGCTTGCCCACCTCACACCTGGGGGTCTAGCCAAGATGGCTTAACAGTAGTGTATGTAGAAAGTCGAAAACTAAATTTGTATGGAAATGACAGTTCGTGTCGAAAAGTTTTCATACAAATTTAGTTTTTGACGTTCTACATACACTACTGTTAAGGCATCTTGACTAAGGCCCCAGTTTTGTTAATGTCAATGTTAAAAACATTGTCAGATAAATGACGTGTCTTGACATTAAAGGAAAGTAAAAAATACGAAGACAGATAACCAAACGGAGTTTCAGTTAATACAGATGTAGTTAATATGTATAATAATATTTGTGTCAGTGATAATATAATATACATTTTTTAAAATACATTTCAACTTATTGCACTGTTTGTAAATGGCCGACAATCTATGGTACTGATAATTTTGTTTTAACGATAAAAACCATACGTATAGGCAGCGGCACGTAAGTCTAGCGCTGGCCGATACGTGGAGGGGATTGCTGCGCATGTGTACTGTCGCGCACGCAATGCATTATTATTGCTGTCCGAATGACTGATCAAAGTATTTGTAGCTTCGTCAATCTCACTTTGGATTTGTTTCAAAGAATCAATTAATTCGTAAGATTCCCTTTTTAAAAAACAATTCACGTCATAAACCATTTTCCTGGCTTGTCTTTTCAAAACAGTATTTGTTCTAGGCATATTCACTTTAAAGTCACAAACAAACTTAAAAACAAATAACAAACAACAAAACACTAACAAATTCGTAAAACAGTAACAATAATATTAATGACGCGACTGTACACGGGATGTGCGCGGGGCGTCGTCGGTCGTATCGGTGCGGGGGACGGAATGCGACTGGAGAGCCAATCGACGCTACGCGCGCCCGCTCTTCATTCCGCTAGCCCTCCCTCAGACCTTATTTTTTACTTCTGCGCAATAACGGTCAGCGCTAGAGTTTCGTGCCGCTACTTGTACTATTTATGTCGCCTAGGCTGGGCTAAACCTTTCTTCAGTAATTCGTCGGAACCAGTAAATTGAAGGACACTTAGTATTGTTTGCAAAAGTGTAAGAAGAAATTATATGTGTAATTGTAAGTGTAAAAAGAAGAAACCAGGCCAGCAACGCACTTGCGAGCCTCCTCGCCGTGAGTGTGCATCCATGAGTAGCGACGACACTTAACATCTTACATCAGGGAGCCTGCCTGTTTGGCCCCTGTTAAAAAGGAGCCACTGTGATAAAGTGACGTAGGTGTATTAAAGGTTAAATTGTCAACATATTTTTACTCAATTTGCTGCCACCCGTACACGAATATATGTATATATGTACATAAATGTTAAATAATTTTATAGGCAATGGAACAAAAAACCAATATTAAAAAACATTTAATTAAAAAAATTATAATTCAGTTTGGCAAACATAAAGAAAAACTACAGACATAAAATGGAAATAATCTTCGTCGTTGTTGATCTGCACTTCAGTTAGATTAGAGTATGGAGTTTCGATTTCTTGTAGCGACGTATCGAGGATTTCATCGCTATCTCTCGTAGTTTCGGCCCAAGAGACACGTTTTAGGCTTCTAGAACTTTCTCTTTTCTTATCCGGAGCTGGCGTTGAGTGCGACACCGGGGTCGGTGGTTCCTTAGTGGGAGTTTGAGCGCATTTGTCCAAAAAATGTTTGCGTAAGATGAATTCTCGCATGGAGTCTTGCGAGGCGCGCTTAGGTGGAGGTGGTGGCGGTAAAGATCTCTCGTCTTCCGGAGACGGGTTCCTTTCGTTTCTTGCGTCTTCGATTCTTTTGGTTTCCTCTTCATGAGCTCCAAGGGGCCAGGCGCCAAGTTTGTTCCGCAGTAGATGCGGACGCGCGTGCGCGGCGCACAAAATTCGTTTTCGCACGAAATCGTGATACACCGTTAGCTCGGATGCTAATTCTCGTCTGACGAGTTGTTTATGACGGCTTGGAACACTTGGATCTCGGACAGCTAGGAGAGCCTGAAATAATACAATTTAATAACAATTACGCAAATAAAAGATTTACTAAGGATTCAAAATTTGACTATAATTTTTACATACAGTGTTTAAAACCAATTGATTTATCATTTTTGACATCAAAAATGGATTAGTTTTTTAATTTGTAGTAATTTAATCAATGTTTCCTCCTCTTAAGAATTATTGTAGTCATGGCCAAAGTCTATTATGTGTGCGAAATTTAGTTAACAATTATACCTGTGAAGCTAACAGCGTAAGCGTAGCGTGTAGCGCTCCAACCAACAACCTCTCATCGGTGGGAGGCAAAGCGCTCGCTGCAGAAGACACACTCGCAACTGACTCGCTGCGATTGAGTCGTCGATCGCCGGGGGAATTGTGCGAACACGAACACGCCCTGCGACGTCCCCCGCTCGCAGACCCGCGAGGGGATCGCGAGCCGCTTACTTCTTCTGCGTGATATGTCTATACAAAAATATTGTGTGAATTTTTGAAAATGTTTAGTAAACTTCATTCTATTGTTCCCTTAACAGACGCTGGAAGTCTACAGAATAAAAAAAAATGTATTTAAATCTTGATACCACAACTGCTGTTGTTTTCTTATAAAATTTCATTAATAACAAGACTTCTAAAGTACAATTATTATTTAAAAATATGCAGTTAATAAAAAATTACATAAATTTAAGTGCTTGCTTGAGCGATTATAATATAAAGGCCCGTCTCTGTGTTTTACAGAAACTAAAAAAACCAACGGGTTGCACTCCGGGAGTGCCGGCAGAAGTGAAAACTTGAATATTAACCTTGTGCATTTTTGATATTTTGGAATGGTTAGGGAATCATTTTGCACGAATTGCTTTATCAGTATAAAAGTACTATCATTTATGTGGTAGAATACAATATTTATTTATTGCGCTATCGTACACAAACATGACAATTTATATTACATTAAATACGCCGCGCCAGCTGTCTACTCTCCATCCGTCTTACGAATATTCGATCAGGTCACGTGTACTGACGCGAGTTTAACATTTTTCATCAATTCCAAAAAAAAGTGTACAATGCCGCTAAAGAAGTTTTTACTACAAAAATATATAAACTTACGTGATTCAAAGAGCGAGTGAGCAAGCAAATAGCTGACAGAATTGTTCCAAATGTCAATTGAGGAAAATGTTCGTATGTGATTTTGGGAGCTCCAAAGTGCAACTCTACTAGGGGTTGCCAGCGCTCTAAATCTAAAGCTGGCTCGGCGAGTAGAGATAACAAATCCGGACTAAATGACAGCAGGCACAGTGTTGCCATGTGTAGGATTTCAATCACCCTGAAAAATAATTTGCTTACAATAGGTATTGGTTTACATAAGTTTACTTAAAACTTACATACAGCGAAAAATACGCAATAAAGACGTTATTATAACCCTCAAGTATTTAAATGAATGAATCAAATTCTAAAACTTTTAAAATATATTTTAACTATTACTGTATTGTTTTTCGATGGCTAAATATTAATCTTTTTTGACACAAGGCTGAATGAGTTTTAATGTTTAAAAAAAATATTGATTTGAGCAGAAAAGCATAGAACGAATTATTAAAGCTTCCATGCTAAAAAGTATACTTAGAATATTTAGCAGACCACACATTAATTAGACAAATTTACCGAATTAACACATGTTAATTATTGAAATTTTACAATATTTTTTAGACGTTAAACACGTTTTAAGAGGTGTTGGCAAAACAAAAAACTATCTACTATTTAATTTTCGATAGGATCGAAATAATATAATTAAACCATACCTATGCAAGGCGGTAGGTGAAGGCTGTGTGACGTCATCAGAATGCAGGCCGGCGTCTGACGGACGACGCGCGCGCAACATTAACATCACGCACTGATACACGCACGCACTTATACTACGCTGTGGGGATATTTAATTTATAGAATAGCCTAATATTATTATTATATCAGCACTCTTTCAACTAAAGAACTCTTGTCTCTTTATGTCAAATTCAATCTATGTTATGATGAATTGAGACAGATGAGTGATCATTTGATACAATTAAAATAAATAAATCAGTGGCGCTGCAACCTTTGTAGGTCTGGTCTGATTTCTGTATGTTTCATGATCATTTGTTAATCTAATAGGCAAGTAGAGGATCAGCCTCCTGTGCCTGACACACGCCGTTGACTCTTTAGGTCTGAGGCAATCCTGGTTCCTCACAATGTTTCCCTTCACCGTTCGAGCGAATGTTAAATGCGCACATAGAAAGAAAGTCCATTGGTGCACAGCCGGAGATCGAACCTACGACGTCAGGGATGAGAGTCGCACGCTGAAGCCAATACTGCTCTTGATAGCAGATTAATACAATGAAAGTGAGACAAAATATCAATATTAAGAATGATATTGGCATATCTACCCTTAATTCTTTAATTTTACTTCCAACTGTCAGTAATAAACACAGTACATAGACCTATACATAAAACAGCCAAAAATATTAAAAAATAACGAATTAAAAGAATTTCACTCACCATAATACAGATGAGCGAGTTAATATTCAAAATCCGCCATCTTGCCTCAAATTTCACCAGCTGAACGATCAAACTTAACGTCGATGCACATAGATTCAACGCTGCCACACTGTACATCTGTCGCGGAAGCAATATAGCTTCCACAATATGCTCCAAATGCACTCCAACAAAAGTTATCGCATCTCCAACGAAAAACTGACCGTGCTTCATAACCATCGTGGCTATAAAATCCAAACTGTACCCATAAACTTTCCACCATTCTTGTGGCGTCCAAGTTTTCCCACTAGAGTTCGTCTCCATTTTGGGAGGAAGCAATTGCAGCCACAGGAACTGATCGACATCGCTCAGTAGCAAGTCTTTTGAGAAGGGTCCCCTCGCGTACGCTGTCAAACATCGTAAGGCAGCTAAAGATGTGTGTTGGTGACGCTTATTTTGAAGACTGATTTGGAGGCAACACAATAATTTGTTGACGAACTTCGTCGATTGGAACCACTGGGATAGTCCCGAGAATACGTCATCGTATAGTTCAAGGCACTGTTCGAGCATGGCCAGAGCAATCACGATGGGCGGGATTTCGTTCTCTTCTTCGACTTTGTTCTCGTCTTTGATGTCATCAAAGAGCTTTTGGAGCTCCAAACTGTTTATATTCGTCACTGAGCGAATAATGCTTTGAGCCAAAGTGCTGTTCGCTTTGATTTCGTAATCCAAGCTGCTTATCGCAACAGTTCCTATAGATAGGATAGCTCGGACTGCTCTGAGATGCAAGTGCTCATAAACCGCTGCCCCACTCGAAAGTAAGCTGTCAATCTGTTTGGCACTTGTCTTTCTGTTGTCAAAGCAATCATCTTTCCAATTAGCTAGCATTATAACGTATAATTCTGCTAAAATGACTACAAGGCGGCCATCTTTGAAGTCTTCCAGTTCGTGCAAAAGAGCATTCATACAAGGCGCAACCATTTTGGCTTTGTGCGCGATGTTCAAACTGAACGGAAGACATTTGCAGAAAATTGTTGTGAAATCTTTCCACGATGTGAGCAAGCTTAACCAGATCGGCACCTTATCAGTAACCTCTTCAAGGGATCGACCTTTGAAGGAAAATATATGATCTATCCAGTTATCTAGTTGATTTTTGTTCGTATCGAAGAAGCGTTCGAGCACTTCTTTGAAATTTGGTTCAAGTTTCTCCCTGGAAACGAATAATTCAATTCCGAGGACGTTGAAAATTTGACTATAAGTGCGGAGATCAGGTTGGATCTCGCTGAATAAAGGGCTGGTCATATGATCCCAGAAATTGGGATGTTCTTGTAACTTTTTGACAAGGATTTGCATGTTATTCTTCCAGAGTGCATGGAATAACGCCATTATGCATCCAAGTAGCGGACTTTGCAGTAATTTAGCGTCCTGAAAGATAAAATACCCATCTTTTAAAATCAAGAAATAAATAGTAGTACTATAAAATTATACAGAAGTATATATATCATAAGCAAAAAACCTGGAAAAGTAACTTTACATACAAGTAATTGTAAAATACTTACAGATTTAACAGTCCCCAAATAATCCGCCATATACCCCAAAATTCCTTCAAATCTGTCATCTTCACTATTCTCTTTAACTTCTTTCTCCTTCTCGTTCTCGTCTGCTTTTGCCCGTTCGTGATTCATCATGAAGAAAGCTTCAGTCAACCCAGGTTGTTTCCCCACACATGTGGTGACAAAGGCTAAAATTGCAACTTTGAGTTCCACACTTTCATGCTCATCCCGCAATCTGTCCAGAAATATGACTCGTACCTGATGCGCTGTCATGTCTAATAAAGCGAAGAGAGACATCTGGAAGCCCTGGAAAATTTGTTTTCATGTACCTATAATCTTTAGAAATTGTAATGAGGCAGATGAGAAAATCCTAGAGAAGTAACTTTCAAACCTCTTTGGGTTGGTTTTTGATTATTTCTTGGTAGACGTTTTAAAAACTAAACGATTAATTATAAGTTTTTCAAATATTATTCGTGGAGTGCACCAAATGCATGAAAAATTCTTTGTAATTCTTGAAAACTCATTATTGTATAGGAAACGGGTGCGTTCGTGTCTTCCATCCAAAACTATAATACTACTACTAATATACTATACATATAGTAAATCAGAATTGAGCAATCGATAATCATAAACATTTTGCGTTTAATATACATATATATATACAGGGTGGCCAAAAAGTCGTGGATCAAACGCAAATAGGGGATAGATGAGGTCATCAGCTGCAAAAAATTGTTCTACAGGAGGTCTCTAAGTTCAACCCCTGCAGAGTTATAATTTATTTTGTGTTTTATAATAAAATTGACTTTTTTTACTAATTCTTATTAAAATTAGGTCGAAAAAAACAACAACGATTCGGACTTATGAAACATTATTTACCTACCTGTGACCAGTGCTGTGTGAATCGGACTAGATTCAAAAAATTGGACATATGGCTGGAGGGTTATGTAGATATTTGATTAGACGGTGCAGATTAAGTATTGTGATCAGAGGCAGGAATTTTGAGCATTTATTTTTTTACCTACCAACCTTTAAGAAATAATTGTTTTAATACAATTATTTCACAATTGTTGTTTGTAATTCTTCCTAGAAAGATATTAGAGCGACTCATGGCCATGTGTAATACCTTTTCAGAATCCCTACGAAATGCGCCAAAACTTGTAATACTGGGTCACTTTTCGCTAGAGTAATTTTTTTTCATAGTGGGGTCCGAAGTAAACAAAAAGTTTTGATTTGAAAAAAAATTATATCGTATAGCTTAATATTATCTTCAATACACTCAATAAACAACTATAAATAGTATGTCTAACGCAAGGACTCATCAGTAGCAATCTAGTGGATATTATGAAAAAGATAAAGGATGTAAATTTTTTTGAATTTTAATAAGAATTGGTAAAAAAAGTCAATTTTCTCATAAAACGCAAAATATATTATAACTTTGCAGGGGTTGAGCTTAGAGACCTCCCGTAGAACAATTTTTTGCAGCTGATGACCTCATCTATCCCCTATTTGCGTTTGATCTACGACTTTTTGGCCACCCTGTATATATGTTAAATATCATAAGTTTCACTTCTAAGACTTCGAGAAAAATTCGAAAGTTTGAATATTTTTCGCCTGAATTCGTTGGTATTTTGATTCAAACATACAATAAAAATGACCTATGATTTCACTAGCAAAATCTACTATTTAAACTTACATCAGCGAATTTCCTAAGTAATCGACATGAGAGTACTGCAAGGCCCCGGTTAAAGGCGTGATTGATGTACCCGGTCACATTTGGAACCACCTTCAGACTATCCACTTGTTTGTTCTGAGCGAAGATGAGTTGCTCCAGGGGGCTTACTGCAGTACAGCTGATGAGAAAATATTATTTCTTCTTAACTACAATACATTCATAGACACGCATTTTTTTTCTAGTTATTTTTTTATACAAAACTATCTGCCCCCGCGAGCAGCAGTGTTGGCCTTGTGGCTTCAGCATGCGACTCTCATACCTGAGGTCGTAGGTTCGATTCCCGGCTGTGCACCAATGGACTTTCTTTCTATGTGCGCATTTAACATTTGCTCGAACGGTGACGGAAAACATCGTGAGGAAACCGACGTGTCTTAGACCCAAAAATTCGACGGCGTGTGTCAGGCACTGGAGGCTACTTGCCTATTAGATTTAAAAATGATCATTAAACAGATTCAGAAATCTGAGGCCACGACTGAAAGAGGTTGTAGCGCCACTGATTTATTTATTTTATCTGCCCCCACGAACTTCGTTTCTTGTTAATGTTATTTTACTTAGCCTACCTTTTTAGTACATATCAACATGGAACATTTTGCTATGCTACTCCAGAGAATGTTCTGTTTTCCGGAATTAAAACTTTTTAGGTTTTTCTGTGATTTTTCTCTATATAAACCTCAGAGTTCCAGTTATAAGTTCTTAACTAACAAATAAAAAATAGGGGTTGATCGTAGAGGGTAGAAAATTAAGGGTTGTATGTGTTTTTGTATGCTATATCATTAAAAAAAAATTTTTTTAATGGTTAACACCCCTTATCACTTAGGGCTTTGAAATATAGCCGATTGTCTGACTTACTGAATATGCATTAAAAAATTCATAAGAATCGGTCGAGCCGTTTCGGAGGAGTATGGGAACGAACATTGTGTCACGAGAATTTTATATAATTGATTAGGATAAATATGCTACAACCAAAAATACATTTATAAATAATAAATGGTGCCGTTTTATATACACGACGAGATTCACAGCAATTCAACAAATTAATTATGTTTAAGATTTGAATTTCGCACTTCTATTTTATTGGTTAAAAAAGTACATTAACTAGTTTGAAGTTTGAATTTGAGGTTATTGTCTCGTAACACTTCTACTGAATGATATGTCTCTTACAGCTTTAGATAATATTAATAATTATGTAATATGTTAATACGTTTTAGCAATGAAGACGAATATGGGCTTCACAGATCAGCAAGTTTTATCTGTATTCATATCAAAAACTATAGAAACCAGACTTCTAGTTTGACTACGGCTCACTGGTCTAGCTCTAGTGGTTAGTACCCCTGACTGCGAATCCATGGGTCCCGGGTTCAATCCCCGGCTGAGACAAACATCGATGTGATGAGCATTTAGTGTTGTGCTTAGATCTTGGGTGTTTAAATATGTATTTATATGTCTATCTATCTATAATATGTATGTATATCCGTTGCCTAGTACCCATAACACAAGCTTCACCAGCTTAGAATGGGACAGGTCAATTGGTGTGAATTGTCAAAAAAAACACAAAAAACACAACACAAGTGAATACGATTATGAAAGCTCGGCTTAGCCCGGACTTTGTTCGTATTACAATAATTGAATCCTAATAATTTAACGGTTTTTAAATTTTTGTTTTGTTTCTCCGGTCTATTATTTCAGCCTCTCAGAGTAGATCAAAATAAGCTAAGTCACATATCAGCATCTTATTAATACATAACCGACATTTACCGACAAAATATTATACAAGAATCATAAAAAAAAATAGGGTTTATAATATACTTAATAATTTAGCCATATTTAGTATTAACGCTTACCCGATTAGATCCTTTTCTCGTAAAGCGAATATAATTATAGCGATACATCGCTGTAATGTGAACGTGTACTGAAACGCTGAACCAGAAATCCAATTTGGTTCGTCATGGATTAGGCGTTCCAGGGTTTCATTACCTGAAAAAAAATTGACTTCAGTGTTTTTCCATATTCGATAGATGAATCTACGACTCGTAGAAAATACGACTGGTTTGTTGCATCCAGGATTAAGATGACTTCATTAGGTAATGGTTGGTGGCCTCACGTTTCCGCACATAGACCCGGGCGGCAAATTTGTATTGACTTTGGCAGTTTCCAGATATTATTTTCAATAATTATAGCCTGTGTTACTAATAATATAAATCTTTACTCTTTAGAATATTAGCATTACAATATATTATAATAAAACATATTATTTTAGGACCACAAACGCTTTAAATATTCAACATATAAACATACCAATAGACGCGATCTTCAGTAACTCCAAAGCGTTCTCCGTATATAACAGACCATAGACACAAGTCTTTTTCAACGTGGTAACACTGGGACTACAATTCATTTGTTGCAACACCAGAGTGAAGAAATCCGCACACTTGTGTATGAGGGATCGTCTTTCTATAACTGTGCGGTATCTCCAACCATACACATTGGGGAATACTTCTCGTAGAAGCAGAACCAGGCCTGGTAGAAGTAGTTCTGTTACTAAACGATCTTCTATTGTCGCCTGGAGGATTTAATAAAAGCTTTTGAGCGAAGAAAATATTGGTAGCCTGTGCGGAAAGAGAACCATGGCGAGGAGTTATGCGAACTTAAGTTTTTTACTACGCGTCATTTAATTTAACAAAAATGTATTTATTGTTATTTTAGAGCTATAATGACGTAACATAACAATAAACGTAAATTAGCATAGCGACATTGAATCCACAGCTGTCTTTTCGCACAGACTCAAAAATTTTATACCATATATAAACTAGAATTGTATACAATATATGGGCCCTTTTTAAGTAAATACAAATTACTTGTGCTAGGGGGATCCCCTTCCGTAACGTATATGACGATGATGGTGTTTGTGTGAATGTGTAATGCTATCTTTATCTATATATATATTTCTTGTGTGAGTGTGTATGTGACTGAACTCCTCCTAAACGACTGGACCAATTTTGATGAAATTTTTTGTGTGTGTTCAAGGGGATCTGGGAATGGTTTAGATTCACAAATCAGCCCGGCAGATGGCACTGCAGTCGGTACTTTCATACTTTGCTTAATATCCTAATCGCTTTAAATATCATGCAGGACAACGTCTGTGGGGTCCACTAGTATATATACGTAGTTGGTCCCAAAGTTCTGTCACTAGCACATTATTTCTACATTTCGAGCAGGATTTTATAAAAAAATTATTGCATTCTATTTTGGAATGTTTGATTATTGTTTTAAAACAAAAAACAATAACTTTCCGTAATTTTTCACGATGGAGTGGACATTGAAAGTAAACCGAATAGTTGTTATTGCGTTGCACCGCTGCGCGCTGTGGACACTCGCCGAGTACCATTTTCAAGTTGCTCAAAAATTTGAATATAACGCTTAGGTTTGTGTACGGTACTATTGATAGGTACCTTGAAGTCTCCAGTGTTGAGGACAAGAAAAGAACTGGCTGGCCACGCTCCGCAAGAACACCAGCAGTAATCAAAGCTATCAATTTTTTTAGGCGTCGGGACGTGACGACCCCATCGCCCACTGGTGAAATAACCTGTGACAGAGGTTATTTCATCAGCGCAATCAGTCAACCCCTTCCTAGTGGGAGTGCCATGCTGTTGCCTTCGGGCTTCAGCCAAATGGGCAGGCACGACCGGGGCAGTACCACTGTCTCTCAGAAAACCGGCGTGAAGTGATGCAAAAGGTTCGCCTTCTTGTACTCGCGTTTCGTGCGGTGAGAGAGATTCCCGGAGCCCATCCCCCCCCACACACACAAGAAATATGAAGGTGCAGAAAAAACAGAATCTACCCCAGGGGGGTACCACACGCGCTCGCGGTGGAGAATCCCCCTCTGGGCGTCCACCACCGGGACACTCAGCACCCGGTGGTGGACGCACAGGCTGCCCTTCGTATTCTGGGGGGCAATTCTGCGCTCTACAAAAATAGTAATCGTCCTCGGGGCAAACGGAGCAATTATACAAAGGCACCCCCGTCCACACTCGCCGTGGACTTCACAAATGTTAGGGGGCTTAATTCTAACATCAACGCTGTCCACTATCATCTAGAGACTGCGAAGCCGGCCTTGCTCTTTCTTACCGAGACTCAGATATCCTCCCCGGCTGATACTTCCCACCTATCCTACCCGGGGTACAAATTGGAACATTCATTTGTGCCGCGGGCTGGAGTTTGCGTGTACGTCAGAGAGGATATCTGTTCTCGTCGCCTCGGGACGCTTGAAGGAAGGGACCTATCTAACCTCTGGCTGCGCGTAGACTGCGATGACCATCCGCGATTCTACGCATGCCTGTATAGGTCCCATAGCGGAAATACCGAAACTGACCGACTCATTGAGCACATCCAAATGGCTACAGATTCCCTGCTCGAAAGGGTTCCTACCGCTGAAATCGTGATACTTGGCGATTTTAACGCCCACCATGCCGATTGGCTCGGCTCTGAAACCACCGATCACGCGGGAAGATCCTTTCACGACTTTGCTTTAGCCTACGATCTGACACAAATGGTCCCTGCGATTACGCGAATACCAGATGTGGATGGTCATAAACCCTCTTTGTTGGACCTTCTGCTGACTTCTCATCCGGAGAACTATCAAGTCTCTGTTGACCCGCCATTGGGTTCATCAGATCATTGTGTGGTCCGGAGTACTGTGCCATCTACGCGCCCTTCACGGCCCCGCTTTATGGGTTGTCGCCGTATTTGGCACTATAAGTCAGCAGATTGGGACGGGATGCGGTCTTTCTTTGCGTCCTACCCTTTGGGGGCCTATGTGCTTTTCGCCGGAAGCTCCAGATTCCGTCGCCGCCTCTGTCGCCGAAGTGGTTCTGCAGGGCATGGAACTCTTTATTCCATTTTCTGCGGTGCCGATCGGTGGCAAGTCTCAGCCCTGGTTTAAACGTTCTTGCAAGGCGGCCTCGCGTCGAAAGCGAGAATGCTTTAAGGCATGGGCGGAAGCGGCGAAATCTTGTGATGCCAATACCAGCGAACTTAAAAAAGCATATAACTCAGCCTCCAGGTCCTTCAAACGGGAAATCACTAAGGCAAAGTCAGAGCACATTGCCAGATTTGGCGAGAGATTGGCCCAACTCCCATCAGGGACTCGAGCCTTCTGGTCTCTCGCCAAAGCTGTCCAAGGGAATTTTTGTCAGCCCGCCATTCCGCCACTGCACAGGGAGGATGACTCTCTGGCCCACACTGCGAAGGAGAAGGCTGACCTTTTGGGCTGTCTCTTCGCGTCTAACTCGACTTTGGATGACCGAGGGAGATCACCACCGACCATTTCGCGGTGTGATTCTTCGATGCCGGAAATCACATTCCGGCAACGTGCTGTCCGCAAAGCACTATCTTCCTTGGACATTCATAAGTCGAGCGGGCCGGATGGTATCCCCCCAATTGTGCTGCGTACTTGTGCTCCTGAGTTGGCTCCGGTCTTAACGCGCCTTTTCCGGTACCTGTACTCGCTCGGCACTGTCCCGAAGTGCTGGAAGACCGCTTTGATACATCCGATCCCTAAAAAAGGCGATCGCTCTGATCCGTCCAACTATCGCCCAATAGCTATAACCTCCTTGTTCTCCAAAATAATGGAATCCACTGTTAATTGCCAGCTCTTGAGGTATCTAGAGGGCCACCAGCTGATTAGCGATTATCAGTACGGCTTTCGTCGTGGTCGTTCGGCTGGTGACCTTCTTGTATACCTTACACATAGATGGGCAGAGGCAATTGAGTCCAAGGGGGAGGCGCTAGCGGTTAGTTTGGACATAGCGAAAGCCTTCGATCGGGTGTGGCACAGAGCACTGCTCTCGAAGCTTCCAGCCTATGGGCTTCCCGAGAAATTACGCAATTGGATCTCCAGCTTTCTGGCCGATCGGAGCATCAAGGTCGTCATCGACGGAGCATGTTCCGACCTAAAACCCGTAAACGCTGGGGTCCCACAAGGCTGTGTTCTATCCCCGACCCTATTTCTTCTGCATATCAATGATATGTTGAAACTTAGCAACATTCATTGCTATGCGGATGACAGTACTGGGGATACTTTTTACACTGGCCGGGCAGGTATTTCTCGGGCAGTTGTTGATGAGTACCGGAACAAACTTGTGTCTGAAGTTGAAACTCTACTTCGTGGAGTCTCAGATTGGGGCAGACAAAACCTAGTCCAATTTAACCCCAAGAAGACACAAGTTTGCGCGTTTTCCGCTAAAAAACACCCTTTGTCGCTACTCCTCTTTTCGAAAACACTCTTCTTAAAGCCACAGCCAGCATTGGAATACTTGGCGTTGACATATCGAGCGACGTTCAGTTTCGCGGTCACTTGGAGGGAAAGGCTAAATTAGCCTCCAAAAAGCTTGGTGTGCTCAGTAAGGCGAGACGGTACTTCACTCCGGGCCACCGCATGCAACTATATAAAGCGCAAATTCGGCCCCACATGGAGTACTGCTCTCACCTCTGGGCGGGGGCTCCCAGTACCAGCTCCTTCCACTTGACCGTATACAACGCAGAGCGGTTCGAATCGTTGACGACCAATCCTCTCCGAGCGGCTTGATCCTTTGGCGTTGCGTAGAGATGTGGGGTCACTCTGCATCTTCTACCGCATTTACCATGGAGAGTGTTCAGAGGAGTTGTTCGGATTAATACCTGCAGCTGAGTTTCATCATCGGACGTCGAGGCAGAATACGAAATTCCACCCGTATCACCTCGACGTCCGACGTTCCACAACTGAGCGTTTCTCAAGGCAGTTTTTGCCGCGCACCACCACTATGTGGAACCAGCTGCCCACTGAAGTATTCCCGAACCAATTCGACTTAGGGTCCTTCAAGAAAAGAGCGTACCAATTTTTAAAAGGCCGGCAACGCACTCGCGAGCCCTCTGGCATTGAGAGTGTCCATGGGCGGCGGTATCACTTAACATCAGGTGAGCCTCCTGCCCGTTTGCCCCCGTTCTATAAAAAAAAAAAAAAAATCAAGGCGCGGATAGTAAGAAATCCTGTCCGAAAACAGAAGTTGATGGATTTGCAGATGGGTGTCAGTAGGAAAACAGTAAAAAAGGTTTTAAATGAAGATCTTGGTCTACGAGCATACAAAAAAAGAGTGGGCACTTACTTAATGCTCGTCTAAAAGCAATAAGGCTTAAGAGATCGCGGGTGTTGTTTAAGCGGTACGCGAAAAACCGACACCGTGATATCCTCTTTACGGACGAAAATTTTTTCGATATTGAAGAGAAGTACAATAAACAGAATTATACAGTGTACGCTAGGAGTTCTGAAGAAGCTGAAAATAAAGTTCCAAGGGTGCAACATGGACATCATCCATCATCAGTAATGGTTTGGTTGGGAGTGTCCTATTACGGGCTAACTGAGGTTAATTTTTTCGAAAAGGGGGTCAAAACCAGTGCTACAGTGTACCAAGAGACGGTTTTGTATCGCCTTGTCAAAGACATGTCCAGCACCCTATTTGCGGGACATCACTTCGTGTTCCAGCAGGACTCTGCGTCTGCATACAAAGCCAAAACCACTAAAGCCTGGTTTGAGCGTCAAAACATCGTCTTAATTAGACATGAGGATTGGCCTTCCTCCAGTCCGGACCTTAATCCTTTGGACCAGAAATTATGACAGGGCTTAGAGAGGAAGGTCTGTGATAAACCTCATGAAAATTTGGAGTATCTGAAGTCATCTTTAAAAAAACCAGTGACTGAAATCGACACGAATATGGTGCGTGCTGCGATAGACGACTGGCCGCGACGCTTAAGGGCCTGTATTAAAAATGAGGGAGGTTATTTCGAATATTTTTATGCTTTTTTTATTCCTTAATTAATGTACTAAGAATTGATATATCACTCATTACAAACTGATCAGTACTTTTGTTTTTATCATTATTTCCATTTATGACAGAACTTTGGGACCGACTACGTATATAATTCTTCTGTGAGTGTGTATGTCACTGAACTTCTCTCAAACGACTGGACCGATTTTGATGAAATTTTTTGTGTGTGTTCAAGGGGATCTGGGAATGGTTTAGATTCACAAATCAGCCCGGCAGATGGCACTGCAGTCGGTACTTTCATACTTTGCTTAATATCCTAATCGCTTTAAATATCATGCAGGACAACGTCTGTGGGGTCCATTAGTGCTATATATATAATAATAAAGATATTCAATATTTAATATTCAATGATTATTAAACGAGATCCTTCATAATAGGAATTAGTTTTCTAGGGAAATAATTGCACTTTAAAAGCGCCTTGCTTAGATTTCTTAGAATGTGTAATAACTAAAAAGATTGACGTTTGTTTACGTGTTTACACGAATAGTACGACAAAGGGACTGGTGCGACGCCATCTTGGATAGCTTTGGCGGGCTTTTTATATTCTGTTAAATAATTAACAAAAAATAATTTACTTAACTTAATATAAAAATACCAATTTGTTTAGAGTCACTAATCAATATCTTGAAATGAATTTTAAATTCTTGGCAAATTCTACCAATACAAAATACCGAATATTACCTTATGAAAAGCGCATAGCATATCTATATATGCTGTAAGGAACCGGTATGTTCCAGTAGGCTGCTCCAAAGTTACCAGATATGACCCAACGGCCCCAGATTCCAATGAAGCACCAGTAGCGTACTCCGCGTGAGATAGCTGCTGCTTCGTCACACGGGGTAGAAGACCGGTATTTATTAATCTAGAAAGAAATTAGAACAGATATTGGTAATTCTAATAAATAAAAGTAATTAAAATGTCTATCTAGAGTACACGTATTTAACTGACGTATCCAATTTGCATATTGCAACAAATATATTTGCATATATTCTTTGTATATTTTTTGTATTCTTTGGATTTGTATAGGTGAAACTGTGCTTTGTATATGTTAAATGTGTATTCCGTTTTTGGCTATTGTGTACAGTGTAATTGTTTGAATATTGTTTAATAAGTAGCTGTAGGAATACCGTTGAGCAAATAAATTTAAAAAAAAATCTATAAGCTGTGACGTCAATCATTAAGGCAAAAAGACGCTGCCTCTCTACCAAAATGAGCAAAACTAGTACTAGTAACTAAGTATCGTGTTAATTGTAGTAGAGAATTGTTTAATAAAATCCCTCTGGGAAGACATATTTTATAGATTTAGGCCACCACTTAATCTTCAACATAAATAATAGCTATATTCGTCTTGATTATTACGAGATAAGAAGGCCTTGTGGGTTGATATTTGATTAAAGTACACAAATTATTGTGATGAACTATTAGTTGCTAAGAATAATTGAAAAATGAAATTGCAAACTCAAATATTTTTGAAGTTATACTTCTTTTGTGCGCGTTAGGGAAAAATGCTGAGAGTAAATTTTTACGATGCGTGCGCACACCGTCACAAAAAATCGACACCCTGAAGTTAGCTATAGTCAACATTTTAGTTTTTTTGAAGTTGTACTTTCTTTTGGTGCTTTAGGAAAAAATGATGAAGGTAATTTTTTTCTATTGTTAGTGTCGTTTTTTTCTACAAACGTACAATAAGGCGAAAGATAAAATGTTTGAAAAGATTTTTATATTGTTACGCCAAAGTGTAACTTCTATAATACGCGTCTACATACTTATGTAGTGTGTGTACGTGACTACGTACGTGATTACGTACGTGTATACGTACGTGTTTTATTATTACTGAAAATAATCTTTATATATTTTACGACAAAAAAAGGTTTAAAACGATCTTTATTTAAAATACAAGAACCAACCAAAAGATGACCAATAACCAATGAAGAAACTTACCTCGAATAAATTTCCTTCGAAAACAATGGTATCAATACAGTGCACACATCTAAACATTCAACCAAGAGGGGCAAAGGTGGATTTTCAGCTCTCATAAACCTCACTAATATATCAAAAACCCCTTCACTTGGTGCTACTAGGCTTTTCGGAATCTCCTTATCATTTACCAAGGCTTTAAGTATACCTTTCAGAACCCTGGTACCTTCATACACCCTTTCCAAGGTGACATTGATATCATGATGCCTTTGTTTCCGATCTAATGCCTTTTCAATTTCGCTATTGAACACGGTCCAATAAGAATATGGTGTGCGGAAATGAATCATTGTGCCCTCTTTCCGTTCCAAAATGGTCGCTTTAGAGCCAGCTTCTATTGTATAGGAGGGGTCTCCGAGTGGGCAATAGTCTCTCCCAATAATTGCGTCCTCAGCTTGTAGGGCGGTTATTAATACTGCTTGTGGATTGTATAATTCGGTGAAAACTGGTAAATTTTTTAATTCTCCTAAAACCTGTAAATGATACAGTATTGTTATATTTATGTGTACTTTAAAAAAGAACACTTTCATGAAAGGAATATTCTTGTATTCAATTGTTTCAATTCAGTGTTGACAACTATTATTACGATATTCATACTTACATTCCGAACACTTTCCTTCCCGGCTTCAGCCAAACTTGTGGACAATACTGATAAGGCCTTAAAATTGAACGGGAAATATTCTAAAGCTGTATTCCATAATGATACAACACCAATGTTATTCTCATTTTGTAATCTCCAGAATTCTTTAGCTATGGTTGGATATTTGATTAAATCTGCACACAATGGCATGACTCCAGGCTGACAGCTGATGGTACTGTCACCATCAAATTTATCACAAATTTCATTCAATAGTCTAAATACTCTGTGTCTGATAATTTCAGCACAAGTTGAATCATCCTAGAAATAAATTAATTACTAAGTTGAATGAAAGTTTGTGGGAGCGTTCAAGTATTACGTAACGAATTTGGGGGGGGGAGTCCCTTTTGTAAAACGTTACGATGCGGGGCGGAGATTGAATTACGCGTTATTGTTTATATTATTTTCGACTTTCCAGTATTTTACACCACATAATGGTAACTTTTAGGTATAAAGAGTCACTAGGTGGTCACGAAACGTTTTACTATACTTGGGTACAGAATAACGTTACGGCGCGTTACATGGGGAGGGGGGGTTAATAATCTCCAAAAATTGACTTAATACTTGAACGCTCCCTAAATCTAAAACTCACACTTAAGCATTCTATTAGGTAACTATTACTTAAGATTTTAATTTGTTCATCATAGATCTAGTTGAAAGCAGGAATTGGAGGATTTATGACCCTATACATCATTACATTATTATTTATTAACTAATGTTGAGATGCCAGAGTTTTTAGAATATTTAATTTTTTAATTTAGACAAAAATTTAATGTTTAAAAACTAAGATCTGTATATTGTGTTTCTTAAGGAAATCTATTTGATGGGCTAATGTGTAATATAAGAAAAATTATGACTGTTTTTTGAGTTGTCATCATTTTCTGTAACAGTAAAATTCATAGTTTTATGGATATAGAACTTAGCGTTATAAAGTAATCTTACATTGAAAACATTGCTACTAATCATTTGTTGCATAAACTCAAAGACTCTCATTCTCATAGCTGTGGCTCCATAATGGTGGTACTGAGTCTCAAACAATCGTACATGTTGTTCACTCTGTAACAAATTGAATATATGTAGTAATCAAATCTATTAATACAAAAGGGCAGGTAGAAATAAACAATGAAACAAAACATAACTAGAACCTAAAGGGTTAGCACTTGGTTAAAGTTGCATATAATAAAGAGGTATGGAGCACAATAAAAAAAAGGGTGCGTGTACTTATGTACGCGCGTAAGAAGTTATACTTCTTCGTCATTATTAAAAATAGTTTTTGATTGAATGCAAATAATTAATTACAATTAAATAATCAAAGACTGGAAAATGAGTCAATATAGTCAATAAAGTTCAGTTTACATTTGAAAAATTAAATAAATAAATATTTATTATTATTCTCTTACATTAAGTGTATCATAAATTAGATTATTATTCGAATGTTGTTTTTAAATTATGTCCAATGCCGTAGCATCTTTCGTGGGCAACTTCATTCTGTTAATTTTGTGTCACGGTGCGCGCGCATCGTAAAATTTCACTCTCATAAATTTTTCATAACGCGCCTAAAGAAGTATAACTTCAAAAATAGTAATAAAATTTATCGTATTTAAAATGCTGATTACACGCCAGACTATATAGAAAATTAAGCCAAGGAACTAATTAAGAAATGTGTGTGGGTTTTTATTGTAATGAGCAAAAACATATATTCAACAGGGTAAATGTTTTGTTTTTAGGAAAAATTTACCTGTAAAGTTATCATCATCCACATCATCAGCATGGGGCTCTGTTCAGTACAAGGTTGCAATTTGGTAAATTCAGTCTCTACAGTAGTTTTTGTAGTTTCTATCCATGATGATAAATTTTGGCTAAAAATAAGATATAAATCAGACTATGTGAAATTTTACTGTCCATTTAACAAAAAGTATTCATGAAGATAGCAAAAAGTTATATAACTTTTCTGGTGTAGGAATTAATTCAAAATATGGATATAATCTGGAGGTTTCTTTCCAGCAAAATACACAGAATTTTTATCATCTAATTCATAATAAATCAATGAAACAGATACATAAATGTAAATAGAACATACAAAATAAATTATAAAATTAAATCAAGATCCACTAAAATCGATTTACTTACATTTTCTTACTATCACATATAACCATGAACAGTCCAATCTCCATGTACATAACTCTAAGACTTGTCTCTTTATGCCTTTCTTCCAAGAGATCATTAAAACCTTGGTTCTTACCAAAATCATGTTTTCTAAACAACTTGAACAAAGTTATAAATTCAGTGTCAGAGATCCCAGAGTCACTTGCGATCATCATTAAATTCTGTAGAATTGCTACTTGCTCTCTTAGATTGGATTTAGCCCAGTCCTGCCTAACAGTGTCATTGTTAAAATCATTTTGAATTTTCCTTGATGGGGGTGGTGTTGATAAAAGTTTCTCAAACTGACTTATAAGTGAAGTCTTTAAATCATTTAATCCTATTTCTTTGATAATCTTACTAAATAATTCATGATACTTATGATTAACATCTGACTTAAATTGAATCATATACTGTATTAGTTTCAAAAGAAACAATCTTTCAGCGTAATAAAAATTCCAAACATTTGGTGACAAAAATGATGGTCGGGTATCAACAAAAGCTACATTCTTTAAAGCATTTGCTGCAGTGCCATATGAAACATCACAAAGGTAGTGTTTTATCAAATCCCATATTTGGAAACAATCAACATCCTGGAAAAAAGATAATTTTTCATACATTTTAATGTATCAAGTTTACTTGATTCAGACTTAATTCTTAAGTTGTTTAATATTGCCATTACAGCACAACAATACTTACTATGTAATTCTGCAAGGTTTGGACGACGTTTAATAGTCTTGTTTGATCACTATATTTTGACTGTAGTTGTGAGAATTTTTCTGTTCTCAACGACTTATAACAAACTAAGCCTTGCTTTAAACATTCTACAACTTCTTTTTTATCTAGGACTTTCTTCAGTTCTTCTTTTGAAAGACTTTGTGATGTGGTCCAACGCCATAACTGTTTCCAATAACTAAAACAATCAGATTTGCGGGGTATAAAACATATAAAATATTGTGTTAATATAATATATACTTTATATATTTGATTTTATTTTTTCTTTATATTATCGTATTTGCATAGTCGGTAAGTCATACATGATGTATGTATTTCAGTAAATAAATACATAAATAAACTCTCAGAATAAAATAACTTTTAAAACTTACGGAGTTGTCGGTTCCGACATTTTAGAAGATTAATATGTAGACGCAAACGTTTTTAGAATGACATACTTTATTCGACAAAAGTAACTTTGAATTTATATTGGTTTAACTATTTTTTTATTATAATTCAAAATTCAAGTAGTGCGAAGTGCGAACTGCGAATAAAGTTAGGTTAGAACTTAGAAGACGTTATAACACCGCTGATTGGCTTGGCTATAAACAAAGTTTTACGTCAATTTCGTCAAAGTCAAATATAACACAGCCATTTGGAACACATTACACAGTCCCTATAAGGTTTCTATTTCAAGTCTGTAGATAGTAAAGAAATATAATCTCTGGAAAAGTACAGATACTCATACATCACTATCCATAAATCATCAATCATTATCCATTGACCAAATCCACAAACATGAAACACAGCACTTTTAAACATGGCCGCATGTTGAATGAAACGATTTTCTTTACTGTTTGCCAAATAAACTTTTAGTTATACATTAGTTTGGGTGTGTACAATTTTATCAGCGTATTAAACTAAAATACAATATTATAGTCTCGACGGTAAGAGTAACATTGACTATATACAAAAACAAAGTGATCAGTGTTTAATGTCGAAATTGTTTGTGTCTCGGCAGCGATTACAAAGATGATGCATCATCCGAATATGCACCATCAACCGATGTCGGGACATCCGCCCCAACATCTTCCGACCCACCAAGGCATGCCTGCACATCATCAGATGCCGCCGCATCAAATACATAGAGAGAACAGGCACGTAACATTAACTAGGTAACGATCGGCTTCTTTTACTATTTATTTGCGTATCATTCATCAGATGTTTAGCTTTTGAAGTAGCTAGGTCGGTAAATTCATAATTTTATCAAACAATATCCAAATTATTTACATGTCTTATTTAATGTAAGAAGGAGGGTAGGTTATTTGCGTAGTGCTCTATTGGTTTGTTAAAATACTGTGTAAGTAATTAAATTAATACTTGCGGGATTTAAAATTTTCAAATAAAAGTATATTTTATTTTTCACTATGAACAGTAAGATCAAAAGTTTTATATTTACAATCTAACATATTTTGATAATACAGACACCTGTTGCTTGCAGATTTTAAGTCATAGAATCCCTTTTTAGTGCCAAACCTCTATATTATATCATAATCAGATACTTTGTAAATTAAGGAACAGTAAACACATTTTTTTTTATAATAGCTGGAAGTTCTATGACTACTAACTATGACACATGTAATAATAATAATAATTTTTTATTTGTGAAGTAAATGGCACATTCTGATTGATTAATTATTTTAAAAAAATAATTAAAATCCAATATGTTTTTGAAATATGTTAAGTCTCAATTCTGAATCTAATAGTGCAAGGTATTGTATCTTTAGATTTAGCACTTCGCTAGCAAATGCTGCACCTTTTTCTTAATATTTTTTTCTGAATGTGTTGTGTAGTTCTTAGTTTCAGCATTAAAATTTTTGCGTGTCCCATGCAGAATTAAAGATGCATATTTCATTAGAATAGACTCTAATAAAATAAGATATAAAATTATTTAAATATATAAAAATGTAATAAGTTTCTCATATTATGTCAAAATCCAATTTGTTTTTGACATTAGTGCCTAATCTTGACTATAAATCAAACGGAAGATGTTGTAATGGTTTGCTAGCAAAGAATACACCTATACAAGTTTAAATTTAGATATATATAAATTAAATAAGGTCTAATGGCCATTTTAGGCCAAAGGAATTACTTAAATGAAAACTACTTTTATTTGTGCTATGTTGTGTTGATGATGCTTAATCAAAGCTATCAAACAAAAAGTTTCAATCATATTTAAGTATAAATAATAGGTATAAGTCATATTATCATATTGAAGTATAAATAAGTTTATTAATCCTTATACTTTTAGTTAATTCACAAATAATTTGCATATTAGTTATGTTTGCTAACACTAGAAGCAAAACTAAGTTTTCATATAAATTGACTGCCACTTTGAACATTTTCATTCTTACTTATATTAGAAATCTATATTGTTGTAAATGCTAAATAATTAAGCCTAAATCTACTTAGCTTATTTGCCTGAACAGAAGTGGATTCATTGAAAAACCCACGTTGACTTCCTAAATCCCCTTAAACACGCATTATTCATAATAATACATGTTGTATTCTATCTCGCTTTATATCTTACTTGAGCAAAGAATGGCTCACTCAAACATTGACACTGTTCAATAAAATAAAATCCCTCTGTTTTACCCTGTCTATAGACTGGCGGCAGTATTCATATGCAAATAATGTGTAATTTGTTGATATGTGGAGGGTCCTTTGCGGCTCTCTTTGTTACTTAAACTGGTCATGAATAGAACATATGACAGTGGCTTTGATACCAACTGATCTAGTACTGAATGTGAGTTTTGTGCTCAGCCTGATATATCGCATTTATTGAATAAAAAGCAGTTGAAATAACAGTGTTGTAGCGAGCAGCTTGCTAAATGGACCCCTAGAAAGTCTTTCCAATTTCTCATGTACTATGTTAGTGTAGTATAAAGTTGATTTTGTGTTTTTGTGTGGTTTTTAGTATAAGTGTAGAATAATATTTATTTTTAAGTTTTGTTTAAGTTAATAAAAATGTGTTTTATATTCAAGTTGTTTCATCAAGTTATTAGAAGTAACATGTTTTTTAATTGTTACTTTCTTATTGTATGAAAAGGTGTAGTATTCAATAATTTTACTTTTGTGTGGCTTTATACATGCTTAACATGTTATATTTGGGATGATCCAGTTAGCCTCTTTAAAATAACCTCATCATTTAATTAGTTGATCTTAAATGCCCATGCTATAACACATACTTTTAATGCTTTTTAAAACTAAAAGTACATACAAGATATGCGATCTGCAGTTTAATCCACGAAGAATTATCTGTATAGAGTGACACTGGGTCCGTCAGCGGCGGGCGGCAGCATGGGTGGGCATGGTCAGATGAGCGGCATGGGAACCATGACCGTGGCACCGCACCATGCTGCCGGTCAAAGACCGCCTCACGCCATTCGCGCCATGCATCATCCGCAAGCACAACATCATAATATGCCACCGGTAAGAAGATTGCTTATGACTGTTTGACTATTAAATATAATCACATTTAAATTACTTAAAAAAATCTTATCAGAACTTTTAAATATCCAAATTTTTTTTAGTACCAGCATTGAACATCGGATAAAGGCCGAACATTTCTTGTTTTAAACATTACTTTTTTTGTACATTATGTCGAATATTAGTAATTAGTTATTAATCTATCATTAAAAAAATCCAGAACGGCAGCATATTAGGGTAAAATATTCGTAATCGAACTACTGTTAATATACTAATTCGTCGTGAGATTAAGTCACATAATTAGTGAGTCTGCGAAAAAAAATAGGTCTATTATAAGTTTGATAAGCACTTAATAATTTTCATACAAATGTTTGCCAGGCGATTTTTACGATAGGAATAACTATGTCACAATATCTACAGGAGACTATCAAAACAAATGTGTATGTTCCAATTGGTTATCGGATTTGTATATAATTGCAGCCCCAAAGTCGCACGCTCCGTCGGCCCTACATGAGCAGCGGATACGGCGGCGTGCCCGGATACGTGCCGCCGCCGCACGCGCACGCAGAACACAGCGCTCACACCACACATCAGGCTCCTGGTATATTAGTAAATTTATTTTCAGTCTTTTTCACGATTTACAAGCAAGTTGTTAATAATACTGTAAGGTATTTAATTTACTATACAAAATCTATTGTTACACTATATTCACGTATATTTTTTACATATTTATTTTTGTCCGTATTAAATCCTATGTTAATAATTATTATCTTATCTTGAATTTATTTAATAAGATAAATAGCTCTGGGGTAACGTAGGTGGATTGGCAATGTCGCTGTTGACTAATGAAAATGAGCTAATATTATATAATGGGTTATAAGACCGTGTAAAACGTTTTATGATAGAACCGATATTAAAGTAAATTAATTGTTAGAAGCTTTTAATATGCGCAAGAGTTATGAGATCCTACATTTACAGTTCATAACAAAATTACGTACAAAATATAAATTAATTTTTACGCCACTAAACATATCTTTGCATATAAATATATTCCGTTAATCATGCGCCAGTTAGATTACGAGCAGTGTTGGCCTAGTGGCTTCGGCATGCGACTCTCATCCTTGAGGTCGTAGGTTCGATCCCCGGCGGTGCATTAATGCACTTTCTTTCTATGTGCGCATATAACATTCGCTCGAACGGTGAAGGTAAACATCGTGAGGAAATCGGCAAACCTTAGACACAAAAAGTCGACGGCGTGCGTCAGGCACAGGAGGCTGATCACCTACTTGGCACTTGCCTATTAGTTTAACAAATGATCATGAAACAGATACAGAAATCTGAGGCCCAGACCTAAAAAGGTCGTAGCGCCACTGATTAATTTTTTAGTTAGATTTCTGCCAGTTTTAATAATACAGAATTAAGAAAATTGTAGCCTAGTCTGCCTCATCAATCTTAAACGAAATGTCGAAATAATAGGATGTCATATCTATTTAATTTAGTATTTAGTTTTTAAAAGATGTGGGATTGTGTAGGTCTGTGCAGGCCACCTTCTCCTATTCGGCCGATGCAGCCAAAGCTAAGTTCAGATTTTGGTCAGTTGTATTTATAGTAGTTACTTTTCGTTGTCTATGGTAATCAAAATATATAGTGGCTTTAAATTTTTATTTGCAAAAGTAGTATAAAATAATAGTTTAAAAAAACAAAAAAAAACACGCTTTTAAAGCACATCAAACTAAAAAGTGAAAAATAATTCCTAATTTAGGCTGAAAATGGTTCAGAGATTTTGGCGTGGGTCGAGTCCCACATACCCCTGTTCAGGGGATGCGCAAATGCATTTCCACCTCGGATATCAAAAAAAAAAAAAAGGCTGAAAATGGTAATGAACAAAAAATACTGGTATTATTGTGAAAAAGCGTGGGTTGCTCAATAGACGAAAAATATGGCACAGATTTGATTTTTTTTTCGGATTATTGCATTGTCATCGATCTTTGACAGGTGCGCAAAGTTTGAATTAAATCTGTCCGTTAAAAGTGGTTCAAAATAGAGTCCGAAGGAGTCGGTTACATACATATATACAGGTGAAGCTAATAGAAAGCGTGTAAAAAGGCTGTATTTAATAATTTCAACCAAACAATTCGATTAGCCGTATGTGTTTATTAGAATGTATTTCGTGCTCTTAGTTTAATATAAAACAGTTTTTTTTTAATTCTCTAGTAACAACAATGACTGCGACGGCAAGCGTGTCAGTGACCACCGATCAGTCGCAAGAAGAGATCGTGAGCGTGAGCGTAAGCGCGAGCGGAGCGGATGCGGAGAGCGACAAGGAGCAGGCGGCGGGCGAGAGCGAGGCGCCCCGCCCGTCGCCTGCACAGGCCAACAGTAAAGAGAAGACGCCCATGTGCCTGGTCAACGAATTGGCCAGGTACAATAAGGTGAGCCTGTCTTCATATTGTAGATACTTGTCTCGTATGAACTACTATTATTATAATTATTTTCAATACTCGTTTTAGATTAAGCATCAATATCGCCTCACATCAGAGACAGGACCCGCTCACAAAAAAATATTCACTGTAACACTTCGCTTGGGTGATACTGAGGAATACACCGCTGAGGTATGCATGTATCATATGAAAATCTAATTATTATTAAAAGTTATGATTTTTTATAGTCATGTAATGATTAAATTATTTCTAAGCTAAGAGTAACCTTGTTAATGATATTAAGTTATACGTCAGAAAAATGTGTGATTTTCAATTCTGTAAATGAGTTGTTTTTTAAATAAAAATGATTATCTTTATGATAAATTAATTATTATAATTTTATTGTCATAGATAATTGACATTCATAAGTAACATTTCTTTCTTCACGTTCTTAGCTTAGGAATCATTGAAATAACGTTAAATAAATGTAACTTTGGTAGAAATGTAGCGGCAGGTGATTACTCTCTTGCTTAATCGTCATTAAGTGAAAACGAGTTATATATAAAAAGAGGTGAATAAAGTAAAAAAAAAATATACGTAATAATATACTTTAGTGCAGCTAAGACTAATCATTAAATGCCACCAACAGTACCCGGCTCGAAGGACCAAAATTTGACTTAAAGGACCAAAAAACTTGGCGATTAAAAAGAGTTCCGGAGAGTTTATTGCCAGTTCTCTTCCGTTCTACGCCCTAGATTTGAGAACTGGCAGTAAATGTTAAATAAGAAGCATTTAATGTATATTTCTTTTTGGACGTTCATAAGTGTACATTGTGTTACCTACATGAATAAATGATTTTTGACTTGACTTGAAAACGTGTCACAGGGGTCCTCTATAAAGCGAGCGCAGCACGCGGCAGCAAGCGCGGCCTTAAGCGGCACTCGCTTTCCGCCGCCACCGCCAAGGGCCGCTCCCACTCACGCTTCACATTCGCATCATCACAGGCATGCTGGTAAGTGATTGTTTAAATAAAACTTCTTAATTGGCTTTAAGGACCGATATGGTCGCCAAACTCCCAAGAAAAGTACATTGTTTCTTTCCATTTTTCGTAATCGTTTCTTGAAGTAGGGTGAATGGAAAAAATATTCGGTGGAGTTGAGTTGAGTTTATGTATAACATTTTATGACGAAAATTTATATAGAACATGATTTTGAAATTTACACGATAAATTTTATTACAAGCCAAGTAATCCATTTCAGAAAAAAAATTGATAAAATTACATTTTTTAAATAACACTGACGCAACAATTCGTGCTGGGATAGGGCTTTGAAAACGTGAATTTCTTCATTCATCATTTTGCTCCTTTCAAGTTAACCTTAAGATTATTGGTTATCTTAAAAAAAATAGTAATCTTTTATAAAATATAATTGTTAAAGTTCTAGAATAAACATTTATTTTTATCTAGTTTAGTATTCATAATATATAAAAAAAGATTTAAATAATATTTAAGAAGTAAGAGATGGTAATTTTTATTTATTTATTGTTGTAAAGTAGGTAATATATTAGGTCCTTACATATGAAATTGGCGTTTTGTATGGGAGGAACAAAAAGTCGAATATTTTTAAATAAAATAGATTTAATTAATCAATGTATGAACCATTGTTTTCTATGCACTTTTGCCATCTCATAGGTAGTTCATTGATCCCTTTACTAAAAAAAACAGTCGGACGGGAATCAATAAAATCTGTGAAGGCGATTTGGACTGCCCCATCAGAGTTAAATTTTTTCCCTTGCAAGAAGTTGTCCAAATTTCGAAAAAAATGGTAATCTGTTGGAGCAAGGTCCGGGGAGTACGGAAGATGTCTTAGACATTCCAATTGAAGCTCTTCTAATTTGGTAGCCGTCTGTTGTGCAGCCGTGGTAGCCGTGTGTGGTCTAGCGTTGTCGTGAAGTAGCAGTGGCGTGGAGCGATTGACCAGCCTAGGTTGTTTAGCTGTTAGTTTTTCATCATGGTTTGCAATTGCTGACAATAGACATCAGCCGTAATAGTCTGGCCAGATTTGAGAAAACTGCAATGAACAATACCGGCACTAGTCCACCAAACGCTTACAAGTAACTTTGTTGGGGTTAATTTTCGCTTGGGGCAGGATTTGGCTGGCTGGCCAGGATCCAACCATTGCGCTGAGCACTTCCGATTATCGTAAAGAATCCATTTTTCATCACAGGTAATGATTTGGTTTAAAATAACTTCATTATTGTGCCGGTTCAGTAATGTAACGCAGCAGTCGACGCGCGTTTTCCGGTTTGCTTCAGTCAATTCGTGAGGTACCCATCTTTCAAGCTTTTTAATCTTCCCAATTTGCTTCAAGTGAATTAAAACAGTTTTATCACTAACATCGCAGCCTGCAGCTTACTCGGACGTGGTTTGTGTATAGCCTTCAATACTTCATTATCAACTTGGGTCTCAGGCCGTCCACGGGGCTTGTTCTGCAGGTCGAAATTTCCAGAACGAAAACGTTGGAACCAAAAACAAACTGTGTTTTCTTTTGCAACATGACAGCCGCCATACACATCCTTCACTCTTTGAGTCGTTTCCGCAGCACTAGTGCCACGGCGGAACTCGTACTCGTAAATAATGCGATACTTTAAGTTTTCCATTTTGTAAAATGAGTGACGCAAACAGAAAAAAACAGAAGAAAAAACAATTGAATGACGGTCATCGAAGCACAAATACATGAGTAAATAGCTGTACAACTTTGAATTTGGAATTCCTTACCAAAGAGGAGAATCGTGATTAAAGTTGCCAGTACGTAATACGCCAATTTCATATGTAAGGACCTAATATAAACATAAATATTTGTTCCCGCAGGCGCAGTAATGCCAACGGTGGAACTAAACGCGCTGGCCATGAAGCTGTGCAAGCCCGCCGTGTACACATCGGTTCCACCAGTACCCGCCCCTCGGCCAAGAGCTCGCCTGCCTCCACCCTACCGCCTGCCCTTCTTGCCGCCTTACCCGCACCCGCCTAGGCTTATGGAGCCCGGACCGCAGCTGCTCTATAGGTGAGATTCACCATCGCTTTCATAGATTTATTAAAATGAGTATTTGTGTTGCCCTCTTTAACTATAATATTCTATTTGGTACTAGAATCATTTGCTAACAATGTAGCTAAATAGATGATATAAATGTTCAAGTACAGGGATGTAGTAATATATGATTGCATACAATAATATATATTATTATAATTTGTAAGTGTACAATTGTTAATATAAAAATATAAGAGTCGTACGCCGGAACATTTATTTCGTAAAAATATTTTTGAACTAACTATAGCCTATATACGTATGTATATACGGAGCATTCTAAAGGTGAAACAGTTTTGTTAGCATTCCAGTAGTTTTTGTAACAAACAAAAAATACAACTTTATAATGTTTGTATTGTTATACACATTACATAGTACAGTTAGAAAGAGTGTTAACTCTATAAACTATTATTTGCAGATTCCGTGTATGCGTGGGCGATCGTGCGTGGTTGGGTGAGGGCAGTACGCCTCAAGCAGCCAGACACGATGCCGCCGCTCGGGCCTTGGTCGACCTTAGGCCTCAACATCACGAAACACCGCCACAGCATCCGGATACACCTGGTACTTATTTTAGATTTTACTTTATGTTTTACTAACTGAAACGATTTTTTCTTATATCTTGGTCAAAGGTTTCAATTATAAATTTAATGGCAGCCATTAAGAATATAAAATATGAAGCATGGCGAAATAAAGATGACAAATTAGGCCGTCACGTTTTTTAGAAACTCTTTTTGATTATTGACATACACTTCACTTCACTTACTAATTAAATTATAGTCTTTATTAATCTCTTCAAACAATATATAATTTCGGAGAATTGAGGTTTTGAAATTATATATTATCTGTTACATTAATAATTATTAATATTTTTTTATTAACAGTTTGAACATATTAATTAAATCACAATGTACTTTTATAATATTTATTTTGTTACAATTTTCAATTATAACTCATATTATATGTATTTATAAGTTAATTTTTTTATATATTTTCAATTATTTTGATTATTAGGAGAAAGCGAAGCAGATCTCCTCAACTCGGATGTGAAGTCCCCAGTCTCTTTGGTCCACGAGTTGGCTCTCAAGAGGAATCTCAACGTCACATTTTCCGTAAAATCGGAACGCGGACCGCCGCATATGAGGGTAAATTTAATTTATATCAACATACAATATAAACTCCGTTACATTATAATTAGAACAAATAACATATATTATTGGGCATGTAACAAGCTATCTCTTCCAGGTAACCCAAGTAAGGAAAAAACTAAAAAAAAAAGAAATATTAAGGGCAAAGTGCATAACCAAATCAATTAAAATAAAATTATAAGTTACTCTGAAAAATTATATAAATATAAATTTTAAAATTAAGAATAGTAGTAGTAGTTGATTTTGTCTATGACATGTCGTGACATTTTGTCCTGACGCAGTTTGCCTTTGTTACATATACAAAAAAGTTTATATCCTGGATTCGAAAGTACGCCCCCAGGTTTCAAAGTGTCCTGAAAATTAAAATAAACAACGATTTATATTATAATTCAAAATGTCGGAATTATTTCAGGTTTTCATAACGATTTGCAAAGTGGGCGAAATGGAGACTGAGGGTGAGGGAAATGGTAAGAAAGTGTCGAAGCGTCGCGCAGCTGAGCGGATGCTGGAGGAGATGCGCCGGCGCTGGCCCGCGGCTGCCTTGCGCACGAGGCCCGCTGTGGACAAGCGACGACATCCCCCTGCTAAGAAGAAGCCACGGAATTTGATTAAGGTAATTTAATTTAATTCCTAGGCCCGTATTTTAGAACGTCAATCAAACTTAAATTACGTTTTAGGAGCTGTCAAACTGTTTTGACAAATGAAGTTTGATGTATATGACAGCGCTCAACCAAAATTGTGTCTTGAGATATCAATGGAACCGAACCGAACTTAACTAGAATCTAAAATTATTTTTACATGTCGTGGCCTGATGGTAAAATTGATTATTTCATAAGTGCATAGATAGCCATTTCATAAAATAATCCATTTTACAATTAAACCTTGACATATTATATATGTACATTATTATTCTTGAGTCTCTTTTGTAAGTTGAATTATGTTGATTAATGTTACAAAATATTGGAAGAAATTTTTTTTTTCTTCCAATGGAATATTTATGGTTCGATATCATTATGTATGCACTGCATGTGTTCTAAATTTCGTAAATTTCTCAGAAACTGAAAGTCGTGTCAAAATGATTTTTTTTTGCAATTTTAATCAGATTTATCCCGAAATAGGAGACAGACAAAATTTCACTATAATGATTTTAATAGTCTTTGGATTAATGAAGTAATTATTTTTATGATGAGAATGAGATAAAGAGGTCCATTTCGTGGGTTTCGTGAATCGTTTTAATGTTCTGAATTCTATACAATAAATTAAATTTTCAGGAAGGGGCTACGGGCGATACATCAGAGACGGGCGGTGGTGGTGGGGCCCCAGACAATCCGATATCTAGATTAGCGGTCGCAAGGCATGCTGTTAGGGCCCGATCGCCCCAATACCGCGTCTTGGAGGAACGTGGGGCCGCCAGACGACGCGAGTTCCTGGTACAGTGTGATGCTCCACCGCATAGTGCCACGGGTTTGGGGCCCAATAAGAAGACTGCGAAGCGACGGGCTGCGCATAGTAAGACTACCTTTTTTATTACGATATATATTTTGCGGTTAATGGCCTCTATGGATATAAATGTTTTCAGCCAGTGCTAATCATTAAATACTAATTTAATAATTATTCGTAAGTTTCATCTTGAATAAAAGTCGGCAACGCACTTGCGAGCGTTTTGGCTATGTGTCCATGGGCGGCGGTAACACTTAACATCAGATGAGCCTCCTGCCCGTTTACCTCCTATTACATAAAAAAAATACGAAGTTGTCTTTCAGCGAGTAATAAAACCTAAAACACGTTGTTTACATAAAAAAGACGCCAATTGGTAAAGAAAATTTGTTGCTGCACTTATGCTTATTCAAATATAAATTTTACAAATATTTAACATTTAGTTAGAACCTTCAAGTGCCCAGTGTAAATTGAAGAAAGCTTGCGGGAGTTGGAAAACACATCCAATCTTAAACGTTCCAATGGTCATACTAACTGTGTCCAGTTTGTGTTTCCACCACACCAACTTATTTTCTATTTAAGATCATGTATATAATAGATAGATAAAAAATAATTTTTAACAGATGTACTTTTGGCAATGGAAATGGCGAATGGCGGTGAACCGGGTTCATTGACCTCTACAACTGAGCCTACAACCAACGGGGATGTGAAACCTGCTACTGATGGAAAACGGAAGGTAATAAAAATTAATATATTTTATATATAGCAATTTATTTGTATATTAAAAGTTTTTTTTTTAAGTTTAAATTTAAAAGTAAAGTAGAAAAAAAAAATTAAACATTGTTTCATTTATACAATTACAAAATGATAATACAAGACCCAGACTAAAGAAATAAGCTTCATACATATTTCCTATACATTACCCAAGAATTGTCTTGAATATGAGAGTGATATTTAATACTTACTTAATTTTTTTTATTTATTTTAATACACTTTCATTCTGGAATTATAAAAAAAACCGCTTGTATCTCTCTTTGCCTGTAATACACACACAATATTTGTCAATTTCAATCATAAGAATATTTTTTTAAAACATAAATTTAATCTTACAGGATGAAACTAGTGGTGACATGCGACAACCAGTACCAGGAGTTTTGATGGTGGATTACCACGCTAGATCTGGTCAACCAGTGCAGACCAATGGTGATTTACTATTTTAGACATATTAAAAACCTTAAACGCGAACAATCAATCAATATTTATGTTATGTATTGGAAGCAAATAATTAATTTGTCATCTATTTCAAGAGCTGGTTTTCTGTAACCAAGAAATAAATTTTCTTTGTGGTTATTCTCAGTTTTTGTGTAAATAAAGAGACCAGCATATAAAAACATTACTGGTCTCAGCCATAAAATATTTCGGACCAAATTAAAAAAAAAGAAGTTTCACAAAGAAAACGCACGAGAGGGATTCGTTTATTGATTGTATCAATCTTTCCGATTTTGATTTAAACACGTTTAAATTATTGTTCAGTGATAGTGAAATAAATATGGGTTATAAATTTTTAAGAATCAGCTCGGGTTTACATTTTTGGCCTAAAATTGAAGTTTGTTCCTTTTGGTAATCAATCTGTTAAATTTCCAGGAGTAAAGGCGAGCGAGAACAGCGCTTTAGGTGGAAGTGGGGGAAACACGCCAGGCGCTAAAGATCAGCTGATGTACCTGGCACAGCTCTTGGGCTTCACTGTACAATTCTCCGACTTCCCGAAGGTAAGACATGCTATACCTTATATTGAGGTGCTACGTAATGGGCTATTTGACTAGAGTTTTAAAACAATTTTATATTATTTCTTAGTGACTATAGAATTGATATGTTTAATTCTGTTAAGTTTTGGACTTCACACCCACTAATCATTAATCTAAAAGATTTTTTTTTTTAAATCTTTAGAAATTTAAATTAAACATTTATAATTTTAAGAAACTAGTACGGTTAAACAAGTGAAGACATTATTTACATGTATGGTACGTCATCGTCGTTTCGACTAATCTGTTTTGTGTCATGTGACTGAAAAAAATGGATTTTTTTAAATTAATTGACAAAGTTTTTACTTCATCATTTTATGTCCTGTTTTATACGGTTTAACGGAGTTTACTGACAGATTTTCTCATTCGTTTGAAGTTTGATTCGAAATCTGGCAATAAATGTAAATTTAGAGACATCCTTGGTCGCGTAATAAATTTATAATAATTATTGACGTTCACTGCTCTGAGACCAATAAATTATTATTCTAAAAAAAATTCAATTCCGAAATGTTCCAGCGCAACCACGGCGAGTTCCTGTCTCTGGTGTCTCTGTCAACGGAGCCACCCGTGATGTGCCACGGGGGAGGGGCGTCCACGGCGCATTCGCATGAGCAGTGCGCTCTGGCGGCCTTGCGCGCCCTCGCCGGCATGGGGTTGGATGCGCCTGCGCAGGCTCCCACTGCACAGTCAGTACACCCTAATTTAAAAAAATCGCATTTGATTTCGTAAACGATTTATTACAGCAAATATTGACTTTTGTTTAGTTTTTTTTACTACATATATTATTTTATTTATTTATATTCTGTCCTACAGATGCAGATTCGTTAAGTTTTAATTGTGCTTTAAAAGTTTTCACGTATTATGTGGTTCTAATTCCTCGTACAAAATAAAATTAAAATAATAAATAAATAAAACACAAGAACATAGTAGGGACTGTGACCCTAAAGCATGTGCTACACGGTATGAAACGGCGGTTTGAAACCAAAGTTTCAAACCGTGTGGATAGTTGTTTTATGCCAAATTTCGTTTAACCTTGGTATGCCCTTGGCAGCACGCTTTGCGTTGCAAACCGCGACCAAAACCGTTGGTTTGAAACCGTCTAGCCGCTTGTTTAAAACCACGCGTTCGGCAGTCGTGCTGCGGCGGCGAGGGTAGACGCACGCGACGACGACGTTCTGCACAATGGCACAAGAAGCAAGTGAACGTGAAGATGTTACTGAATTGCTCGAATCATACAGAAAATTGCCATGTCTTTGGGATTTATCATGCGAGTCATATAAAGACTCGACTCAGAAAAAAAAATGCGTGGGATATTTTAGCCGAAAAATTAAAAGTTATAGACCCAACTTTTTGTTGTTTACTTAGGCAAGGCGCCATGATGTCGTTGTAATTAATTCTGAAAGTGCGTCAGGTACGGGAGCGCGGAGATGTCTTATCAGCGCAACGTTATTTTGGACACTGTTGGTTAATGGTTTTAAACCGTGTAGCCGAAAAGCGCAACTCGCTTTTATTTCGTTTCAAACCGCCGTTTCATACCGTGTAGCACATGCTTAAGAGTCAAAACTTACCACTAATTGTTTGTCAATAACATTTGATTTGACATACAGTGATATATCAACTAAATCTTACCCATAGAAAAGTCAATAATAATGTTTTATTTGTTTAGATTGCAGAATAGCGGTATATCGAACGCCAAAAGCAACGCGATCAACGGCATGGCCGAGTGACCCACACCTGACCCTGCAAATCGACCCACGCAATATTAACATGTGAATATTCAGCAAAAGTAACTCATTTCCATATTCACGATTTTTGATCTCGGGTCAAACTCATTTTGACGTTGAATGGAATGAACTCCTATGTTAAGGTCATTTGCCGTGTGAAACTGTAAATCGCTTTAGTACGAGAGATTAATTACGAGCGAACTTCGTAAGGCTGTACATTTTTCAAAATATTTTAAAATGTATTCGGAGAAAAAAAGTTCTTAGAAATAATTTTAGAAATATTTGGTACATACAAATCTTTCCATATATGTGTAACTTCCTTCTATGTGAGATTTAATTATATTGGAAAAAGTCAAGTTTAAAATTAGAAAATATTAAAATAATTGCAAAATGGGTGAACAGTTTCATGCGGCCATTTTGACATGTCACTCCATTCTCTCGTTTTTACTATTAAACGATTGTGTATTTATTTTTCGAATAAGTGAATCTTTGTTAACTGATTTCACGCCGTGGTTAAGGTGAATCAAAATATATTAGAAATTAATTAGTTAAAATTCAGCCAAAGCGGCTCAGCGAGACGATAGATTAGGTAATGTAGATTAAAACTCAGAGTGGTCACTTCTTATACCTTGTCGTTTAGCGGGAATTCAAGTGGCAAATCTTTAAATATACATTAATTTCAGCGCCGGCGCAAACTATCGAATCTCTTTTTTTTTTAAATATCTTTATCGATTGTCTCTCTAGAGAATGTTTAAAGTCGAATCCTCCGTGTAAACTAAAATTCTAAGGAAACTGATCTTTGTTAATTTCTTCTCTTCTCAATTCTTCTTTTTTCCTCTTCTTTTGTCTACTAATTAATAATAATCATTTGGTAATATTTGACCCTTGTTAGAAGTAATATTTTCTCTAAACGGCTCAGAACGATTAAATGGTGCTAATTCTAATACACTTCACCAAGAACTACCAAAAATTCTTTTTAGGAAATCGTTCATTCTCGACGTTGAAAATGACGGACTTCCTCGAGATCCGTGTCGTTTCCTGGCTCTCACTCCTTTCATGTTTTAGAAGGATTTGAATAAAAAAATTCCATTTTAGTGTTAAAACACTCAGGGTCAGATTCAAAGTCGACATGTAGCGCTGAGTATGACTTTAGCTAAAACGTATTGGATTTGTGTCGACTCTGAGTAAAAGACTTTGCAACAAATAATAATATAAACATGTATTTGCCTTACGTATACGTACGTACGTTAACTTTCGGATCTAAATTATTGTTTAGCGAGTGAATGAGAATTAGCATTAGTGAAGTGTCCGCTCTGAAGGGGCGTGTTGCATCATGCGGCCATGATGACATAGCTTACATCGCCTCACTTCACGATATGGGCCTGTTTTCATAGAACCGCTCTCATTCTGTCATAATCTAGACTTAGCGCGAATGTCAAATCCATATGACATACGTCATACTTATGGCGAAGTAACTTTCTTTTACTCATACGCGATTAATAATTGTGAATTCAATTTATATATTTTTTTTTCGTATCGTTCGTGATAAAACATTATGATCTTGCCTTGAACTTATAGTTTTGACGTGCTTAAAATAGCTAATATTTTGAGGTTGAAATAGTAACGGTGGATATCCGTGGTTATATGTCAGATAAGGTGATATCATGATGTATTTTGTAAATTTTGCTTTTTTAATTTTTAAAACCATTATTTCGTCTATTTAAATTTCATGAACAATGGTTTTGTATATTATGTTAAAATAACTTCCTTATTTTTCGCGTTTACTATCGAGTTAAAATTAAGTTAATTTATCTCAAGATCACGCAAATATTAAAACTTTCGATTAAATGCATTTTTTAAATTGGTGTATGCATTTGTATGAAATGGGGCCCATCGCAAATTCACCTTTCACCAGACGTGGAGTGCGGCGATTTGTTTGGCCTCGATTTTTACCTTTGACCCTACGCTATGAAATGTGTAATTTTAGATATAAGTCCTTAATAAACACTTAATTTACGCCCCTCGTCTTAGGAGGCTTGGTTAATCGTCAAAGCTAGAGTGAATGAACTTTTGCTGGACGGTCTCTAGTATTGCGATGTCGTACGGGATTTTCGTACTTGTCACCTCGTAATAATGTCGTATGTTGATCGGACGATTTTCCAAGCGATTTTGAATAAGGTAAATGTTGCTTAACCGTATGTGTAGCCATTGCTGTTATTGCTGTTTAGTGTAAACGGAGTATTTGCGTAAATATGTGCTTTATCAGTACAATTGATCGGTAATGTTATAGTTATTTATTTAGATTTAATGCTGTTAGCCCGAAGGGACCCGATCATTTGTAGGATACCGATTGTACATTTCATTGTAATGGGTCCGAACGATTTTTTAATTTAAGCTCCGTTACGAAGATTGTGCGACTTTAAATCGAGGCCATTGGTTCAATTTCTTCATGTTGAATGTTGCACAAGTGACAAAGCATAAAGAAATTCAGTTGTTTATTTAACTGAGACGCCATAGGGGCATTTATTATTTATTTTGTCCTAAGTGATTAATATTTTATATACACCAGGAACAAGTCCCAAATTAATTTGCTGTTTCATTATTAAACAAAATAAATACGAATATAATTACAATTGGTGTTTTATTTGTCTAATCGTCGAGCGAAGCCTTATTCTAAATTATCTTGAAATGTATGTTTGAGAGTACAGCATCTGATGGATCAAGAAAAAATATTTTTCAGATAACAAAAACATATTTATTATCAAAATCAATGTACCTACAACTACAACTAAAGGGCAAATGATTCATATTATGAAACACACTATTAAATTTATTTTTATTACAAATTAAGAAAAAAAACACATCTTTAATTAAATTACTTGTAACAAAGATCAAAGTCACTTGACTATGATCTAGGGATGTGACATTCTGCATAAAAAAATCGATTTTTATTAATCGATTATTTTTTTACATTGAATAATCGATTAATAAATAATCGATTTTTTTATTAATCGATTTTTTTCTAATTTTTGAATTAATTTCAAAATAAACTCCCTAAATATTTTATTTTTCATGGTTTTTTAAATTAAAAATAAACAATAGAAATTATAAACACAAATTAACGTTTAAGAATAATCAAAATCGAAATTAACTTAATCTCGTTTTGATAGATTTTGATAAATGCTGAGTGTATTCCTTTTCAGTAGCACATTGCAGCATTTTTGTTGTCTTTTTAATTGTATGTAGTCTTGTGCTGCTGAATAAATTTATTTTACTTTTAAATTATAGTGTTCCATTCAATGCTTTTATCATCCTTTTGTAAAATATTACAAAAAACATCAATGTATCGAGTATATCAATACATCTTCAAAGAATCGGATTCAATGTATCGCATTGTAAACATCGTTGTGTATCCCTAATCCCTAATAGTTCGAGGTCCGGGTTATAAAAGACCAGACATAATGTCCGGAGGTGGCAGATAAAAAATCGATTATGATTGATTTTCAATTATAAAAATAATCGATTATTTTAAATAAAAAAATCGATTTTTACTTTTAAAAAAATCGATTAAAATCGATTTTTTTAATAATCGATTATTTTTTTCACATCCCTACTATGATCCTTTTAACGAATAGTTTTTGGTCTCTTTGGAATTCTCAGTGATTCCACACTGTCTCCTCACTCACACTTTCTGATATCTTTAACAATCAGCTAAATCATAACAAGTTACAGTGCAACAAAGACAGGCCACAGATCAGATAACTGTGACCTGTCATACATATGTCAAAAAAATCTTAAAACGAGAGGTGACTGTGATCTTTTTTTACAACATCCATTGTAAACTTTTTTGAGTGCGGGCCATAAAAAAATCTTTTTGAGCCTCATGTTAACTGTGATTTCTTCACCATTCTACAGCTTCCTTCATTTACTACTAGATGACATTGACGCGGGCGAATACGACTCTTGTGATCCGATATGACAGATCTTTACTCATACTTTTTTCTTTTAGGTTCTTTAGAAGATTGTTGTAGAAGTTTTGATATTTTTAAAAGAACAGTGAAAACACAAAAATAAAAAACAAAGTTTATTTTTATAAAAATAGGTAATGCGTAACAATATCACCAGTCAGTAAAAGACCCGAGGTAATCAATGGGTGCACGTTATTTACATAATACTATTGCAATCTCGTGGAATACTTTGTTTTTAATGGCTTCACTTCTCAAACTTCAGACCGAGCGTCAACGTCATGAAGCTCAGGATATCGGTGTGCTCCTCGATCTGGAAAAAAATATATGAGATTGCATTGTGGAATAGGAATTTAAAAGGTTTTGGTGTATTTGTGCCTTAAAAACTTTTAAAATTTAGTAAAATAAATGGTTTTCGATATACGTAAGGGAACGAATTTTTTATTTTTGTAATTGCAGTTCCAGATAAGGATATTAATTAAAAACTATACATTATGTCTTCACGTTTACAAAAAATATAGGATATATTCAAAATCTATATAACTATATTTTTAATATGTTTTAGATAAATAAATCTACTAAGATAAAGGAACTAAATACATTTCTGTACAGAAGTCAAATTAAAAAGCAAAAATATAAAACAAAACGAATGGTGATTTCTTTCTTGACCTCTTTTATGGCGATAATAATAATAATGTCATGTTTGAAATGAACCTGTGAAGCATTACTTACAATTTTAGCGGTGGGTTTTCCTCCGCCGTGTCCGGCCTTAGTATCGATCCGGGCCAGGAGAGGTCTGCGCTGTAAGGTCCCGTTCACGGAGTGTTGTATCGCCGCGATGTACTTCAGCGAGTGCAGTGGAACCACGCGGTCATCGTGGTCAGCCGTCAGCACTAGGGTCGCGGGGTATTCCGCTCGACTCACTGGAAAAATATATATATTTTTGAAGTTATACTTATTTTGGCGCGTTGGGGAAAATGAGGAGGAATTTTTTACGATGCGCGCGAACACCGTCACTAAAAACCGACACCCTGAAGTTAGCTACAGTCAACATTTTAGTTTTTTCTACAAACATAGAATAAAATTTTTGAAAAGATTTTTATCCAAAGAAGTATAACTTCTATCGCGTGTATATGAGTACACACGTTTTTCTTATAAACAGAAATTCTTAACGATAATGTTGCCATTGCCAAGTGGCCGAATTCTTTGTAAGTATTTTTGTTTACAATATCTGTTGTAATAAATAAATAATTTTCCTTTAATCGGGACATTAAGTTTCTATCTATTTATTTCGCCCTCAGCGTTTCTTTATAAACTTTTAGTAGTATACACTAGTCTGGGAGGAAAGAGAACTGCCGTGGGGTTTGTAGTCGCTGCAGGGTTACGTCATTATAGTTCGACAGTCATAATGTGAACGAATTAAACTCACACATTTTGAAATAAAAGAAATGACGCATTTCCTACGCGTCATTTATTTCCTATAAATGATAATACTAGTTCACATAACTGCCGGTTCTTTTTTCGCACATACTATACCTTTAGCAATTTAAAATTTGTTTTTTTTTAAATTTTTGGTTTGTAACTTTCACTCAATAAGGGAGCGTACAAGTATTACGTAACGCGTTTTATTTCCTTTTGTAAAACGTTACGATGCGGAGCGGGGATTAAATTATGCGTTATTGTTTATATTATTTTTGACCTACACCACATAATAGTAACTAAAGAGACACAAGGTGGTCACGAAACGTTTTACTATACTCGAGTACAGTACTGTACTAGGGTACTGAAAAACGTTTCGGCGAGATACAGGGGGGGATGTCAATAATCTCCAAAAAATTGCGTTACGTAATACTTAAACGCTCCCTAACTAAAATCGTCAATAAATTTTAATAATTAGAATCTTGAGAGAACATCACAAATTAACAGTCAGAGCTGTAATAAATAAATTAGAGCTAAAATATTACCATTGTCAGGCGCCTGGATGTTGTGCAAGGGTGAGTACTTGAGTAAGTTGTCAAAGTGCGTCTTGTTGTCAGAACTGCCGTAGTCTGACACCCACGCGTGACCAATTGTGAATTTTTGGAAACGGAGCATATCCAACACCCTGAAAATAATTAACATAATTTGATTTTATTTATATATATCTATCTCTAATAAAAAAAATAGGTAAGAATACAGAAAAGTGCAAAAAATAGAGTAAATTATATAATTTCATTTTTTATATTGTTAGTTGCCTTAAAATTTATACTAAATAAACAACGTATTGACTATAAGGGTATTTTTATAGCCACAATATAACACACATATGAACTGATAACCTCCTTATAAAATCGGCTAAAAAGAGCTGACTGGGTCTTAAAAAAACCCACAACGCAATCGCGACTACTCTAACAATGGCTATGGACGGTTTTACTTAACACCATTTATTAATTAACCGACTAAAAAACCGAAGGAGGTTATCAATTTGACGTCATGTTTCCTCATTCATGTTTTTTGTGCGTTTAATTTCTTTATTACTGTTCACATATTAACCATTATCCCCCTCTTATATAAAAAAACTCACCCAACTTGGACGATAGCAGCTCCATACAGATCCGGTCGTTGGTTGATACAGGCGGCAACCAAAAGACCGCCATTAGAGCCTCCTTGGGCAGTGGTCAAGGCGGGTTTCGTATACCCCATGGATTGGAGGTATTCAGCCGCAGCTTGGAAGTCATCGAACACGTTCTGTTTGTTCAACAGACGCCCTGCGTTGTGCCAACGTTCGCCGTATTCACTATAAATATATTTTATAAACTAGCTGTTCCCTGCCACGTTTCGCAGTGGCAGATTGTGATTGAATGGTTGAGAAATGAGAAACAAAACAAAGAAAACATTTAATTTTTGCAATACTTGTGGGAAAAAAGAAAAAAAAATTGATAAAAACAATCCTTGAAATTACAATTTCGCACAAATTAATATTGCTTCAGTCGGGGTTTCAACGCACTAACTCAAGGTTGCAAGTCGCTTGAACGACTACGACAATATTTCACATAATTTTATTATTCATTGACAAGGAATGTTTATTCTGGAGAAAAAAACGTTCCAGCATAGCATGTGGAACCAAATGGATTTCCGAACCAATTCGACTTAGAAGAGCGTACCAATTCTAGGCAAGGGAGCGTTCAAATATTACGTTACGCAATTTTTGGAGATTATTGACCCCCCCCCCCCATGTAACGCGCCGTTTTCTGTATCCAAGTATAGTAAAACGTTTCGTGACTCTTTATACCCAAAAGTTAACATTATGTGGTGTAAAGTACTGGAAAGTCGAAAATAATATTAGCCTTAACGCGTAATTCAATCCGCATCGTTTTATAAAAGGACCCCCCCCAAAATTCGTTACGTAATACTTGAACGCTCCCCAATGAGGATGTCCATGGGTATACAGATTTAAAAAATCTTACAAAATTGATGTTTTAGATAAAAATGTAATACTAACCCGCCTCCCCGTATATTAGGTATAGCGAGAACGCCATTAAAATGCTGCATGAACACGAGACGAGTCACGCTGAAGCTCGGCTGCACGTTAATGTTGAAGCCTCCGTATCCATAGACTAAGGCTGGGTTATTGCCATCTTGGGGTAAATTCTGAAATATATCAAAAATAAATAATTTCTGAATTGAATAATTCAGCAGCGCTCCGTGGGTGTATATGGAACTAATGAACTAACGAATCACATTATATTAGATATTAGTTGAATACGAAAATCACGTATGAAAAATTTGACATATTAATTAAATATATTGAGGAGGGCAACTTGCGGCCTTATCGCTTTCGAGCGATCTCTTCAAGACAACCACTGTTGGGATTTTTTTTAAAATCAAATCAGATGAGCGCTAGAAGTACATAACTACATAAAATATACAATTACTAAGACATCAATAATTGGCAAAACAAAGCAATATGTTGATGAAACACGATAATTTTGTACGAAAGTACGGGATACGACATGGACACTGGACAGGCAATGCTTGTACAGTAGATATTTAAAGGAAGGTAAAGAAGGAGCTATGCTAATAATTATTGGGAATGGAATGAAGCTTATAAAAACTAGTTTAAATATATTTTATATAAAAAACATACCTTTTTATGTACAATAAACATAGGAACTTTAGTGCCATCTTTACTCGAGTAGAAGACTTGTTTAGCCTCATATTGGGACGGATCGAATCCTTTCACGCTCACTTCTCTGAACACCTGGAAACAACAGAAAATATTCAACATGGTAAGTGATTTATTTACACATGATAGAATTTTGTATTAGAACCAGTGTGAACCTGACGTGTGTGGGTGTTGTGACCGTTTCTAATACAGCATATTATCGTTATTACCTATATAATGGATACCAAAAACCTGTTTTATAATTATTTTGATATAATTCTAGATGGCATAGTAAGTAATGGATTTTAAGAGAAACAGTTTATATTAACTAAGTAACTGCACTAAACAGAAGTAAGATCTTTTTAACTAAATGGCGCATATAGTATCTTGAATGAGACTTAAATTCCATATATAATAAAAAATAATATAAAAAAAATCACTTACTGTTGGCGAATACGGCTGCTTTTTAAAATCGACATGATAGATAATACCGGGAGTCAAAAACGACATGAAGTGGTAGAAAATCTCGCTTTGCTCCTTCTTTCCGGAGAAGCCCACCACTGAGCCTACATCCAATTTGAATTCTTGGATCAGTTGACCATCTTTCATATTATGTAGTTGAAGGACGCTCTGGAAAACCATGTTTTGTGTGCTTATAATTCGACAATATGTTTGCTTTACACGAACACGCACGTATTCGTATACGTCAATACAATAATGGGACTTAGTAACATTTCGAATTCGTTTTTTATACAATTTAATGTTTATTAGAGGATACCTTCAAAATAATATTTGGGTACTACTTAGTTCCTAAAACGCCCACGGAGGGCGTTTTGTTAAGGCCTTCCATACAGAACTTTTTTTTTTAACTTAACTTTGGTTTTGATAATATATTCTTTAAAAATGTCTCGAAGTGCCAAAAACTACGTAGTTGGTCCCAAAGTTCTGTCACTGGCACATTATTTTTAAATTACGAACATGATTTTATAAAAAAATTATTGCATTCTATTTTTGATTGTTTGACTATTGTTTTAAAACAAAAAACAATCACTTTCCGTAAATTTTCAAGATGGAGTGGACATTGAAAGAAAACCGAATAGCTGTTATTGCGTTGCACCGCTGTGGGCACTCGGCGAGTACCATTTTCAAGTTGCTCAAAAATTTAAATATAACGCTTAGGTTTGTGTACCGTACTATTGATAGGTACAATGAAGTCTCCAGTGTTGAGGACAAGAAAAGAACTGGCCGGCCACGCTCCGCAAGGACACCAGCAGTGATCAAAGCTATCAAGGCGCGGATAGCAAGAAATCCTGTCCGAAAACAGAAGTTGATGGCTTTGCAGATGGGTGTCAGTAGGAAAACAGTAAAAAAGGTTTTAAATGAAGATCTTGGTCTACGGGCATACAAAAGAAAGAGTGGGCACCTACTTAATGCTCGTCTAAAAGCAATAAGGCTTAAGAGATCGCGGGGTTTGTTAAAGCGGTACGCGAAAAACCGACACCGTGATATCCTCTTTACGGACGAAAAATTTTTCGATATTGAAGAGAAGTACAATAAACAGAATGATAGAGTGTACGCTAGGAGTTCTGAAGAAGCTGGAAATAAAGTTCCGAGGGTGCAACATGGACATCATCCATCATCAGTAATGGTCTGGTTGGGAGTGTCCTATTACGGGCCAACTGAGGTTCATTTTTGCGAAAAGGGGGTCAAAACCAGTGCAAAAGTGTATCAAGACACGGTTTTGGACCAGCTTGTCAAAGACCTGCCCAGCACGCTATTTTCGGGACATCACTTTGTGTTCCAACAGGACTCTGCGCCTGCACACAAAGCCAAGACCACTCAAACCTGGTTTGAGCGTCAAAACATCGACTTAATTAGACATGAGGATTGGCCTTCCTCCAGTCCAGACCTTAATCCTTTGGACTATAAAATTTGGCAGGTCTTAGAGAGGAAGGTCTGTGATAAACCCCATAAAAATTTGGAGTGTCTGAAGTCATCTTTAAAAAAAGCAGTCACTGAAATCGACATGAATATGGTGCGTACTGCGATAGACGACTGGCCGCGGCGCTTAAGGGCCTGTATTAAAAATAAGGGAGGTCATTTCGAATAATTTTATGCTATTTCTATTTCTTAATTTATGTACTATTAATTGATATATCACTCATTAAAAACTGATCAGTACTTTAGTTTTTATCATTATTTCTATTTATGACAGAACTTTGGGACCGACTACGTACCTTTATTATACAGAAAGTCTCAGAAGTAGTATTATATTTATATAATTTATAGTTAATTTCAAGAGTTGTTAAATAAATTATAGATTAATGGTAAAAAGGTAAACCAGTCCAACAATGTCAAAATACGTTTCTATTAATAACAGAGTAACCAGAATTATTTTATAAAAAAAAAAAAAACAATCAGTGGCGCTACAACCACTTTAGGTCTGAGCCTCAGATTTCTGAATCTGTCTCATGATCATTTTTAAATCTAAAAAATCATTATTTTATAATAAAAAAAAAACAATCAGTGGCGCTACAATCACTTGAGGACTGAGCCTCAGATTTCTGAAACTGTCTCATGATCATTTTTAAATCTAATAAATCATTATTTTATAATAAAAAAAACAATCAGTGGCGCTACAAACTCTTTAGGTCTAAGCCTCAGATTTCTGAATGTGTCTCATGATCGTTTTTAAATCTAATAAATCATTATTTTATAATAAAAAAAACAATTAGTGGTGTTACAACCACTTTAGGTCTAAGCCTCAGATTTCTGAATCTGTCTCATGATCATTTTTAAATCTAATAAATCATTATTTTATAATTAAAAAAACAATCAGTGGCGCTACAACCTTTTTAGGTCTGAGCTTCAGATTTCTTAATCTGTCTCGTGATCATTTTTAAATCTAATAAATAATTATTTTATGATAATGGCTCAAAATTTACCTTAACATCCCTGACATAGTGAATGACCAGTTTGTCACTGTCCACGGCTGAAGCCCAGTCCAGTACATCAGTAGGGTGCTCCTAGAAAGTTGCAATTGTATGAATCATTACAGACATTTTTACAGAAACATTGCGATATAGTATATTTCATTACAAGTGCGGAAAGCCTGTCATTGCAAAGAGTTTCGACAAATGTCTACCCGAGCCGAGGCGCAGCCGAAGGTGAGGGTTGACAGTCGGAACAAGTTGCAAGGACGGTTCCGCACGTGTACTGAACAACTATTTTTAATACAGTTGCGAAAAATAAAAACACAATAAACTCAACTAACTAATCATTTATTTCTTATACAAATTATTGTTCTCATATACATTGGTACAGTTTTTTATACTAACTGGAGAAGTTTTAGGTTGCATATTTATTTACTGTTTGAGACAAACTATTATTAATTTCGTATGATTGTTCATGTATATTTAATATATAATATAACAAACAACTAAACGAGCAAAGAACATTTATGGAAAATGGCGCCAACCGTAAAAGAATATAAGCAGATTTTTTTTTCTTCACCCATTCTGGGTAGGCAAAGGGAACTATGCCCATACAGCCAAGTCTTCAGTACAATTTTTTATTGATATGAAATGAAATTTAATGAGATAAAATGAAACCTAACCTAACTCATTGAATCAAATCATTAAATCTGATATTGAAACAAAGCAGTAGTAGCTTCTTTTTAGAAATATTTGCATGAATCATAAAAATTGCTATGAATTTTTTTTAGTAAAAACTTCGTGGTTGGTTTTTTCTTTTTAATATACATTATTTTGACAGTTGGGAAAGAAAGCGCACTAGTTCGGAAAAGGTAAAAAAAAAGCACGAGTGTGTAATAGCATGAACGCTATACCTCCCTGCAATACGCCACTTTTTAAGCAACTGTATTAAAAAATATTTTTTGGGTTTATAAACCAATATTAAAAGTAACTTACGGGTATTAGCGTCTCCCACTTGTCTTCAGCGGGTTCATTGAGATCAATCTTGATCAGTCTGTAGTTCGGTGCGTTCTTGTTTGTACGGAAGATACACACGGAGCCTTCGTTTGAGACGTACTGGAAATTTAAAATCTATCCTTAGTAATCCCTTATATTAAAATTTCAGTACATTGAAATGAAACTTTAACCTCAGAAATAATAGGGAATGGTAAGTTTTGTTCGAAAAAAGTCAGTCTAGTTGAATTCTGTTAGCTTAAGTTCTCATCTCATTACAACACAATTTGACAGAAAGAGACAAAAGACTGAATTAGTTTTTTAGAATAAGGGAGCGTTCAAGTATTACGTCACGCAATTTGTGAAGATTATTGACACCCCCGCCCCCCCCCATGTAACGCGCCGTAACGTTTTCCAGTAGTTTACTATTGGGTACAACGTTTTAACGTTTCGTGAACACCCAGTGACTCTTTATACCTAAGAGCTACCATTATGTGGTGTAAGGTACTGGAAAGTCGAAAATAATATTAACAATAACGCGTAATTCAATCCCCGCTCCGCATCGTAACGTTTTACAAATAGAAACCCCCCCACCCAAATTCGTTACGTAATACTTGAACGCTCCCTAACCTCAAACTCTGTATATTTTATCTTGAAAAACAATTAAATACCTCATAATCCGCCTCAAAGTTATGTACAATCTGTGTGAGTGACAGCAGTCCATCGATTTCTGGATGTTTGTGCAAATCAGCGAAGAACAGAAGGTTATCCCGGCAATCTCTTACGGGACTGACGAGGAGGTAACGCCCACAATCACTCACTTCAGCACCACTGGAAGAAAACACTTAAGAGTTGACTAATAATTTAATTAAGGTTGGGCAAAGTAATTGAATTTCCCAGAATAATTCGGGAATTCAGTGGAGTTCGCTCTATTGTTTTTTTATGTGTTAATTAATTCTCCAATATATATAATATCTATTAAATAATTCTCCAAAGAATTAAATAATAATTTTAATACATTAACTTAAATACATAACTTGCATTGTTTAATACAGCTTCTCATATTTGCAAATAAAACCTCAATAAAAGAATATATAAAATAAATAATATAGTTCCTACGTTAGAACATTGTCGCAAAAAAAATATGTATGTTATACGACATTAAAAGATCAAAAAAGAAAATACTAATAAAACAAGTTATTTTAGATACATTTTCTACATTTCAGTAACAATAAAAACATGCTAATTCTACTGAATACTATAAAAAGACACCTACGCACGATTATCTTCGTTCATATTCCGCGTATTTATGTCACTGTTAACGAGAAAAAAAACTGAGAAAATTTAAACAAAGACATACATTCATATAGAAAATTTACATAATTTTAATATTGAAATATCTATTTTTTAATACTTGTTTAGTAGTGCATTTTGGGCGTTTGAGTACCAGATATTAAGTACATTAATATAAGAGCGTAACAATTGTCCAATACGAAATACGGCAAAGAAAGAAGTGACAATCGATGTCTGAGGTTTAGAACATGCATCACTTTTTGTTACCACTCAATATGACTTTGCTGTGGAATGGAAGCCTGGTTATCCATATCACAGGTTCTTACCTAGTTTGGAAACCAGTCTTCCAGTACCTTCTAAACTGTAATATGATTGTCTGTTGTAAATGTTATATAGAGCAATAGTGCTTTGCGTAAATCAAAATGCTTTTTTCACATAGAACGTGGAATTTGTATGAATTTAATTAAAGTTTGTCGTGTTAAAACATATATTTGATTTCCTTACTTCCAACATTTAATTAATTTTCTACGAAAGTCATTCATGTCAATGGCGTGATATATGCACCAATAAATGTTGACCTATCTAATTCCCAAGAACCATTAAAGCGGGAATTATAGTAGCGTTGTAACCATGGCAACAAGATCGAAATGTAAGGCACAAATTATATTAAAAACTTACATCCTCCATAGCGGCTCTTCGGGGAATTCGACAACTATAACATCGCTTTCCTGCGGAGTGTTGAGTCGATGGTAGCACAACTTCTGATCTCTGTTAACTTCCGTTTCTGAGCCGTCAGTCTTTCCTGTTTGTTCTGGATAACGCTGCGAAGGGAAAGTAGGAAATAATATTTCAACCCATTATACAACCTCTTTTCTATATTCGCTTTTTTATACATTATTATATGATGGATACTAGTCAGACTCCTTAGTATCTATAATTGCCAGTTAATAAATAGTACTTTTAATGTCCAAATAATTAGAACGACAAACTGTGTAGATTGAAAACTTGAACATTTGGGCATTTAATAATGTAATATATGTGTTTTTGTGTCTGCTTTATATGGATATCTTATGGTCAAAAGAGTGCACCTATTCATAAGAAGCCGGCCACTTACTCGCGAACAGTCTGACAATGTGTGGACTTAACATCAGGTAACCTATACAATTATTCATATTCCATAACTTACAGAATAAAACAATCCTTTGTGATCTTTCGTCCACGACATTGACGCGAATTTGACCTTCTTCAGTACTTCTGGATAATCCTCACCTATTGTTAAAATAAATAATTGGTTACGGGAGGAAAACATAAAACAATTTTTTTTAAGATTAAACAATCATTTTGAATTAAAAATAGTAAAATTATCCAAAAATTAATAAAAAGAAAAACAAAACAAATTTAAAAAATTTGGTCCCTGTGGCAGTGTACCTTTAACAAAGACAAACATTTCTAAAGATTACATTCATATAAAAAAAAAACTAAAAAGCTGGCCCCGCAGATCAGGCAGAAAATTATAAATGGCACAAATATAAAGAGTCTTTCCTCCCTTCGATTTTGTTCCCTTTGGAGTTGAGACCCTTGGGCCATGGGGTTCAAGTGCACAGGCGCTAATTAAAGATTAAAATTGGCGCCTGGTAGATAGTACCGGTGACCCCAGAGCTGGTACTTTCCTGGCCCAACTAATAAGTATCGCAATACAGCGAGGAAATGCTGCCAGCGTTAAAGGTACACTGCCACAGGGACCAAATTTTTTAAATTTGTTTTGATTTACTTTTTATTAATTTTTAATCATTTTTATTATTACTTTGTAGGTTAAGAAAATTGTAAATACTGTATACTTGATTGTAAATATAACGTTCCGCTTAAATAAACAGAGTTGTATGAATTACGTGGTTAAGTTATCTTTACGTGGTCACTAAGTACTAGGACCATTTCTTATCAAAATTTAAAAAACTGGTCTTGGTACAACAGCTTCCCATACTTTACAATACATTATTGAATTGTAAAATTAAACATTGTTGTGCGATCGTTTATAAAAACATTAAATTTATTTCTCTGTCTTATGTTTGTTCTGTCTCTGTTTATGTATACTAAAAACATTTTTTTAAATATATATCAACGGTATTGAAATTAAAATATAAATTAATTAATTTAATAAAATAAAAACTTGCTTTGTCTCTTGTTTACAATTTTCAACTAATCTTTTTTTAATAACAACTTCAGTATCCTAGATATAAAACAAAGAGATAACTATTTTTAGTACAGTTCTGATAACATTGATTCCTGTTCCGGTAGTGAAATATACTTCAATTTAATAACACAAGTGAGATAACAAGACTACGTTAGTCTTTAAATAAATCTTTTTAAATATACTGTAATAGCCACAACGTTTGCTGGTACATATCGACTTCTTCGAAAAGCTAAGGCATTTCTTCTCGCTTAGGTATACTTCACAAGCGAATCAATTTTCTAAATCGAGTTAAAACACGATGATTTTGTCGATCACAACTCAATCATTTATTTAGAAGTAGTTATTTTCTTATTTTTCATACCTATGACCCAGGAACGGAAAAACTGTCCAAGGTACATGCCTAGACTATAACTCGTTAAGATAATATTTCAATAGATAAAATTATGGCCACAGACCTTCATACAATAAATACGATTGACGTAAGCAAAACCCGTTATCAGTTCTATAATTAAATAAATTTATTAGGAAATGAGAGTTGATTTTATTAGAGCGTTCTGCGTTTTCTTCACGAAATGCATATTAATCATCAAATCAGTAGCACAATTAAAATAGTTAAAGTACAGTAGGGCTGTTCTGCTAAACCGGTACCAGAAGGGACAAGTTAAAAGTACCCATAACCAACGAGCATGCGAGAATGTCATGGAAGTGGGTGCATCGAGAGAGGTATTCAAGACAGTAGCAAGGATCTCTGTGGTCGCTGCCTAAGCGTTCGGGAAAAGTGAATATTTAAATAAACTAGCTGACCCGGCAAACGTTTGTTTTGCCATGTACATTATTTCTAGGAAACATTTTTTTAGTTCAATAACTTTCTACAATAATAAAAATAGGGGATGGTCGTAGAGGGGGGGAAAATAAGGGGTTGTATGTATTTTTATATGCTGTATCATAAAAAAAAAGTTTTTGGGGTGGCCACCCCCCTAGGGGTTTGAAAGATAGATAGTAGCCGATTCTCAGACTTACTGAATATGCATAAAACATTTGAAAAGAATCGGTCGATCCGTTTCGGAGGAGTATGGGAACGAACATTGTGACACGAGAATTTTTTATACTAGATAAAAATTCTAACAAAGTCGTTTCCAGTACCTAATTATCTAATAAAATGCAATCATCCTTAGCGATGATGTCGCGACTTGGAATTACGTAGTACGACAACTTGAATCGGTGTTTAATTTACAGGGTAGGCTTGTTAGTTGCACAACTTAATACATACGAAATTAAAATCTCATGACAATGAATTATTTAAAAAAAATATAAATAAGGAAGTTATTGATAAACATAGTACTTCTTGTTATTGTGTTTACGCTGTTAAAGAGTTCACAGCTCTTTAGATAAAATAGCGTAAGTAAGTCATGAAATGTTGGCACTTTGGAAAATATGTACTTGTTTTTCGAAACAATTATGAATTATGAATATGCATAAAAGGAGTATTACGAACATCCAGAACGTTAAATCTCCCTCACTTTCACACCATCAACAATTTTTATTGATTTTTTTCTATCGTAAATATTTGATTGCACCTTTTTGTACATATATTATGTATTCCATCTTTGGCTATATATTTTTGTTGTATACCTTATAGCAGCTGTAGGTATACGAAATATAAAAATAATATTATTACGTGAATAATAATATTACGGGAATCGAAGTCGTTCTAAGATACAAATATCATAATTACCTGTAGCAACATCCTTAATATGTATCGTTATCCAATCAGAGCCACTAGCCGATAGACCGTACGCAAAAGTGTTGCCATCTTCCGTGAAACGACTACCAGATAATGCCACTGTACCATCCTCAGATAGTTTATTGGGATCCAGGAATACCCTAGCTTCACCATCTAGGCTATCTTGTACGTATAGGACACTGAAAAATTTAAATATATTTAGATATATTATATATTTAGAATATTCTTACATACTATGTTATAATATTCCGACGTTTTTTCACAGTAACACGAAACTTTAAATAGATATTTTTACAAATAATTTCTACTTAAATTAAGCAGAACAATATGGGTGAAGGCAACCAGTGAAATATATTTGGAATGTTTGCGCTCTATTACTAATGATATTTGTACGAAGGTACTACGAAAAGTAGGAAAGAATCTCGGTACTGTTATAAATGTTAAATAAAACAATTAAAAATCTAAAAGTGGGATATCTATAAGCAAAGAAATCGATAACCACACATATGTAACTACTTCAAAGCCTATATATGACTATATCATTAGTGAACTTACTTCTGATTTTGAAGTCCTGTATTTTTATAGAAAAAGTACCGATCCCCTCTTCTAAAAGGGCACGAATATTTGGGGTAGTTCCATAGCTCTGTTAGCCGTTCGTTAATATCTTTTTTCACTGGACACGAATCCAGGAACGGGCGGGTTATATTATTTTCAGCCTCTATAAATGCTTTTGTGTCATCGGAGTCGGGGTCTTCCAGCCACCGGTATGGATCTATTATCTATAAATTCAATCATTTATAACAGGCCCCATATCGTCAGTATCAATATAATACTTCTTATATATACTTTTTATTCATCTGTTTATGCTATAAAAGAATTCGGGCAATGAAAACGGTGGTCGTTTCGTTTGTTTGTGATTGGTCAATAGCACTTTAATCGTATCACACGCGTAAGGTTTAATTTTTCAATAATTGTATGGTACAGCTACTGCATACCATATTGTATTGCCTCAGATACTTAAGATAGATAGCTTGTATGCTCTCCAAGTATGAACGTAAATATCTGTTTCTAAAATTTTTGTCAAATTCTACTACTTGCTAGTTAATGTTTAACCTAACACCTCAAAATTCACCTTTATAACATAATCATCGTATATAAAATATAGACATCATAGATAAAATCACAATCACCACGTCTAGTTTATAACGTAACGCGTACTTATAGTAGAAGAATTACAAGTATGTACAATGATGTAAGTTAGAGCAAGATTGATATTCCATTTAAGGTATTTCGTGTCGGCAATACACAATTTTCTTAGAGATTTTACCTTGCGGTAAATTGGAACGTGACTTAATCACCGAGCACGTCTTAAGTTGTCAAGTTTGTCATTGATTCTTTATTTATATGTTTTTATAAATTAAAAGTTGTATTAGTGATAGGGGAGCCCACGATGCTAAATGGGGATTTACTCGAGCGTCGTAGAGACCTATTGGGATACAAAGCTTAGATAAAAAGAAGAAAAAAAATGTTATATGATAAATTCCTTTTCATCGGTGGGGGAAGCGGCTATAGATAGTTAAATATGTAAAAAAAACTGTTGCATGGACATCCTCGAGCGCGTCAGATATTGATAGCATCTATGCCCTACGTATTTTTAATAATGTACGTATGTTAATCTGATCGTTTGCATGATGCGGGTGGTTGTATTTAAGGGTTGAAAATTAAAAAAAAAAAATTTATCGAGCGCGTCAGATTTTCTAAGGGAGTGTTAAGTGCACCAAAAAAATCTCTCATTCACTAATCTGACGATTTCGATGGGACGCAAACCCACAGCCATTTTCTTAATTTGCAAAAAAAATCGCAATTTTGAAATACTCAAGCGCGTCAGATTAAGATATATGTGGTTCATCTTTATGTTCTAAACGTACTGTCTCATAATCTGACGATTATCTAGAGGGATTCGCCTGATCTGACAAAAAAAAATGAAAAACGGTTCACCTAAAGGGCCATCCCTGCAACTTCCCGCTAATTCCATTCCTGGGCGCTTAAAATTGATATTTTGAGCTCGCTGAGTTCAAAGAAATAACATTTCTATGCATTTGAGCTCTCCCAGCTCGAAAGTCTGATAGAAGTTTCATAGAACACTATTTTTGGAATTTTCAAACCGCAATAACTTTTGAATGGATCAAGCAATTTTCACGCGGTTGGCGGCATTCGACGCAGTTTTATCATTCTCATAAGTAATTTTGCAATTTTAATTGATCGAACCACAAATTTCGGAGTAATCCCGAAAAAACACTTTTTCGGGTTTCTTTCATGTACGATATCTCTCGAACGAATCAACCGCTTTTGACCAGCTTGGTGGCGATCGACGTGGTTTTTCAAGCTCAAAGGCGGATTAGTTTTTGAAGTTGATCGATAAAGAAACCACTTAAAAAAAATATTTCTTATTTTTTTAAGATTTTTCAAAATTTCTCAAAATCTATCGGTCCGAATCGGTTCAAATTCACAGGAAATGTAATTTTGAGGGAAATATTTTGAACGCCGTTTAGTAGATTCCGATCGGTTTAAGGAAATGTAGGCATCACGCAGCTGCACGCATTTAACTTTATCGACGAATTTTTGTTATTTCGGCTTGCGGAAATCGTCAGATTATATATTTTTCATTATTCTGGAATTATTTCCTTCAAAATAAAAGAAAAATTAGCTACGCTCGAGAATGTCGAGATGACGTTTTTTTTTACAACTTTGTTGCCCTCCCCTTTTTTCCGTCACTCTCAAATTGTCAGATTAGTGGAATATACACTTTTTAGGATGTAATTAACTCACCCTACCTTAATCTGACGCGCTCGGGAATTTCTGATGGTCAATTTTTTTTTACTAATCTGATCCTGTCTCCTTCACGCGCGGCCTTATATATGGGCCTCATATTTTGTGGAGGTACTTAACCGGGTACAAGGTATCCCCCTATATAGTAATCTGCCGCGCTTTAGTAAATCCCGAAATCCCCTCTTGGGCTCCCCTACCATTAGTGATATTAATTTTGTTCAAATGACAGAAGTGACCGCTTTCACTGACAATTTTAACAAGCTAGTAACTTTCATCAGGATTCTTTCCTGGAACATTTGCGTTGAATGAAACAAATTTGGTTTCAGAAGTGGCTCATACAAAGTCATTTATTATTCTTCGCCTACCATATCAACTATCTGAGGTATTGATATTACACTCCAGCCTTCAGGGCTAACGGATTTGACTAAAACAGGCCACTGTTAATATTGTATCTCATATTTGAATGGATCGATATCGAATTCAAATCATTTGAACCACTTTAATCAAAGATCTGTTCTAGTTTGGCAAAAACATATTTAAGATTACAAAATATAAACACGACTTCTGAGAGACGCGATACAAGTGACCCGATGAGATCTAATTAGCTAAGCCCTAATTGATAGTACTGTATGGTTAAATACGTACTTATTGTACTGGTCATACATTACATACAAACTAAAACATCGTATAGTTGTTACGTGCTTTGTTTCATTGTTTTAGAAGACGTGCCAGAGCTTCTTTAACACTATCTATGGTTAATGTACTATTAATATTGGTGAATTAAATAAAGAAGTAATATAACTTTAGAATATATACAGTTAATTACATTGTTATTTTGAGAATCGACTCAGTGTGCTATTGGAAATTATAACGAAATTAATGTAATGTGTAAATTTATAGAAAGATTCTCGGGGAATTCCCGACCTAAAGTGTTTAATAAAATAAGAAACCTTAGTTCCATGATAGTCATCAACCACTGTCTCATCCCTTCTCACCTCCGGGTAGACAAAACTCATGTTCTGTGTGGTTGACGATGCGCGAGCGCACTGTAAAAACGCAAACACTGATAGAACATATTCGGCACGCATTACTAACAAGTGGTGACCACTAACTGGCCGATACGGTACTGAAACCGTACTTTATATTCAAAACAACGCTCAAGAACGGTGAAAAGCGCGATCTTTTGACATGCGCCAAATATAAACATAAGTGACAATTGAAAAAGGTCTTAATGGCCAGTTACTATGTATGAAAAGGTCAGTGAGTCAAAGAGTAAATGTTCTGTAAAGGTGATTTTAGTTCTTAGTTGGATTATTTAAGTTATACAGAGTTACTGGAATTAAGTTGATGAAAGAAAAAAAAATTAAAAAAACAAGTTAAAATTTTATATAATTTGAATTATATGTTTTATAATTGTATGTTACTTTCATATACTAACAACAGTAGTGATTCCTGGCTTGCCTTAATCTTAATTAATTTTCATCATTTATTATACTATTGTTAGTCTAGTGGCTAGGTGTTTGAATTAAATCTATGCACCAATAGAATTTTACAGAACACAACATTGTCTCTCATCAGATACGGGAAAATATTGTAAGCAGATGCATTAGACAGCATATTGTATTAAACAGGCAAATCATTTTAAGTAAATACAGATAAAAATAATACAGAAATCTGAATCGAAATTGGGTAATAGGGCAAACGAGTAGGCAAACTTATGGGACACCTGTATATATTTCAATAAATATATGTAGATTCTTAAAAGATTTTTATAAATGTTGTTTAATCGAGCAGATTTATTGGATAAAAAAAGTTACATAAATAAAATCATTCCCACACAAAGTACCATTATGGTACATAAAAAAATCCACTAAAATTATGTAACTTATAACAAATCAAACATCAATATTCATAATCATTAATAAGGACCCTATTCTAAAATCTAATAGTATGTTTAATTTTTTTTTTTAAAGTTGGATTGCTAAATAAATTACTATCACTAAACACACCAGACAACCAAGACACCACAAAGCTGTCAGTGACTGGCTGGATTGGATAGTCACCAATGAAAATTTTAATGATGAATGAAGATAAAATGAAATACATTTAACACACATTATATACATATAATAGACTTTGTTTATAAATATGACAATAATTGACATTAAACTAATATAATATATACAAAATCAGGTATATAAAATGTTGTAAAGTAAAGTTATAAGAGAATGTGAAAGATAAGACTAATACTGATAGAAGTTTTATGATGATAATTAATTTATTTGTAAATACTTAAACATCATCGTAGTGTTAAATTTGTAGGGCAATGCTGTGTGTATACTGTATATTCAATATTTTGCTATTAACTAATTATATGCATTTAAAGAAAAAAACGATTTTGCACCAGCCTTGCGATTCTGTAACTCACTTTTCGAACTCTCACAGCGGTTTTCGCAGCGGCGGTCGCGCTCAAATCAGTCGTGAAGCAGTCATTTTACAATTTGGCATTCTGATAAAGAGGGAGCTTGTAGTTTATTGTTTATCAGTGTTTATCGTGAGTTACAGAATCGCAAGGCTGTGCCGTCTTTACATTTATCGCTGTAACTTGCAGAGCAAGCACTAGTATTTTCTTAAGATATTACCAATATCCATCGGTATTGATTAAAGTTAGCCCATTCCAATTTCAAACTCTAACTGGACGCTATTAATTTTGTAGGTACATTTGTACCGCCTATTCGATTAAAATCCGGTTAGGCTACATTAAAAGTATACAAAATGAAAAAACAATGTCGAAAATACGTAAAGTAAGTAAGTAAATATAACCTTACCAATAATTTTCCAGATAACGAAGTTATATTGGAATTGTTCACTGTGCTATAAAAAGGACTTTGTTTTATTGTAAACACCGTAAGATTTGCAGAAAATCGGCGATGATTAGCAAAAAACCGCAGCACCGACATACAATTTGACACTGTTGACATTTCTGTTTATGCAAAATGCAGATAACGCAGAATCGAAATCACAGAATAAAAAGATCATACTCAGAATAGACTATAGAATAGACTATATACTTGCTCGTTTATTTTAATTTATAGCTGACTGAAATTGTCGAGTTAGAAACTAGCAATGTAATCCACTAAACACTATTCTTGAGTTTATCTACATCAAACAGTAAATTCCTTTAAAACAAATTGTTAATTTAAGTACCGTTTACTTATTTCAAGTACAGTTGATTGACTGATAGACAAAATATCAATACAGCTATACTACGTCTGTAGGCATAATAATACCTCTGTTCAAGCTCGATTTTTTGTTCATGTAGCACAATTAATATACTTTAAAGTCTCCTAAAAATAGTCATAGTATAATTCAACCCCTTCAACCCACGGTTGAACCGAAAACCGAGAAAAATTTCTGCATGTCAGAGTGAAGGAAAACCCAAGGGTTCTTCTGAAATAATGAAATAGGGATGTATATAATTATGCACATTCAATATACTTTAATAATAAAAAGCAATAGATATTACAAAATTATTTATTAACCTTAGTAAGGACCTACTACGAGCAACATAACCCGCCGTCCGTCGTAAGGCACTAGTCAAATAACGGACTCAATTTTGATTAAAACATATACAGAAATTATACATTAAAAAAAAATTATAAATATGTTTAAGTATTTGGACTGGGCCATTTAGACGTTTGTTTTGCTACGTGTCATGTAAAGCTGTCTGCGTTTTTTCTGTGTTCAACAGGCAAATAAGATGTACCTTCAAAACCGTACCACGTTCCTCAAACTATTAGTAAAATTACTCACAAACTCTGCGAGAACGCACTTAAAGCATAAAGAACTTTTTTTCAAGTCAAAATATTATATAGGAGTAATTAATAATTTACAAAGTTTGGACGTAACTCTTTGAATATCTGAGCAAGTAAGTCAGTCTATTTATATTTAACTTTTCCATCTGTCGAAAGCTTAACCATCATACAATTTTGACAGCTGTTGTGATAAATGCAGATTTTCTTAGCGTTTAAAGTCTCTCATTAAAGGTGTTTCAGAGTGTCCAATAATTGATTATTTAACAAACTTGTATAATTTAAACGAAAAAAACTACATATACCATGATTTGGTCACTGACATTAAACATATAGCATTTTTATAATGTTTCAGATCAATAAATTTTCCGTCAATGAACTTAGTCTGAATTATAATTTACACAATAAATTATAAAAAAATATACATAATTTTTTACAATATAATTTGGCGTATATAAAATGTTTAATTTGTAATTCTCGACAACTGTCAAATGTCAACTTTGAAAATTTGGCATTTGATAAATAATGCTAAATTTAAAAAACACCGATATGCCATCTACCCGTAGTATTTACACCGATCTACATCGAAAATTTGGTTCTTTTATTCTACTCTAATAAATAGGAAAATACTATTGTCTTAATACTGAATGCCTAATTATCATAAGATGAAATTTTCTACCAACTAATGGTGCATTTTCATTTCAATTACCACTGAATAAACTTTAGCTCTTTCTTACGCCCAGGTTATAAAAAATACAAATCGCAATGAATAATGATAACGAGTCGTACATTTGCAATTATTTGCAAGCTGTACGTAGATTGCAAGTACCTGCACGTAAGACAAACGTATACCAGACAAGCACACGCATAACCTAAAATTTTTCACGCCATTCTTTCTGACTAAAACGTAACTTCGACTCGAGATTTGTAGATTACATTTTAACTTGAGCGCAAAAGCTTTATACATAATTTTAAGCAAGATTAAAATTGAGAGACGTTTAAAGTGTAATCTAATTGAAAAAAAAAATGTCTTCGTGTAAGAGTAATCCTTTGTGGCCATCATATTACCATTTATAATATTCATAAGATCGCAATTATTTTAACTACCGTTACTGTGAATTAATTCAATTCCAAGTCTAGGATTTTCTTGTTAAAAAGTGTAAAAATTGTAGATTTTCTAAATATAATGTCAAATAGAGCGATATATAAATCATATGGGTTTCTATTCGTGTATTAACGAGATCATTTTATATTATAGATCGAGAATAAGCTAACAGCTACAGAGCTACATATACTTAAAAATTATTTACTTGTTGTATTCACAATTATTTAATCATAAATTATATCACATAGAACACGTTTGCCAGAAACGATTTCTTATATTAAGTGCGAAGTTTTTTCTAGTGTTAAGTGTTGCTTGGATGTCGTTACAGATATTTGGTGAATAACGTTGCTAAATGATTCAGCGGATTTTTTGGAGAAGTGTTTAATGTTTCTCTATAAGATATAGAAATCTTGGATTATGTGTCAATAATATTTTAAATACAGCGCCAAGCTTTGTGAAGTTCGTATTATGTCACGGCTGGAACGTAGATTTGTAGAAACATCTTACGGTTAACACTGACAATACACTAGTTTAAGAATAGAACGAGCCCGCGATAACAGATCTTTATCTGTTAGTTGTTAAATCATAGACCTCCTCTTTAGATTATTACTTTAAGGTACACCCTAAAAATATGAGAATGTCCAACCAGAAGACATGTCTTTAAGTTTATGAAAAACTGTCAGGTTCACATTCATCCCAACTGTCACAATCGTAGTGTTCGCAGTCATAGTCTATGTCACAGGCCGCGTGACCCGTTGCGTCTGAACTTATATCGGTTAAAGCCGCTTCCGATACTGGTTTCGAGGATATGTCGAGGATCTGTAAGACAAAATGTAATTAATTTCTAATAATAAATAATAATAATTTTATTTTTGTACTGACTGCAAATTAGGAAACTACCTCATAGAATTAAAAACCTTCAATTACTAAATATAACCAAATTCGATTAGGTACTTGAAAGTTAAAAAATCATCAAAGTTTTTCTATAATATGTATATTAAAAACATAAAAGATGTTGGGTTAATTACACTAGTTAATGTCTATGTATGTACTCAAAAATGGCTGATTTATATTATTGGATTCGTCTTTACACTTAAATAACTATTAAAATATCGAAATGATTCACCTAGAAACAACTTAAATTGATATGTAAATAATAACCAAAGACAACAGTTTTACATTTGCTTCGTCATTTTTCCAACGTCAAAGACAAAAGTTACATTGTACACTTTTTGTTTAGAGAGCGTTCAAGTATTACGTTACGCAATTTTTGTAGATTACCTGTACCCAAGTCTGTAGTATTGTAACGTTTCGTGACCACCTAGTGACTCTTTATACCTAAAAGTTAGCATTATGTGGTGTAAAGTACAGGCAGTCCTCGTACTTACGGCATGTTAGGTTCTCGAAATACGCGACGTAAGTCGAGACATATTTTTTCGTATGTTTACATGTAAAACTCAAGGGTTAGGTTCCACACATTCTCGAAATTAAACAAAAACTGCATTTATAACAAAGGATATACATACTTTATTACGTAATACTTGAACGCTCCCTTATGACGAATGGTGGTTGCTGTAAGAAGTACGCCGGGTCTGCTAGTGCATAATATATTTATCTATGACGTACGCATTTGAAATTTAGAACAATTAAAGTTAATTTTAATAAAGATTTGAAAAATAATTCTTAGGAAAGGAAAATAAAACTTACATCAGCAGAAGAACGTAGACTGTAATTTTCAGAATGTGGGTCGTGTCGTTTACGCTCGTCTTTTGAGATGTTCTTACTCTCCGATCGCGCGGCAACTTCCGACGGATTTGAGCGTTCTGAAATAAATATTATTTAAATATTGCATTAATATTTATAAGGTTGATTACGCCATCTGGTAGATCTTTACAAACTCCGAATAACTGCTTTAAAATAAGTACAACTTTATGATAAAGAAACGGGAGCATACAAACTGAAAATAACTTTATTCATATAGGTAACCAAGTACACTTATGAACGTCAACAGAAAAAATGTTAGATTCTAAATTTACATTTACTACCAGCTCGCAAGTCAAGGGCGTAGAGCGGGCAAGAAGACCTGGCAAGAAAGTCTCCGCCAATTTTTTTTATTCGCCGAGTTTTGAGTCATACGAATTGTTTCAACTACAACAGCACAGTTCTTGTTAAGTTTCGAACATATTTGATACATTCTTTTGTTTTTTGTGTGTATCAAAAATATTAGGATAAAAAATAGCACTGTAATAATAATTTCAACTGTACAAACAAAAATAGTTTGAACGAGCTTTTAAACCTCTATTGAGTTGGTTTTTTTAATTCATTTTACCTTTTACAAGCGGATCCAGAGCTAAAGATACAGGGGACCCGCTACGAGGCGACAAACTTCCGCTGAAATACATCTCTGGGTTCGCTTCGTGACGATCTGAAATAACATCTAGCTACTACACTGGAACTTATCTAAATACAAGGAAATGTTTACAAAATGCTCTAAAATATAGCAAATAATCATAATTTTTACAATTTTTGTAGCATATGCTGTATAGACCCCTATATTTATCAAAACCAAATCAGTCCAGGCTACATTTAAATCTTTACATTAATATCCTTTTTTAACACAGCGTAAACACAGACAGAAAAGCCGATAAAAACTGAACTGTTTTGGCTTTTATTAGAATGACTAGACATCTAAAATAGCACGTGCAATAGATATTGGAAATATTGCATATAATCTATGTGTTAGTTTAAAAAAATTAAGAAATACGAAAACAATATAATGGGCTATTTGACATGATTTTAAGTCACTACTTTGGAACCTATACAAATAATATTTTTTTAAATATTGGGACATATTACACAAACGTCAAGTTTTTAGTGCGTTGATTGTCATTTAGACATTATTTAAAAGCATGCTACGTCTTCCTCGATTCCACTAATCTGTGACCGTTTTGTGTCACGTGACTGACGTATAAAATTGATATTTATAATGGTTTGTTTTTTAATGAGTTATTTTACTTATATTTAGAAGGTATTTTACTCTGTAACGCTTTTTAAGGCCAAGTTTTTTACAGATTACCCCCGGTTGGAGGATACTCGACCAGCCTAACCACGAACTGGCACGAAGACCCCAGTGGCTAAGGTTGAGTTGTATATATCCTTAGCGGAATAACTTAGCGCGTTTCAGAGTATAACGACATCGCAGCGATTGTCCCTTTCCGAGTGGCTTGAACCCCTGCCGTCGCGTAGAGATGTGGGTTCACTCTGCTTCTTCTATTGATTTACCATGAAGAGTGTACGGAGGAGTTATTCGGATTAACACCGGCATCCGAGTTTTATCATCGGACGATGTCAAAATTGTAGCCGTAAATCGTAGGTGTCGCTATAACATATTTTTATGTCAAATAGCCCATTGCTTCAAAAGTTTTAGAATAAATAAATCAATGCTACTCGATTCTTTACAACGTATATATAGTAATTTTACGACACATCGTCTAGTGGACTAAAATGTTCAAAGAAATGGAGTTCTGGCTTATGTTAGTGTTTGAGGCTAAGTTCAAGAAAATTTAAATATGAACAACCGTGTCTCTGATTTTGAGCATCGGCAATATATTCTATAACGTGTATCTGGTCACAATCTTAAATTAAAATTCATAGAAAAATATGATTTGACTAATCAATACATTTTACCTTAACATTGTAAAATAATCATTATAATATTATTGTAATGAATGTCGACGCTTCAGAGAACGGAAAAATAGTTACCAATGTATGTTCCACCGTCACGAAATTTTCTGTATTTTAGTTTTTGAAGTGAAACTTGAGAAGGCGCATGAGGGTAAATTTTTTACGGATGAAACGCAATAATAATAATATTAGCGTCAAGACGATGTGCAGTGTTTTGTCGAAGAAAAGGGAGAGAGCGATTGAGAGAGAGTGAGAAAGGGCGAACGTAGGCTGTAGCAAATACACATGGAGCGAGAGTAGGGAGCAAGCAAGTAAGAAAGATCGAGAGAGAGAGTGAGATAGAGCGAACGACCCATCACGCACAGTGCCATGGAGCGAGAAGTGGAAGAGAGCTATAGTGAGAAAGACTGAGAGAGAGAGAGAGAGAGAGAGAGAGAGAGAGAGAGAGAGAGAGAGAGAGAGTAAGGGAGATCGAGAAAAAATACACGCTATTAAATTCAAATTCAAAAAATCATTTATTCACGTAGGTAACACAATGTACACTTGTGATTCGTCATTAAAGAAATAAATATTAATGCTTCTAATTTTACATTTATTGGTTGATGTATTCGTTTAGTAGTTACATATTAGAACTTTAGATGGCAATTCTGTCGCATAACGTCTTGTGCAGTAAACGCAGATTTTTTATTTATTTATATTATCATTAGCACGTATACAGTGTGTAAACAGTATGAATATAGATATACAAATACATGGAGTGATCATATACTGGTACCTGATCATCTATTGGGGCTTTACCTTAGTAATAATTAATTTACAAAGAAGTTTCACTTCTGACATATGTACTTTGTACGCACGCATTTTTTAAAAATAAATAAATAAATTTGAGACGGATTCACGTTTTAAACTACAGATTCTTATAGTTACGATTTAAAAAGCAAAGTGTTCGACTCCTAGCTACTTATTACAGCGCCATCTAGAAAAATATTATAGTTCAATTAGTAAACTTACCACAGTCTACGATTTCATGGAAGATATAATGCGAGATATTGACTGGTTGTCTAATCCAGGCGTGAGACATCAACTGTGGTACTGTGCAGCGCTGAGATGGCTCCTTGCACAGCATCCATCTGAGCAGGTGTTCCAGATCTGTCAACGAACTTGAACTAAGATTTGAATAGTTAGAGGATCGGCCTTTTGGACGTCAATACATAATTCAATTATTATTTAAAATGTAAGAACTTTTAAATTACATTTCACTATCGTCATGGAGAAAATGACATCATAGGAAAATTAAATAGTTTATTGTATCCACATAGATAATATAATTACAGTCAAACTGCGTTATAACGAAGGGACTACTCATATTTGGTAGTAAAAACCGATAGTCGTAACAACCGATGACGTTGTTATTAAGAACCTAATACAATAGAATTCAACCGGGACCTTTGATTTTGGTCACTATAACCGGTATGTTGTTCAACACGATGTCGTCGTAAACGGTTTTGACTGTATATACAGTGGGGCCCTTTTTAACTAAATACAAATTACTTGTGCCCCTTCCGTAACTTATATGACAATAAAAACGAGTATTGTGTGCGTTTGTGCGAATTCATGGGTGTGTGTGTTTGTGCGTACGTGTGAGTATGTTTGTTTGTGTGTGTGAATGTGTCGTTTTATATAATAACAGCCATTAAATCCTCCACCTCTGTATAACTTAAGTGAAGCGTTTGAGAAAAAAAAGCGTGATCAGTCGTTACCATCAGATACAATTTGGGGGAATGATAAAGGTCCCTGTATGGTGTCCTCGATGTCAGAGAAGGGGTTAACGAAGAACGTCAATACGTATAAAGTTATTCCCATTGACCACATCTCCAACTCGGGGCCTGCATACCTGCAAAACATATATGTACAAATTAATCCGGTATTTAAAAAAAAATGGCTCTACATTTAACGTCTAGCCCTCAGATTTCTGTATCTGTTTCATGATCGCTTGTGTTTCTAATAGGCAAGTATGTAATCAGTCATATGTGCCTGACAAACGCCCTCAACTTCTGAGTCTAAGGCACGACAGTTTTCTCACGATGTTTTCCTTGATTTGTACGCTAAGTCATTAGGCCAATACTTCTATGGATGTATTTAAAGACCACGTGTACTATCATTTACTAGAGGCCTGTCCCAATTTCGCATGGCTGGACAATTTTTTTTAATATAACTGTGGAAATAAATAAATAAGAAAAAGGGTGTGCGTACAAAGTACACATGTCAGAAGTGATACTTCTTTGGCAAACTAATTTTTAAGTTTTGTTCATATTTATACAAATCTAAAACTAGGTTTCCGAGACAGAGAGAGGGGAAAAGGATGATATGTTAAGAATTTAATGGTGATTAAAATATTAAGTGTCAAAAATTAATACAAATTAAAAAAAAATTATCTTCGATATAGACCACAAGCCCATGAACAAAAAATACCTGTAAAATGACCCAACGTGAATTACGCTTAGAAGGCTGTTACTATATCTGAAAATAGCTCTGAGCACTATGCCGTCATTTCTGAGCGGTACATGTGAGTACGTGAGTGAATGGACTTTCTCAGGTACAATTGGGGAATTTCGACTAATTATTAATGTACGGCTTTGTTATAAGTGTATAGATGATTAAAAATAAATGTCGAAAAACCTAGTGCCGTACTAAAGTGATGGTGCCGGAAGTCGGTGCAAATTTTTAATTCGACGACAGTTGCAGAAGCAATATAGGTCATTTATTACTGTACGGCATTTGTGTGATTCCTTTTGGACACAGATACAGATACTTTACCCGTAAACGCCGTACATATTTACAGCGGAGCGGTCGAAAGCCAAGGGTCGCAACCCAACCCCTACACCCATATACCCTAAGGTCATTGTAAAATGTACGGCAACATGTTCAAAATATTATTTAACACGGACAATAATGTTTTATAATTATGCCGTCCAAAAATTATAGTTAATATTTGTGTAAATAAATATTTATCGAAATTTCAGGATTTACCGAGTTCTTACTGCTGTAAGATCAGAGAATAATGTACGGCAACTTGTTTTTTTACATAATGTTACTAAATATTACCGTTGTACTTTATAGCCGTTCATTATAAATGGTAACAAATAAAAATATTATGATAAAAAATATATGAAATTTCCGAAATTTAGATGACTTTTCAAATATTCCTAGAGTAATATGGGTAGTAATATTTTCAAAGATTATTGTTATTTTATATGTAACAAATATAAATAAACAAGAAAAACCAGATGCCGTACATTTTACTCCAGATTATTCTTTACAGCTGATAAAAACTTCGACGACGTTTGACGTGTCCCTTAAGGTCATTAATAACTGTACGTATCTGAGTATACTACCATAAGGCTGTAAAGTATATTTACAGCCTTATCGTACCAGCAGAGAGAGGTAAAGGAAAAATATTTTTAACAAAAATAAAAATATAATACAGGGCGTCCCAAAGTTATCGGACATGAAGGGAAAGTACCTTAAATATCGTAGATAGGGTATTTTACTAAAAGAAGACTATGTTATTTTTAAAAATTAGTAATTCTGCATTCAAAGATTTTGTAAAAAATACTTGGCTCGTCTGGAAATCGAACCGGCTTAAATGTAAAAAAAACACCCCTACTTTTATGATGCCAATCGAAAGAATGGCCAAAACCTAATAACTTTTCTAATGTAACAGACTCGTAGGGGATTTTTTTAGGCCGAATACGATAGATAATATTTTTAATTTGATTAAAAATATATATTCACGCTGTTCCTTTCTTTTAAAATACTATGTTACTTAAGAAGAGTTATTAGTTTTTGGCCATTCTTTCGATTGGCATCATAAAAGTAGGGGTGTTTTTTTTACATATAAGTCGGTTCGATTCCCAGACGAGGCAAGTAATTTTTAGAAAATCTTTGAATGCAGAATTACTAATTTTTAAAAATAACATAAAGTCTTCTTTTAGTAAAATATCCTATCTACGATATTTAAGGTACTTTCCCTTCATGTCCGATAACTTTGGGACGCCCTGTATTGGTAGGCGGTAGTATAATTTGCCATTTCACAGACTAGCGGACTATCAAAAGTGTACGGCATTTATCTTTTATTGAAGATGGTCTAAAGTATTAAAAACCTGAGTTATTGCCGTACAGATAAAAATCACCGGAAAATGACTCTTTTCTGAGGAAAGTAATTTACCCCATACACCTATATTATGTTCCACAAAAAATGTACGGCATGCTGGAAAATGTTATCTACTTGTGAAGTACTCTAAAGATCATTTAATTTTATGTTGTTCTATATCATCATCACCTATATGCTAATCAGACATATGTTGCGACCCTTGGCTTTCGACCGCTCCGCTGGAAATATGTACGGCGTTTACGGGTAAAGTATCTGTATCTGTGTCCAAAAGGAATCACACAAATGCCGTACAGTAATAAATGACCTATATTGCTTCTGCAACTGTCGTCGAATTAAAAATTTGCACCGACTTCCGGCACCATCACTTTAGTACGGCACTAGGTTTTTCGACATTTATTTTTAATCATCTATACACTTATAACAAAGCCGTACATTAATAATTAGTCGAAATTCCCCAATTGTACCTGAGAAAGTCCATTCACTCACGTACTCACATGTACCGCTCAGAAGTGACGGCATAGCGCTCAGAGCTATTTTCAGATATAGTAACAGCCTTCTAAGCGTAATTCACGTTGGGTCATTTCACAGGTATTTTTTGTTCATGGGCTTGTGGTCTAATAGTGAAAATACGTGACATTTTAATTTACAATTCGTCATTAGAGATTTCAATAAATTATTTTGCATAAAATACTAATATTTCATAAATTCTCTTTACGAAATTTTAAAATAGAATTTCTAAAAGGTAATTCGCTCTTCTCACTCTCTCTCAATCGGTCTCAATAGCTCTCTCCCTTTTCTTCGACAAAAACGCTGCACATCTTTGTGACGTTTGCGTAAAAATTTACCCTTATCGGATCAATTCGAGTATTTATTTTATTATTATTTCTTAAACTCTAAGGAAGGTATGGAGAGACAAATTTAAAAAATTGCATGGAATTACCTAAAAACTAGTTTTCTTTTTCTCTAATTGTAAAGCCTGTATTAGTAAAGGTTAATATTTGCAGTTCAATTTAATTTACTACAAACATAACATACAATTGTTTCCTCTTTATATAAGACTTTAACTTTGACATCAGGCCGAAAAAAATGCATATACTTTTAAACAATCAATTAATACATACTTATTCCCAGCTAACACCTCCGGGCTACAATACTCTGTGGTACCATAGAACGTAGAGAATAGAGTGTCTTTGCTCATGAATGTTGCTGAGCCGAAGTCTATGAGCTTCACATGGAACTTGTTGTCTATGATCACGTTCTCGTCTTTTATATCTCGGTGTAGTATGTTTAATGAATGTAGGTATTCTACTGCTTGGCCGATCTGAAAGTTTAAAAGTATGTAGTTAAGGGGCGCTACAAACTTTTTAGGTCTGGAACTCCGATTTTTTAAATCTGTTTCATGACCATTTGTCAATCTAATAGGCAAGTAGGTGATCAGCTTCTTGTGCCTGACACACGCCGTTGGCTTTTTGAGTCTAAGAAAAGCCGGTTACCTCACGATATTTTCCTTCACCGTTCGAGTGAATGTTAGATGCGCACATCTATGTGTCTTTCTAGAAAGTACATTGGTTCACAGCCGTGGATCGAACCTACGACCTCAGGGATGAGAGTCACACGCTGAATCCACTAGGCCAACACAGCTCATTCATCAGCAGAGATTAGTAGTTAAACATTAAAGAAAAATATTTATTATATAGAGGCAATGAAATGTATATTTATTATACCGTCACAATGTTTAAAACTTTTTACATTATTATTAATAAACAAAAAAAAATATGCTAGAACTTTATAAGATATAATGGAATACCTGTCGGAAGATATAGGACAGCAGCGGCTCATCAAGTCTTGGTCTTCTCTCGATGAACTCAAACAAGTCCATACCAGCCCCATGTTTCTCCATCACCATTTGAAAGTATTTATCGTTCTCGTACATATCTATTACGCTTACCTGAAAAAGAATATATATAATAACAGTTTAGTTAAGCAACAAGATTCTTTAAAGAATATTCTTATTAGACCTTTATTTATTTTAGTTTAACACATCATCAATTAGCGGAACAAGATTTTTCTCCTTTCTATTGCTTAAACTAAAATTAGATTTAAATTAAGTTGTACGCTATTTTTTACCTTGTTAATTTGTTAATTACTACAATTAATAAAAAAATTCAATTTGTATTTTTTTTATTAAAAAAAAATTAAAATGTGCACTGTAGACGAAAAACTAATTGGTGATAAAAAAGGTCCATCAAAGAAATATTCTTATATCGTTTGAATATTCGTCTTTAGTGACTTTCAGTAACGTGTGTGGCCTCCATGAGCCCTAATCAATTGACAACGACGCGGCATGCTTCGTATGATCCTCCGAATATCTTCTTGTGGAATTCGCTCCCATTCTTCAATCAACGCTTCAGTGAGCTGCTGCAGTGTTTGAGGTGCAATCGGACGCTTCCGGATGCGCCTGTCAAGCAAGTCCCAAATGTGTTCAATTGGATTTAGGTCAGGGCTCATGGCAGGCCACTCCATTACACGGATTTCCTGCTGTCGTAAGTAATCTGACGTGATGGCTGCAGTATGCGGCCTGGCATTATCTTGCATTAAAAGAAAATCTGGGCCCATACCATATGCTGCGGGCCAAACATGATCTTCGAGCACATTTTCAATGTAAGTTTGAGCACACAAGCGCCCGGGAACAACGACGAGATCTGTGCGCTCGTCCAAACTAACTCCGCCCCAAACCATCACAGAGCCACATCCAAATTTGTCATATTCCTGGACTGCTGCTGCACTGTATCGCTCGCCTGGGCGTCTGTAAACACGGAGACGACCATCGCAACGTGTTAGACGGAATCGTGATTCGTCAGTAAAAAGCACTGGCCTCCAATGTCGAAGTTGCCAATTAGCGTGATTTTGCGCGAACTTTCGGCGAGCTTGTCAATGTTGAATTGTTAGACGCACAGCCCGACCTGGTCGGCGTGATCTCAAATTGGCTTCCAACAACCTATTTCTTACCGTCTGGTCGGAAATTTCTACACCAGTAGCCGTCCTTAGTGTATTTTGTAGATCTCTTGCAGTTGTGGTGCGGTTACGTAAAGCACAGTTGACGATGTAGCGATCTTGCAAACGTGTAGTTTTTCTCTTTCGACCTTGACCACGCCTTCGTGAGTATTCTCCCGTCTCACGGTATCGCTTCCAAAGTCTGTAGATAACAGAAGGGGCTACTCCTAGATCATTTCCTACATAACGCATAGTTCGACCCTCTTCAAGCAAAGCGATAGCTCGGGAGACATGCATTCAGTCAGATCTGGCATTATGACCAAAACTCACTCGCTTCAATGAATAACAATACTCAAAAGGCTCACTTCAATTTCTATTAATACTCAAAAGATTGAAAAAAACTACTTAAAATGTGTTTTCTGTGATTAGAAAGTAATGATAATTCAAAGACGTCACTTTTGGTAGGGGAGATTAATATATAGGGGGATACCTTGTACCCGGTTAAGTACCTCCACAAAATATGAGGCCCATATATAAGGCCGCCCGTGAAGGAGACAGGATCAGATTAGTAAAAAAAAATTGACCATCAGAAATTCCCGAGCGCGTCAGATTAAGGTAGGGTGAGTTAATTACATCCTAAAAAGTGTATATTCCACTAATCTGACAATTTGAAAGTGACGTAAAAAAAGGGGAGGGCAACAAAGTTGTAAAAAAAAACGTCATCTCGACATTCTCGAGCGTAGCAAAATTTTTTTTTTATTTTGAAGGAAATAATTCAAGAATAATGAAAAATATATAATCTGACGATTTCCGCAAGCCGAAATAACAAAAATTCGTCGATAAAGTTAAATGCGTGCAGCTGCGTGATGCCTACATTTCCTTTTTTTTAAAGTGGTTTCTTTATCGATCAACTTCAAAAACTAATCCGCCTTTGAGCTTGAAAAACCACGTCGATCGCCACCAAGCTGGTCAAAAGCGGTTGATTCGTTCGAGAGATATCGTGAACGAAAGAAACCCGAAAAAGTGTTTTTTGGGATTACTCCGAAATTTGCTTTTTTAAAGCTTTTTTTGGTGCACTTAACACTCCCTTAGAAAATCTGACGCGCTCGATAATTTTTTTTTTTCATTTTCAACCCTTAAATACAACCACCCGCAACATGCAAACGATCAGATTAACATACGTACATTATTAAAAATACGTAGGGCTATGCTATCAATATCTGACGCGCTCGAGGATGTCCATGCAACAGTTTTTTTTTACATATTTAATAATCTATAGCCGCTTCCCCCACCGATGAAAAGGTATATATCATATAACATTTTTTTCTTCTTATTATCTAAGCATTGCATCTCAATAGGTCTCTACGACGCTCGAGTAAATCCCCATTTAGCATCGTGGGCTCCCCTACCAAATGGTAGGGGAAAAACAAATGTTTTTAGGTGTTTCTAGACACACTGCCACTTTATTATAGGACTACTAACCAAAACGCCGATGCTCTTTTGTTTTTTATTTTCTTCGACAATGCCTTAACATTATCTAGTGGCCAGTAATAATTAAAACCTTAAGTAAAAAGTTTAGTTCTACTTTAAAGTTTTGTTCCCGTAATTGTTTTGAGCAGTATATTATTATCCACAGTATGTTAAAGCTATTCTATTAGCTATTTCTAAAATACGACAATTATGGTAAAATTTAAAAATCATTTATCATATAGGTAACATAATGTACACGTCTTATGAACGTCAAAAATAAATATATATGAAATGATTCTAATTTTACATTTACTGGCAGTTCTCAAATCAAGGGCGTAGAACGGAAGAGAAGAACTGGCAATAAACTCCCAGCCACTCTAAAATGTTACAAAAAAATACACCCAAATTTAGATTTTACCTTTAATATTAAAGGTGGCATTGGTGGCTTTCCAATGACGTATTTTATAAAAGAAGAAATCGAGAATATCGAAATTAATATATTGTATTACTGAAAAGAAATGGTTGTTCTGTTATCATTATTCAGATATTTTGTTAATTTTAACTGATTCAATTTTTTTTTTCAGCATGTTCCATTGTGCATGGCAAAAAACGCTTAGTTGTGGAACGACCGATGATTAAACTTTATCAATAAAATCAAACTTTATTAATATTTCTACTCACGATATTAGGATGTTTCAGGGTCATCAGCAGACTCAGCTCCAATGGAACCTTCCTCCCATCTGGCCCATCGACCCAGAATTGAGCACCCACTTTTTCTTTAAGTATGAATTTTGCAACTGCTAGAAGTCGATCTGATCTACGATACGCCATTTTGACGCAGCCGTACGCACCTTTACCTGTGAATGTGTATTGTTTAATAAGATGGATTCATGAAACAGTAGAATCTGCATAATACTAACACACAGTATTATTTGGTTAAAGTTATTCGTTTTTACACGTTATCCCGCATAAGTCATCTATATTGCATTGCAGATATGTTGAAAAAAATCATTAATCGTGTGCATGAAATATCAGAAAAATACAATTGTATATAGTACCTAAAAGAAAATATATTTCCATCTTTTAAAAATATTTAAAAAAAAAACACGGAAAATTTATTTTTTGTACAAAAAAAATAATCTAACTTACCCTATAATGATTCATATAGTACAGTATAAATAAACACACACACACACAATAGCAATAGATATCATATCATAGAATTATTATTAGTATAGAAACATTTATCAGCGCTTCACGGATAAATGAAAGTAACTAACTGTTAGTAAATCAGAAAGCACTTATTATATTTTCATGAAATATAAACTGTCGATGTCAATCCTAAGATAATTCGCAGAATGAGACGAAATAGTACTTTAATTAAAAGTTAGCAATTAGATATTAAATAATATGCAATAATAAACTTTACCAATTTGTTTGAGTGTAACATAATGTTTGCTGTACTCTCCGGCCACTTGTTCCTCCCCGCATTGACTCATCAGAGACATCGAGTGCGGCCTACTGCTTGCCGATTTGTTGCCCTGTGGTAGAACTAACTTTAAGTAGGTTTCACTAAGTTAATTTGGATTAAATAAAAACAGGCCAGACGACTAATAAGAACATTTGCGGCAGAACTGACGTCAATTTGTCTATGGGAGTCACACATTTAAATCCATCTTAGCTATGTATATGGTATACTGTCCTCTAGTGTTCTGTTTTTTTTATTAATTATTTTAAAACTTGCACGTTATAGGATAGCATGATTAATTTCAGATATTTATTATTGAAGCATATTTATATATATTTTGGAATTATATAAATGCCTAATACAAAAAAAAAAATTTTTTAATTATTTATAAACACTCGAAACGATATGTTTTTTTTTTGTTAAAGAACAGGTGGCATACGGGCTGGCCTACAGGCTCACCTGATGTTAAGGACCTATCCGGTCGCCAAATTCCAAAAAAGTACATTCATTATTTCCATTTTTTGTCATCGTTTCTTGAAGAAGGGCGAATAGAAAAAATATATGGTGGAGTTGAGTAGTTAATGTATCCATTTTGAAAGATCGATACACGATTTAAATAACTTCGCTCGATACAAAAAAAAATCCAAACATAGCCAATTCTTGACACTTTGAATACATTTTATGACGAAAATGTATATATAACATGATTTTGAAATTTACACGATATATTTTATCGCAAGCCTACTTGGCTACTACTATCCATTTCAGAAAAAAAAAAGATAAAATGACATTAATTTAATGTTTTACTAATTATTGTTATTACGGGCCGGCGCGCCTCAGTGCTCCAGCTCTCCACTGCGCACCGCAGTCCACTCCGAGACACTGACACAGCATTTTGTGCTGGGATTGGGCCTAAAGTGATACCGCTGCCCATGGCAACTCTCCATACCAGGCTCGCGAGTGTGTTGCCGGTTTTAAAGGAATTAGAACGCTCTTTTATCGAAGAACCCTAAATTGAATTGGTTTGGACATACTTTACGTTGTTCCACATAGTGCCTTAAAAACGCTGAATCGTTGAACGACGGACGTCGAGGTGATGCGGGTGGAATTTCGTATTCTGCCTCGACGTCCGATGATGAAATTCAGCTGCTTTAATCAATCCGAACCATCTCCATGGTAAATGTAGTAGACGATACAGAGTGACCTAATTCGACCTAAAGACGAATAAAATATATTAGGTATACGTACAAGAACGAGCGAGTTATCAGCCGTAGAGTTAAGACTGGAGGCGAGAGTAGCGTGTCGTGGGGCATCTTCTCTTCTTACGCCCAGCCATACACAACAAACGCTGCGACCACTCGCCAACTGCAGACTTGAAACTGTGTATACTACACCTGGAAAAATAATTACTCCTTGAGAAATAATATGGCGATATAGTCTATATAAAGCGTTAATTTTCATATAATTTCATGCAATCAGCCTCTTAGCTTTTATCAGATTTTATAACATGATTTTGAGACAAGTAGGGAATGCAAATCCAATAATTTGTTTTCCCTCCGTAACTCGCAAACTATCAAACTGCAAAACATATATAATAATAACACTTAATTCATAAAATAGAAGAAAAAATAAAAAAAGATAATGTGTTATTGCTATAAGACATTGTAAGTTTCTCCCATTTAGAATTTGCGTGTTGTTCCCACGAGAATGTAAGTGCGTGCTCCTATTTCACCATGCCTCCTGCTGATAGAGGACAAATCTTTGTTTTTAATTTATTTGACTATTATTCATTACTTAAGATGTCATGTGGAACATGGTGTAATGGTTGCAGTTCCTTACAAACGTTGTGTAAAACAAAAAACTTGGAGATTAAATTAGTGGCGGAGAGTTTATTGTCAGTTCTTCTCTTCCGTTCTACGCCCTTGATTTGAGAACTGGCAAATGTAAAATTAGAAGCATTTAATGTATATTTCTTTTTTGACGTTCATAAGTGTACATTATGTTACCTACATGAATAAATGATTTGGAATTTTGAAATAACATTAATCTTTTAGACAATATAATGAATCTTTTTATGGAAGCAAATCAGTTTCTTACCTAATTCAGTACCGTCCTTGTGCAATACAACGCCCCTATAGGTCCCATCCTTGTGTCTATAATCAGTTTCATATTCGGGCCTGTTGTGTCGAGAGTGCGTGGGCGTAGACGTGGTCACGTGACTACGTACTGCACGCTTTACAACGCACGGAGTACCGGGAGGTTCCTCTGCAACATTTCATGCAAATATTAAGCCTTTCGCATTTACTTGTTTAAATTATTATAGAAGTATTATTATGTAAAGCTTATAAATTTACTTTTGCAGTTTTAGTATCTGATGTTATACGGAACAGAAACGAAACTATTCTTACATAACTTATGATTGTTTGGTCTTTATTGATCTCGTTTCTTTAAAAATACGTACGGCGAAACATATCATATGATATTGACGTGACATGAAGAATCCCGTTTACATACAATTTATTAAAATATTTAATATTTTAAGAGCAGCATTGGCCGGTAACTTAAGCATGCGACTCTCATTCCTAAGGTCGTAGTTTCGATCTCGGCGCACTAATGGACTTTGTCTATGTGCGAATTTAACGTTCGCTCGAACGATGAAGGAAAATATCATGACGAAACCGGCGGCTAAAATATAAACGGCGTGTGTCAGGCACAGGAGGCTCATCACCTACTTGCCTATTAGATTGACAAATGATAATGATACAGATACAAAAATCTAAGGCCCAGACCTAAAACGCTTGTAATCAGTAGATTTATTTTATTTTTATTGAAATGTTTACGATAACCATGATCACGGTAAATAACTCTTTAATTTTCATTCTCTCTTCCTCTTGTAAAACGTCTCCGAATTGTTGATTTTAAAACAACTAAAATGAAACATAGTAGAAGACAAGTTCTCTTCCAGTATGAGTAAAGTTTTAAATTTTTAAATATTATATAATACAAGTCCTATGAAAATGTTAGTACAAAATATCTGAAAAGCGAAACATACCTTCAAATTTCTTCCTTGGCGCTGACTCTGTCTGCGTCTCAAGATCGATATCATTACTCAGGCTATCAACGCTTTCGGTTCCATTATGGCGCGGAAGTTCTTCAATCTCACAACCAGATGGCGGCATCTCATTAATCGGCGTCAAAAAGTCCGCACTAGTTTCATTGGAGTCACAAAAGTCAATAGAGATACTGCTCCTGTCTTCCTTCTTCTTTTTGTTGTCAAACGACAATCTTAATTGATCATTTCTTATTCTGGGAGATGTTCCGGTTGGTGTAACTTCCTGCGAATGCTGAGATGTGTAGTAAATCGAGTCAGATATTTCCGAAGGCTTCCCCGTTTTCCCGTTATGCTCAGAGCGGAGTATATTTTCCGATCGTGATTTTGAAATCGAATGTGAATAGTTCTCATCGTCGATTGAAATTCCGGACATGCCGGAAGTGACGTCAGGTAGTGCTGAAGTGTCATTCCGTTGTTCTGTGGTACTAAGGCTTGAGACCATGTCTTGTGTGGGTGTTGGTGTGTGTGTGATTAAACTGCTGGACTTGTCAAGGCAGAGAGCGCTGGAGGATTTTTCTCTATTGGTAGAAAGAAGTGACGGCTGTACGTTTAGTGACATGCAGGCGGATTTCTGGCTTCCATTAAATGCTCCACATGAATCATCGTCTGTGTCTGAAACTAAAAGTTGGATTGGCCATTACAAAATTTAAACATGTCATAATACAGATTAACTCGTTTTATCAATCAATTAATATATAATGTTATATATATTTGATTATTATTATTATTATAATTTGGATTTTAAATTTTTATTTTTATGTATTTAATACTTAATTAATGAGGAGGGCAAAGGGCGGCCTTATCCTTTTCGAGCTATCCCTTCCAGGACTCTAAGATTAAAATTAAATTGTATAAGGTGAACGCAAGAAGTGTACAACTACATACAATTATTTAGACATAAAAAATGAAGAAAACAAAGCAATTAAAAATATGTAAACCGAAAAAGGGCACACGAATCACGATAATTTCAATTAGTACGTAAAAAACGATTTTATAAATAATTTCTATTAAAAAATGCTGTTTTGTTAAAACTTTTAGCGTGTAAACCCAACTACCCAAGTTATAAGTCTACCCTCATAATTTTTGCGGGTAGGTCTCATTACTTATTCAAATACAGTAGAACCTCGATAACGTAAACCTCGGTAACATAAAAACCTCTGTTACTTCAAAAAATACTATGTTCCCTTCCCATCCGAGCCCAAAACCTGTATAACTTAAAATACGCAACCTCTATAACGTAAAAAATATTAACGTAAAATCTCTGTATAGGCCCTCAGTAACTAAAAGAAATGTTTCCACAACCTCTATAACATAAAATTGTTTGTGAATGAGTCATTTTATAAGAGTGTCAAAACAAATGGTTTCGGTATTTATTGCTTGCACGTGTTTACTAATGTATTGTTAACGTAAACAATACATTACCTATTGTTTGCTTTATCTAAATTCTTCAAAGCTTTGCGGCGGTTAGCTTTGTGACAACGACTTACTTGCATCATAAGTTAATGTGTTAATGTATTCTCCTCTCTATTTGTCATTGAAAATCAAATCGATTATAAACAGTGAATTTTTTAAAACAAAAGAAAATCACAGTTTTTTTTAAGTAGACTAAACCTTTAGTTGTTGTTTTATTTTTATGTAATGTAAGTAATGTGAATAAATATGATTAAATATTTAATTTTCCATCCTTCTGATGCATTCAAGTAAAAATGGGAGGAAGGGTACATAGAAACATGTACATACCTCTATATTAGCCTTTACCTGACATAGAACCTTGATAACTTAAAACCTCGATAACATAAAATATTTTGTGTTTCCCTTGGACTTTATCTTATCGAGGTTCTACTGTACTAGGATATACATTAATGAGACTACAAAAGGTAACCTACTCGACCCATCATCATTGTTCACAGGCGACAGGGTCATATTCCGATTCGTATCTTGAATCTTGATCAAATCGCATTCCCTGCAAAAGTTCTGTATGACATCTTCAATATGATGTCCGATCACCTCCGATAGCGACTTTCCGAATGTCAGCTGTGCAAAATGCTGGTTGCAAGCCGTTATTAAACCAGATTCGTCCACCACTAGAAGTCCGCTTACGTTGTATGTAACCTGTAAAAGACGTTATAATTTCGATACCATTATTAAAAGAAGGATTTATTTAAATCTGAATCTATTATAAATTTGACGATATTTAAATCTAATCTAATCTTTGGCATTGAGTTGGTCCAGTTCAAACAATTTGTATGACTTACAACTTGGCGATTAAAAAGAGTTTCTTGCCAGTTCTTCCTGCCCGCTCTACGCCCTTGCGAACTGGTAGTAAATGTAAATTTAGAATCAATTTAACATATTTACTGTTGACGTTCATAAGTGTACTTAGTTATATGAATTAAGTTATTTTGAGTTCGATTATGAGCCTAGCCTCCGCAAGTGTTTCGTGCCTCTAGCGTTCAATTTCGAACACCTATTGTTTGGAGGTCCTTGACAACTTCATCCCACCAACGCAGCCTCGGTCTACCGGGTTTTCTCATGCCACACAGAACGGTTGTGCATTCAGTAAGGACCTTGGGGTTCTCTCGTCCGCCATTCGGGGCACATGCCCCAACCACTAAAGTCTGATGGACTTTATGAATTGGACGATGTTGGCGTCGAAAATCGATTTTTTTGCTCCATTTGAATGTGTTAATCTGTGTGATACCATCACAGCGTAATATAGTAATGGATGTTGACGTCAATTGTCCTTTAGTAAAAGAAAAACTTAAGAACAGTACCAGGCCATTTATAAGTCGCATCGTGCTTTAGAAAGAGATACTCGCTTTGTAGAGCGTCATCTCTGTCACACGAAACACTAACAGTCCGGTATCTATTAGGAGACAGAGACGGCGCTATACGAAACGGAAGCTAGCCGAGTATCTCTTTCTAAAGCACGATGCGACTTATAAATGGCCGAGTATTGTAAACCTGTCTAATGTTTTTTTTAAATTTATTAACATTTTTCGAAACTACCGTGATTTTTGTTAGTGTTTAAATACCTATATTTGGCTGTTATATATGAGACGCTGATAATGAAAATATTACAATGCTTATAACGAAATATAAACTTACCCTAACATTAACTTCAAATATAGGTCGATCTTTGGGCTTCATAGTTTCCGATTTAGAAATCCAAAGACAAAGCGGAAACGAACATCCATCTAATGTCCTACCTTAAAAATAGTATGATTATTAATAACAAAGATGCCTGAGCAGCGTTGGCCTTGTGGCTTGAACATGCAACCCTCATTCCTGAGGACGTAGGTTCCCAGGAATTGAATTAACCCCAGGAATCATGCAGAAATCTCAGGCTAATACCAAGGGTTGTAGGCAGTAGCGCCAAAGCTTTTTATTATATTTAAGTTTGTATAGTGCAGCTAAATACAAAGAGCGGTCAAGCTGTCACCCGAATGAACTTGCTCGCCAACTCACCATTAGACAGTATGCGAGTCGACTAAAACGTCACCATATTCTAGAGCTAGAAGACCGACAGTAGCTCTAGACAGAAGATGAGTAGATGCTTCCAATGGGAAGTCACTCCACATGACAGCACCACAGAAAAAAATTCGCTAATAGCCTTAGGGCTGATTGCAATTAACCGCAGAAAAAAAAAAGTTTGTATAGTACGTAGTTGGTCCCAAAGTTCTGTCACTAGCACATTATTTCTACATTTCGAGCAGGATTTTATAAAAAAATTATTGCATTCTATTTTGGAATGTTTAATTATTGTTTTAAAACAAAAAACAATAACTTTCCGTAATTTTTCACGATGGAGTGGACATTGAAAGTAAACCGAATAGTTGTTATTGCGTTGCACCGCTGTGGACACTCGCCGAGTACCATTTTCAAGTTGCTCAAAAATTTGAATATAACGCTTAGGTTTGTGTACGGTACTATTGATAGGTACCTTGAAGTCTCCAGTGTTGAGGACAAGAAAAGAACTGGCTGGCCACGCTCCGCAAGAACACCAGCAGTAATCAAAGCTATCAAGGCGCGGATAGTAAGAAATCCTGTCCGAAAACAGAAGTTGATGGATTTGCAGATGGGTGTCAGTAGGAAAACAGTAAAAAGGTTTTAAATTAAGATCTTGGTCTACGAGCATACAAAAAAGAGTGGGCACTTACTTAATGCTCGTCTAAAAGCAATAAGGCTTAAGAGATCGCGGGTGTTGTTTAAGCGGTACGCGAAAAACCGATACCGTGATATCCTCTTTACGGACGAAAAATTTTTCGATATTGAAGAGAAGTACAATTAACAGAATTATACAGTGTACGCTAGGAGTTCTGAAGAAGCTGAAAATAAAGTTCCAAGGGTGCAACATGGACATCATCCATCATCAGTAATGGTTTGGTTGGGAGTGTCCTATTACGGGCTAACTGAGGTTAATTTTTTCGAAAAGGGGGTCAAAACCAGTGCTACAGTGTACCAAGAGACGGTTTTGTATCGCCTTGTCAAAGACATGTCCAGCACCCTATTTGCGGGACATCACTTCGTGTTCCAGCAGGACTCTGCGTCTGCATACAAAGCCAAGACCACTAAAGCCTGGTTTGAGCGTCAAAACATCGTCTTAATTAGACATGAGGATTGGCCTTCCTCCAGTGCGGACCTTAATCCTTTGGACCAGAAATTATGACAGGGCTTAGAGAGGAAGGTCTGTGGTAAACCTCATGAAAATTTGGAGAATCTGAAGTCATCTTTAAAAAAACCAGTGACTGAAATCGACACGAATATGGTGCGTGCTGCGATAGACGACTGGCCGCGACGCTTAAGGGCCTGTATTAAAAATGAGGGAGGTTATTTCAAATATTTTTATGCTTTTTTTATTCCTTAATTAATGTACTAAAAATTGATATATCACTCATTACAAACTGATCAGTACTTTTGTTTTTATCATTATTTCCATTTATGACAGAACTTTGGGACCGACTACGTATATCTTACCAGTAGCCTTCTGTTTGGCCAACGCCTTAGGTATAGCAAGATCATAAGGCGGCAAGTGTATTGAAGGAATGAGGGATGCTATAGGCAATCCCACGAGCTTCTCACACGACTCCGCTTGGAACAAAAGTCCTGCGTCAGCGCCTTCACAACTTATTATTGTCCCCGTGTCTGCGTCTATGGTGAACTGAAAGTAATATTATTTTATTATACGGCAGGCTACTAATTGAGGTGAATAAAATTTTTAGTCTTTTATTTTAAAATAAATAAATAAATTATATTTTACCGGATTACTCATATATATACTGCGAATAAAACATTGTCTAAATACTTTTAACTGCTGCTGTGGTATAGTGGTATATGGAATACAAAATTGATTGATAATAATTGATTGATGATTGATGCTGAAAATTCGCTGATTATCTATTAGTGGAAGAAACTTTAGTGAAAGGGAGACAGAACACATGTATTCCTCATGCGCCATTGGTGGATTATGGCACTTAATACCGATAAATGGTAAATTGGCTGAATACTTTTCTTATTAGCTTCTTCATTACTAAAAACTATAATATAAATTTGAATTATAAAAAATCCACCCCAACATTATGGCAACTAAAATTTAAATGACACAATACCTTGTGCATCATATTCAAAGACCTGTACTGTTCGCTCAATTGTTTTGATAGCAATTAATTTTACCTTTTTTATACATACCAAAACATTTTTACAGCTGACGGGCTCTGCAACAACCAAACATGGGCCATCAGCATCCAACTGTCGGATCCAAAGTGATACTTGTAACGCAGTTCCATCTTTTGATAGTAATTCCACAACCTGGGCAAACATTTTGCATATTTAAGAGATTAATAAAACTATATTACTACTACTGCCATAAATATGTATCATAAACCTTTAGTAATGTAGTTTATTGCATTGTAATCTGTACTTTATCCAAAATATTTGGTTGAAAATAAATAATTATCTCTATATGGTGATACTTCATAAAATGTTTTTTTTTTGACTTGATTGTAAATAATTACCAATACATAAATTTATTGTATTTTATAACTGAAGTACAAAAAATAAATATTTTTTTGTTGTTCATCAACCAACCTATGAAGAGAACTGATCATATTTGCATTATACACATTATTTTTTAGTGTAAAATTACTCACTTTACCACCTAGCAACACAGCTGTACCATCTTCAGAAGTGTCTCCATCTTCTGCATGTAAACTGAACTTCTTTTGATTTGACCTGTTGTGTAGTAAGTCGGAAAAACACAGATCACAGAGTTCACCAGAAGAATAGCCTAGAAGTGAGCATGCCTTGTTGTTTACTATAAGAATCTGGGGACAAAATTTAAATAAAACATTGTTCTGTGATAACAATTTAAGTGCATGATTTAGTCATAATCTATTCAGCCATTATGGTATGTTTAAGTAACAAACATCTATACAAAGACAAAAATACTTTTACAATTATGTCTAAAAAAAATTTTGGTCAGTAAACTCTTTTACCATAAAGGGAAAATTTATTTTTTATTCTAATTTAAAGCATCACATATATTTCTAAGTATATATATTAGGTATGTAATCTATTAGGCAGTTTAAAAGACAATTTTATCTGTAGAATTTAGTGAGACTAAATTGAAATTTAATATAACATGAATATAAAGTAATACTTTCATAAATTTAAGGTCACTGATTGATTGATTGACTGAACTGACCTTTGATGTATTAGGCTCAATTGTAAACACGGCTTTATTAGTTATATTTTGCTGTAGCCGGTCAGTTTGAGATTGTGCCGGTGAGCTGGTTACATCTCCTGATGCTAATGATGTATTGAAACGAAGACCATTGGGCCCATCAACTAAAAAAATCCCATTGTTAGATTTGTTACTTCAACATAATCAATATTTTAAGTTGTGTAATTCACAGCATACACATAAGAACTACAGTTTGGTTTATCTGATTGCTTTATAATAAAAAAAAAACTATTTTATTTAATTCCTCCTACATCATATTCTCATTAAAATATTAAATGATGAAAACCAGAAAAAAGTAAGCAATGAAATACCTCTAACTAAATCAACAGATGTTTTAACTTTTGTTGGAGTTTCCAAATCCATTTTTATGGATCTAATATGGTGTTTTAGTCTTGGAAAACTTTGATTGCCCTCAAATGAGCAATTTCTCCAAACATTTTGATATTTCTTTTGTGCTTTGACGGTCCTAAAAATAGCACCATATAATTTAAATATTAACATATAAAATTATAAGACATTTGAATCCTTTGTCTATGAGAATATATTTTTCATCGTATCCTTTATAATTATCTGTTGTTTATTCAACTAATTTCCTGGGCTGTAACATACCTGCATCTATTATCAATATCCAAACATTTTTCAGGTGTAGAAAATCTTCGATTTTCATTTGTTATTGCAGCTACAAACCGCGGTTTCTAAAAAAAGCCATAGTTACGTCAAAGCATGGACTAGAATCTTATTAACGCTGTATATTATGATCCACTTACAGGCTTAGGCGTTATATTTAAATGCTCTGGAGAATAAAAATCCACAAATCTTCCCAAACGCGGCTTAATAGGTGTTACGTTTGGCGTGCCTGCAGCAGACGCACAAGGCACACTAAAACAATATAAATACTAAATATGAATAGTTCACTGGGTCAATTACTTCTATAAATAAACACAGTAAAAGTACTGCTAGTTATGATTTATTTACATCCTTCAAACATGTTCTTGAAGGAAAATCGATAATCTACAGCGCGCATGTCTTAAATACAAAAACAATGTACTAACAACATTTTAACTCACCGATTGAAATTAAGAAGCGCGGACTCCATTATTAACACAACAATAGACGTATTTTAATTATTTGGTTAATATCATAAATTTTTTGATTAATAACTATTCTTTAGTATGTTTATGAAAATTGGAAATAACCGTCTTAATTCAAATAATATTTGAAATCAGCTGCTATTTGCTAATGTCAATTGGTTTAGTTGTCAAAAATTATTGTTTTATGGTATTTGAAAATGTGGTCAAATTTAACAGGTATTTTACAATAAAAGTAGTACATAGGTATATAAAATAAAATTTAATTACGATTTATATAGTTGTATTAGATTACGTATATGTTCCAAGGAAAAAATATAATAATTAATTTCATTCAATAGTATTGTAGATAGCGCTGCCTACAATTTCTGACAAGCTCCTTATTCAGTACTATTATAAATTAGTTTTGCTTTTATTTAATAAAGCGCCATCTTTCAGTTCCACAAACTCAATATTTTACGTAAAATTGCATATATTAAACAAATTAATAACCGAGTGGCTGAAATTTATCATGACATGTTTTGTAAATAAAAAAAAAACAAAATGATTACGAATTTAATACTTTAGTATAATTTTCGCTCTCAGTCTTGAACTGGGTCAAATCTTTCGTACATGTTTCAACATTTTACCATCTCTTTCGACTGGGAGCGTGGCGTCTCCTGTAATCCGGCTACTCGGAGGTCTGGTACAGAGGATGGTTTGAGGTTGGGAGTCCTGGTGCTAAGTGGCCCATGTTGACTGGACGTCCACACTAAGCCTGGTATTAATATGGACCCCCCGGAGGAGTCTGGGGGGTGCAGGTTCATTAAGGAGGGGCGAACCGGGCCAGGGGGGAAACCCAGCAGCCAAAAGTCCCCGTATCGGGCAGTAGTGGGATAGCGGCCGGGAGTGGGCGCTCAGTATCAGCCCGACCAATACAACCAGACCTGTTCCTTTTGCCGAGTTTAACATTTTGACTGTCTCAAAGATTACGAGTTACGAACTATTTCATAACTCTCGAAGAGGTTTTTACGCAAAAGCTCCTAGTCTATAATATATAAGTAGATTATATTGGTGTCAAATGATCGCCCCATCGAAATATCAGCCTCAGCCTATTTAATCTTAATAATTTAAAATATTTTTTATTCTCTCTTTAATATAATACCACTTCAAACACTACTAATCATATAAATTACTGGTTTTTGAAGTCTATTATAATAACACTAACATTACTTTGATTTATCACAAAGAAATCGCTCCTTACAAAAATATCTTAGCAATCAATTTACATTTATTCATATGACTTAAATTACCTTAAAGAATTTCAAAATTTTGCAGTACTTTTTAAACTGACAAGAATAATGTAGGTACAAATAATGTAGGTTCACCACATAATTGCGTTCCGGTTATAACGCGTACTTTCAAAACTCAAGGTCTTCTGCAGTCCTTTCAATGTATCACGTTATTACGCCCATTTGGACCTTATTTAGACCTTTATAAACTTTTCTTTTGTCTTATTTAAGTTCATATGCGTGTGAGAAGCTGATAATTGGAACAGGGTGGAATATCGTCTCGTATCAAAGAAAAAATAATAGAAAACTGTAGGCGCTTTAGTTAGATGTTATTTTATTTCATCATCTTTCCTCTGTTTCGTATGAAAGAGTATAAAAATTAAAATCCCATGTTATTTTAGTTTGCCTAAACTTTCCAGATGCATAATATTACGAAAGGATAGATAAAGTTTTACTAACAATAATAATCAAATAAACCTTAATTCTACAAGTAGATATTAACCTTTAAAATCACTGGGTCAGCTTTGGATTAACGAATAAGGCAACACTATTAGTAAGAAAAAACAGAATGCTAAAAACCTCGACACATGTATCTAGGTGTAACTTACATGGTACAAAGTAGTTATAAATAACTTTATGGTTAATATAAGCGATTCTCAATACTGTGGTCTTGCGTGCGAAGGAAAAATTTGTGAGGAAATACCTTATATAATAACGTCAGATGCAATAGGTGTCTCTTTCACTTACCTATAAAGAAAAAAAAACAAACAAAAGTAGAAATGTTAACTTTTACTATATATTAGTACATAGATAGAGTAAGGGTATTTCTTTAATTACACTTCGTTACCTTAAACACGAATATAAAAAACAGGTGACATACGTTATTATAGGGCAGCCTAATCGCTAACAAGCGATTATTCCAGGCAACCCTAGTATGGAAATATAAAAAAAGAAACTCCAACTGAGAGAAATTAAACAAGTCTAAAAAATTTACCAACAAAATAAAATTACATTTAACACTGGAAGTACTAACTAAAACTAAAAGTAATAATAATATCAATAAAAATATAAGAGCTTAGGATAAATGTCATTGAAAAATCCCGTTTGGTTTAATTATTGTTACAGATCATCACGCGTTAAAGTAGAATTCAAAATTCAATAATTACCTTGATGTTAATCGCATAGACGGCACGAGTAAGAAATCAGTACTTACTTTAGGCTTATCGCCCATCGCGAACCAGATAACCTGGACAAGCTGGTTGTCATCGGCATGGTGGAAGGCAAATGGCCGCGGGGCAGATCGCCACTGTAACCAAGTCACGATTCTCACAGGTCTCCCCATAACAGCTGCGCTAGGGGAAGCTACAGACTGAAGAGATATCACTAGAAGGGCAGCAGACACCTAAAAAACAGTGACGCGGTCTTAAGCAATGAATACGACGGAGAAGAAGAAATCAGCAACAGTATCTTGAGTGGCTTCCACACACTCTTGGCAAACTTTTTCCAGGCACTCATGTTCCCCATCACTACCAGATTTTGCTTTAAACTATTTAAAATTTCATAGATCTACCCAGGGTCAGCCAGCTTACCAGATCTATAGGTATATTTATATAGAAATCAAATTGCTTAGTTCCTCTAGATTACTTGTCGGTATTGATTTTGTAAAGGTTGAAATAGCCTTGATAAATGAGAGTATTGTTAATAGCTTATCTTGTAGTTTCTACAAATACAATGTGTGTAGATGCATTATTAAAGCTAACAATATTACAATTGCAACAATCTGATAATAGGAATACATTGTGTTGTGTACTAAAAGGCGGTATCGTAATTAGTATAGCCTTAGTGTAAGGTCAACAAATCTTAATATTAACCTCGCTGGCCAATGTCTGTGGTTCTATTATGACTGACAAAGTATAACGCTGAAGTATACGAAGTGTAACTTTTCTAAGTTAAATATTCGTGTGAAAAATCTGACCGCGACCTTGCAAACGTGAAACGTTTTAATATGCTCGGATATGTTACGCAAATATTGGTGTTTCCCACTCAAGAGAACTAATACATTATATAAATATATTTATTGGACAACAATATCCCTTACGATAGAAGTACAAAAAGTTTATAACTAAGTTAATAAACAAATAATTTTTTAATACTAAATAATGACTCTCAAAACAGTATTTCCCATGAAAATCAACTCAATATAAGCTGATTCTATATATTTAATAAAATATCCAGTGTCTTCTATTTCAATTGGATTGAACCAATCGACGGATTGTAATAGCCATTTGTCGATACAAGTTCTCCATGAGAGGTCGTATCGGTGTCTGTGGATAGACCTTTGTATGAAAATGACAGTTGACGAAAGCTCGATTTCAAGAGTTAATTATTTTACCAGATTTTAACTTACACCAGTTTTTTAATTAATTAAAAAAACTGTTTGTTATGTTTTAAACATACACATGTATATTTTAATGTTATTTGTACGGTTTTATTTACTTTATTTGGTTTACATTGATTATCAAATATGAGTGAAAACTCGGTAAAATGGAACGACAAAGAGCATTTTATCCGTCGCCAAAAATGGATTGTCTCCGTAGGGTTTGGTTATTGTAATGCAGAAAGGAGATCGATCGACTGCGACAATCTCAATCTGAGATTGTGGATTGATTATTGGGTTCGGGCGTTAGTCACGTTTGTCAACCTTATCCTAAGGATGTGAATAGATATAGCTAGCTATAAAACTGCCGTGACATTATTAACGGAAATCCTCGAATAACACCGGATTAAACGTTTTACAATCGGTACATTTTACATAAAATGTCGCCATAACCTTCAGACTCAATCGCTAGTGACGTCAGATCCGTCCTAATTACGAAGTCGATAATGTGTTAGGATTTTAACCCAAGCAAATACACATAATGAGCGCCGGAGTGCTTCTTATGGCTAAGCTATATTTAAAGCAATCATTATAATCTTTGAATTAGAACATGGTACAATTAGAGTGGAATTTTAAGGACAGTGAAATATTAAATTCAAGGTCTGCAGACTTTTTTAAGTTGATTTCTACACACTGTTAACCTAGCTTCATGAAATGTTATTAGGAAATAACAGACATTAATGTTCTGCTGTTTAATTGTATCGTATATTACCTTGTTTTAATTAAGCGATTTTTCAATTGTCTGAAAGTGTTATGAAAGAATAGGCGATTTAAATACGTTTTCATTAATCTCTGTACGAAACAAAAAGTAACCTTGATCGATTTAATTTTGACATAGCAATCGATTCAATCGATCATTGACACGCCGTGCACAATCGATATTGCATACCTAACGACGAAAATTATTCGTGCTAGGATTGACATTGACAGTATTGTTTGCTCGCCCCGGATTTAAGAAGTTTGGTTCAAGATCGTTGCATTATAAGCAAATTTTTATTGAAGGTTTAAAATTTACATTTCATACTCTAGTTATTTGTTGCGCAATTACTAACTTTAAATTACCTTTGAACTCGCGTGATTTGTAATGTCAATTGTCAAAATTTAAGGTTAGATAAGAGTTTTGTTTATTAATGTATTATTTTTTATTATACATAATCAGGGGCAAACGAGTCTGCGGAACGCCCAAAAAGGGCATTCATCGCAGGCCATGGACACCCATTTTAATGGGTGCGTTGCCGGCCTTTGAGGGAGGAGTACACTCTAACTCTTTAAATGGTTATAGTTGGAGGTCGTACCTCTC